CATAACAAATCTGAATACGCAGAATTTCGCTCGTTTAAAAATCTTGACGAGGAGAAATTTTACAATGAATTGAGAAGTACTCCTTGGCAGGTCATAAAAGATATAGATAATGTTGATGTTGCGTGGGATATGTGGTTGACTCTATTCAATAATATAATCAAAAAGCACATACCAGTATGTAAAAAGCGGATAAGAAAAAAGGCATGTCCATGGATATCTGACGAGATTGTTAAGCTTATGACGGAACGTGATAAAGTTCTCAAAGCTGCTAAAGCTAACAAAAGTGATGATCTTTGGGACACCTACAAATATCTAAAGAATACAGTTATTCATCTCATGAGGAAAAGAAAAAGAGAATATAATGCAGACCAGATCTCGCAAAATCATAACAATAGTAAGCAAATGTGGAGATGTTTGAGAAACCTGGTGCCTAAATCATTACCTATATCTCCCAATAGCATAAATGTTGATGGTGCTAATGTGTCAGACAATGCAAATATTGCTGAAGCTTTTAATGACTTTTTCATTACTAATGCTACTAAGATTACAAAGGACCTGCGAAGGAATAAGTCTCAACTGAGAGTAGACGAGGACAATAATATTGGTCCAACTCATTCGCAATTTAATTTGAATTTGATTACTGAGGATTTTGTATTGAAACAGATTGATAATCTGAGTATAGATAAAGCAACTGGTGAAGATCACATCAGCTGTAAACTTTTAAAGATGACGAAGAATGTTATCGCAGAGTCTCTTTGTGATATCATTAACAAATCCCTGTCTACAGGAGTTGTTCCACGTGAATGGAAAAAGGCTCGGGTAGTACCAATATTCAAATCTGGAGATATTTCTTCTTTGAATAATTACCGCCCCATTTCAATATTACCTATCGTGAGTAAAATTATAGAAAGGGCCGTCCACCAACAACTCAGTGAATTCTTGGACGTGAATCAATTATTACACCCTAATCAGTCTGGATTTAGACCTAAACATTCAACAGCTATACTGCCCTTGCAAAACTTGTAAATCAATGGTCGTTGAATATTGATAACAAAAATTTTTCTGGAGTTGCCTTCATAGATCTTCGTAAGGCTTTTGATACTGTTGACCATGAGCTACTTCTACATAAACTAGCTTGTATAGGTTGTAGTAATAGGACTATTTATTGGTTCAAATCATATTTAGGGGATCGACAACAAGTGACCCAATTCAAAGGAGCCAAGTCGCATCCATCAACCATCAAATTAGGTGTGCCACAAGGTTCAATTCTTGGTCCCCTTTTATTTTCAATATATGTTAATAGTCTACCTGAATGTACTCCTGAAGGTATCATAGATATGTATGCTGACGATACGACACTTACCGTCAGTGCAAGTGATGCAACTGTTGTGGAAGAAAAATTAACTGTTGCGTTAAACAGAGTCATGGCATGGATTAAGGAAAATCGTCTTGTTCTTAACACTGAAAAAACTTGTGTCATGTTAATAGGCTCTCCTGCTAATCTCAAGAAAATTGAATCTTTTACCATTTCATTAAACGGCAATTTGATCAAAAGAGTTCAATTCACCAAATGCTTAGGACTTTTGATAGATGAAGAATTGAAATGGTCTAAACAAATCGAAAACGTAAGTAAACTTACCCAGAAAAACATTAGCATGATAAAGAGAGCAAAAAGTTTTTTGCCTCAAAAATCCTTAAAGTTACTTTATAACAGTCTAGTGTTGCCACGATTAGATTACTGCTCTGTTGTATGGTCGAACCGATTTCATTCTCATACAACTAAGCTGCAAAAAATTCAAAAGAGGGCCGCAAGAATAATATTGAACAAGACATATGACACACCGTCGGCTGATTTGTTCACAAGTCTTAAATGGATGACACTAGACAAGCGGTTTGAGTTAAGTCGCGTTATGATGATATATAAATGCGTTCATAACTTAGCACCTTCTTACCTTCAGGTAGGCTTAATCAATCCTAATGATGTACATGAGCATCATACAAGGCAAATAGACAGTGGATGTTTACGTGTGCCTAGATTTCACACTGATTGTTATAAGTGTAGCCCAATTGTTTCTTCCATATTTGAATGGAATAAGCTAGATAATGCATTGAGAACGGCTTCCTCTGTCAATTCATTTAAGAGATTGTTTAAACAAAGTTGTAATTTGTGAATGGCTCAGCCGTATACGTGCATTTTCTGTAATATTTACATGACTTATTCACATAATTGCGACTTAATTAATATTTTCCTATTGACATTACTGTTTACTAGGTTAATGATTATATTTATTTTGCAAACGAGTATTATTTTTGTAACTGTTCTGTATAAATGTTATAAACGATGTAAATATGTTCATTCAGGGCCCCATGGAAGACCACTACTTGTTGGTGAATGGGCTACCCTGTCAAAATATTAGAAATAAATAAATAAATAAATAAAATCATAATCACCACCATACCGTTTATTATTGCTATTGTATACTTATTATTATTATAACTCATTATTATCATCGTTATTATTGTTTTTGTTAATTATTATCATCATTATTATTATTATCATAATTATCATTATTATTATTGCTATTGTATTATTATTATTATTATTATTATTATTATTATTATTAACTTTATTATGATCGTTATTATTATTATTATAATTATAATTATCATTATTATTATTACTACTATTTTGTTGTTGTTGTTGTTGTTGTATTAATTTGTTGATGTAATTAAAATCTGTTATTTATCATCATCAACATCATTATTATCTCAAATGTAATACTGTAAGTATGTTTGAAGGTTCTAACAGAAGACAAATTGAAAATCCTATGCTTTGACTGACTAAGCTTGATATCCGCTGTATTCTGGCTTAGAGCTATTACTGCGACAATGATGTCATCCCCTGATCATATTATGTTTTCTCACGAGTTTAGTTTGTTATCATTGCAAGAGAAGACAATAATCCATTCGAAATATGATCTTCAAATCCTCAGGGAACTGTGCAAATCTTTATCACTAAGAAGAAGGACAATAATTAAGCTATTTGTTTATCTAATAAATGACTTTTTAGTTTGACAAAATATTGTTATCAAATCAATAAGACTCTGCTTTCGAAAAATCAACAGACAGAAATCTCACATCATACCTCCATTACAACCACATTAAACACGGTCCTGCACAAGCATTGACGTCAAACCCTCAAACGGACATTCTGTTAAGTTCAAATCCAAGGCAAGAAATAACATTGTCTTTCCTCCCATAGTCCAGAGAACAGTTTTGATAAGGTAACATAAATATGCTGACCACTGAAGCATTGTAATCAGCTGGAGGGAGATAGATAACCGGCCATATGATAATTATGCATGCACATGGCCGAAGTGCCGCGTGTGGCTAGAAGATCGAACGAACTCGGTTAATATTTTCTCCTTCTCTCTTTTTTCTTTTTATATAGCCTTTAGGGACATGACATGAAAATGTAAGAGTTCAGGTGAAATATGATGAGCAAGGCTATGATAAGTTTTAGCTCTTATCCCAGAAACAGCCATGCATGTTTGGAATTATTTGATTAACGTCTCTGAACATGATTGTTTGAAGGAGAACATTTTTGGCGGGCATTTTTGAAGGTTTTGATTTTAATTTTAATATAGGGTAATTGGGATCCGCATGCAATTTAGCTTTGAGCATCATCATCAACACAAGTTTTAATTCTAACTCTGTGATATAATTCACATGATCATCGCAATAGTATAACCAATTTACGTTGAACTATATTGCCGTGGCTAAATACTAGGCGCTTTCGAATTTTCATTCACTCATACCTCAAATAAATATCTATTTTGAATCAACAAAATATCACTCGTGATCTAGTGAAATTGTGTCAGAGGGATAGTGACTAATGTTCGTAAATTTAAATTGAGAGAAACTGTAACTAAAAGAAATTGCCAAAAATCTATTGATGTGAGCTGTCTTCACAATATCGGCACTGTACACTTGTAATTTCTACAATAAACCAGCTGCATTCACGTATATCCAAGTAATTCATCACAATATTGGTCAGTTTTTGTCATTATCGAGATGTCATTTCCGGTGTCTAGACTCAGCATGCTTGAGTTGAAGCTAAATCCAGGATAAACAATTATATATAAACAATTATATAACTGTCGAAAAACAACTCTATGTTTCCGAGCTATCAGACCTGTTAATATTATATAACTTTCCTCAGTACTCAGGATACTTTGCCAAGCCTTGCACAGTGTGACCCAGACTCTGAACCATACACCTGACGTACTTATCTATGCCTAGAGTGGTTTATTACTGTACGTCCCTCTTGAAGCTCTCCATTATTAACAACCCTTTTTCTCAAGAGCTACAATTATGGTGTTTTGGAGGAGTATTAGTCGAGTGGTTTAAACATCGTTGGATATGCAGATTTTGTGTGCTCGAGCAATACATTATTATCATACGTAAACCATTAACCGCTCCAAATCAAAGGATTAAAGATGGGGACTGACTGTGTAGGATGACAAAACCATTGTGATCTTAATTGTGATATGCCCTTATCTTGACCATATGGTAGCAATACTCCCACAGGGAGAGGGATGGTGCACGCGGTGTGCATGAGGGGATCCGGTGTCGGGACAAGTTTGTAAAGCATGTTATAGGGAAGTTATTTCGGATAATGCGCTTTTTCAGCCCATACCTATATGTTATGATATACTATTGAAAGCTTTTAACTGGAATTTATCTTGTAAATGTATTCATTATAATCTTTTTCTCTTAAAAGTATTGAACACGAGGAGTCATTTCTCTGACGCAGGACTGTTGTCAGCTACTATGACGGTCATTGGCGCGCCATGTGATAGTTACAATGCTATAACAGTGAATTCAAAATTGACAGAGCAAACTGGCGCATGCCTTCATGACTATTGTGATTGATTGGCGTAACTAATGACGCAATCAAAGTGACGCCTTGTGTTTAATGGGCATAAGCTGATTCTTACCATAGGGTCCTGTTCTAGTTGAGTTGTGGCATCGTCAAGGCTCCTTCTCCGTCGGTGGCTGTGTGGTTCCTCCTCATCCACAGATCTTTTCTGGAAGTAGTGAAGGTTTTTCTGATGTTTCAAGACCTACAAGTGAAGAAGAGAAGATCATATCATGAAATACCCGTGGATAACAGTTACTGATTTGAGATTCAGCTCTTATGTTTACGAGCGAGATCTTTCGGGATCAATCCAAACAAATGTATGCCTTTTACAAGGAAATCCCCGTACTAAACCTCTCCAACACAAGCGCTTTCGTAAAATTAAATTAAATTATTCTCTTCAATAAATTCCCCAAATCTGTAATGACTATATGTCTTTATTCAAATTCTATTGACCTCTCATTCAGTTGCTGATATTTTACTTTTTCCACTTGCTATACAAAATCATTATCGTATACGTGCAGAAAACAAAGCAAATAAACTGATCATTATAGATATGATTAAATTAAAAAATTAATATCACTAGGTCTACAGAAAAAAACACGACCCCCCCCCCCCTCTCTCTCTCTCTCTCTCTGTAATCACTGTCCTGAATTTCTGTCTTTCATCTATCATGATAGTCGGCATTAATAGTTTTAAAAAAATCGAGTACATTATGCATACTAACCACGCTAACCAAACATTTGTGTTCATGACAATTTAGATTTATTTTATTACTGACTACTCCCCTGAGGTATCAACAATAAATTTCCATCATCGATGTTATTCGTCATTGCCTCAAGTCGCTAAGAATAGTTAAACGATAATGCGAACATCTTCTTTTCGTGTTTTGCGGGGTAAATAACGTTAATGACAAGATGAAATACAGCTTGAAGATACAAAAAGGAATAGAAATGGTGATAATTGACGACGCAATCATAATGCACACCACGTATCCAGCAAAATTTATTTTCTTGTAGATGATAAATGGTGAGAGTTTTATATGTCATGGACTTGTTTTTCCTTCCCAAAGCCACGGCACCCTTGTAATTGAAAACGTGCAACAGTGTATGTGGGCTAGCCGCCATGAAAAGAAGATGGAATAATCGATAAGATATGTATACATGCATATACATATTTGTTTACTTGAAATCAAACGACTAAATGACGTTTACCTAAAGAGCTATAACATTTATCGTGCCTTAATCAAGATATTAACAAAATTGTATTTTATATTGAGAGGATAATCTTTTAGTCCCTTGCCTTTCTTTCTTTCTCCCTCTGACGTGACTTTAAAGCCACGTCATCATCCCTCTTAAAGGTTATCAAAGATTAAACACCCGGTCTCTCAATTCCACTTCCAACGTCAAATCAGATACGCCTTTACTTTTGTCATGATATTCCATCAGATCGGACAGAATCGACGTCTTCATCACTAACTCCTGGGATGTTTTTATCTCGACCATGGGGCAGAATTCTTTCCAAAAGGCCCTGTAACTAAAAGTATCTCAAGTGAAATCCCAGCTTGAGCAATCAACTCGACAACCTGGAAAATGATATTTTAGTCTTTCTAATCCTACTTGACATCTAAAGTGCATAGGGTAAATGCTTAAAAACCACTTGGATCATTCACCCGATTCTTCGCGAAAAATGAGTGGAATGGATCATTTTCATGAATATTCAAGTCGAGTTCTAAATTCTTGACCCGTTTAGGTTTTGAAGGGGCTGGGGAGGGGGTATGATTCAGTTTTAACTTTCCGATACATCAATACACTGGCTCTGGATTGGAATTTGGAGGAAAGGGCAGCTCCGAACTCATTTTTTTTTGGGGGGGGGGGGAGGAGCATCGCCCAAGAGACACATGTGGAGAAAAGAACAAGACACCTTGAATGGATGCCCTAAGATATTAATTGAATTATGATTCAACTTTTAAGATTAATGCTCAAATCGTATGCATTAAATCTACATGTGAGGAAAAAAAGGAATTAAAATGAAATACAAGTACCTTCATGAATCATCTGGAAAGGATTGTATAATTAAGAATATTTCAGATTTCGACCATTTTTTTATAAGAGTGGTATCAAAATTTTGTTTTATAATGACTTTCATTATTTGGAGGCCTTCGTAATATGTTTGTGGAGTGTCGTTTTTGTAAACTGCGTGCCAACATTGTGTGTCTTATGAAATTATACCATTCCAATAGATTAAGTTTTTACAAATTTTCAACATCTTCCTTCGTTGTTTTAAAATCTTTCTCTTCTTTTTTTATTGAAAGAGAAAACAAAGGGTGCGTTTTCGTTAAAAATTCCTTACCGCCAGCCGCCAGTGTCAGCTTATTTTTTAAACGTTTGCGAAAATCGCCCCGTAATTCTCGCTTGTACTCTATAAACAGGTTCATAGCACAAATAAATAGTATTGTTTGAATGGCCCTCCGACCCATAGTAATTGTAATGCCCATATCGCCTGTCCAATATGGGATGGGGACGGGTAGTTTTCTCCATTTTCTGGATTTTCTCCCTTATTTCGAGCTTTAATCTCAAATTTGACAAATATTTTCATAACTCTTACTTGAATATACATTCATTATATTCGAGAATGACAAATCGACGGTATTGTTATCAAGCTATTTAGTTTGCAAACATGGACTGAATAAATTTGCATTGACACTTAGACTAGACACGATAAGAATAATAAAACGGGATCAGCGTTCAGCAATGGCTTTGCTTCTGTTCCTATTCTCAATCTAATAAATGTTTTTACTTCCATCCGTAGAAAATAAAGCGTGTTCCTCTGCCTTGCCTTCGGCTGTATCTGACGCCTCTCTCTGTCTCTCTAACGGATTGGCATTCTGAAGATGTCGTCCTAGTAGGGACGACGGGGAAGTTAAGGCAAGCAATAACAAGACTCACAAAGAAATGGTTAGGTGGACTACGAGACAGAGTAATCTCTTCAAGAGAAAGCACGTAGACAAATACTCGACATATGGATAAAGAGACTGTGGATTGGGGATAATCAGAGTCTGATATTTGAGAAAAACAAAGAGCCATTTAGAAAACACTGTGAAAGGTTGGTTCAATAAATATCTGGCAAAGAAGAAGTAAACGCATTAAAACACATACATTAACTGATGTGAGTACCCCTGGTTAGATGATGAAAGAGATACAACAATTTTCTAGAGCCTATATACTACTTCCGATTAACAATTATGCATTCAGTGCAGATAGTAATCTCTATATTGTAAACTTAGTTTATTTTGTACCAAATTTAGGTTATGTGATTCAAAGCTGAATTGCTTTAATACAAACTCTAGAAATTTTCAGTAGATTGAGTCATTTATTCTTCTTCACACTTGACCTTTAAGTTATTGAGAGCGAAAGGGAGGGAACGCCAATGGAATGGAAATGTGATGCCACCTAGCTTCTTCATCCTTTGTAAGCTTTGACAGATATCCCAATCAAAGGAGTGGGCAAGTGGGTATTAAAGGGAATCACAGAGGCTAATAAAGGATAAAAATGTGAAAATGGTTTGAAAGAAAGGTTACTGATTGAGAAGAATAATTTAAAAGTTAAACTTTACACCACCAATCTACAAACTACTGAGTTCCAAATATACTTTGGTTGATTAGATTAGTTATTTAAATTGATACCTAAGGGCTGTATTACTCATGAAATAATTTATTAATGGTAATGGAACGTACCACAGTCCCGAAGTATAAAATTTTACTAATCAAATTCTATATGAGACTGTTTTGCTAGAAGCATAAAACTCATGCGTTGAAAAACTCTTCACAGCACATCTTACCAGCCATTTTAAAATCAAATATATTGGTCCGTATTCAGTTATTTCATTAACCTGACATGTGTCTAAGATCAAGTTAACAAGATCCCATACTAATTTTTTTTTTTTGTTATACCTGATTTTAAGATTCAGTAGAACATGAGCCATACAGTATGTAAGAATTGTTGGAAATTATGTTACCAAGAAATTGACATTGCGAAGTATATAATTAAGCAAATTATTTCGATATGGCAGTGCTTGAGTAAAACAAAAAGAGATGGATTCACTCATATAATATACAATATCGTGTGCATAAAACATAAATACAATCATTACATGTTGTAAAGAATAAGGTATCCTAAAAAGCAAACATATCGCGATACTGTCCGTACACACTCAGCTCTATTTGTTTTCCAAAGGTAGCTCACCAGCTAAACCCTGATCCATAGAAATCAATATATTTGCTTGGTAATGGAGAGTAGAGCTCATACGTATGCTTCCATCAATGATTATCATTAATTCCACGAAGCAGCTGTATTAAACAACCACAATACCCGTTGGTCTAGTTGGCAAGATCACAATGTTCCCTATTTACACATTTTCTCAAATTTTCTGCCGTTTTTTAGTATTCATAAGTTGCATTTCTCTCTATATATTCTGTCTTTTTCTATTTTTCGCCGATCACATTCCTCTCAACAATCCTATTGGATTTTAAGAAAAACCGTCGATGTGTTGTGAGAGAAGAACAAAGGTATGTTGGTTTCTGGGAATTGTGAAGCAAATTAACCTACTGATATAGAATATTGGGGAGGGACTGCATGATTTGGAGGTTTCCAAAATAGCAAATAAAGGTATTTTGGTGTAAGGGCCGGTGAATCAAAATCAATAAGGGGAGAGAGTGAGAGAGAGAGAGGGGGGGGGGGGGGGGAGGGAGAGAGAGAGTGAGAGAAGAGAAAGATAAGATAATTTTTTTTTTTTTAAATGGCTGCTTGCACAGAAATTTTTCAGTCCGCCCATAGGGTCATTGATTTGTGCGAAAATAATAAGATGTAGTAGAATTATTCAAAGTGTCTCAAAATGCACATCACAGTGCCATGCTGATTTCGTTAAAAATAGTTCTTCTTATAATATCGCGTAATCATCTTGATCCGGACCGTCAACCTGAAATAAATTGGTAACGGTCATTTCGTTTGTCTGACGTCACAATCCGTCACCAGATGGCTGAAGTAAAGCACTCTCAATGGTTGCGTACTTATGTCCGTAGGTTAAGTTTGAAAAGACGAAAATGAACATCCGAACATGATCTACTTTCCCCCTCGCTCTACATTTTGATCAATCCACTTACAATTCATAACGAAAATTGTATAATATTGAGTTGAGTTACATGTATGTACTAGAAAAGAGGTCATAAGTTAATAGAAACGGCTTTGTATGAGAGAGCCTATATTCAGGGTCGAAAATCTAATTAGAAGGGATTAAGGGGAAGGATTGTAAGACAAATATGTAAACAGTGTGTGCTAGAAGACAATTTATTAAAAGGCAGTAGCTTTACTAGGTCGCGAACACAAGTAGATGTACATGGCCACCATTTTCAATATTAATTGATAAAAATCGTCCAATAATTTTCTTATTAATATCTGTCCTATCTAAGAACCTATTCAATTTGCTTTTTATTATTCCGGTTTTTGAAAAGAATAATTGGAATTATTATATTGACCATTTCCTTTCTGGATCTTGTCAATCAATATTGTTGAAGGCTTTGTAATGGGCTCTGTATAAAATAATCCCTGCAAATATGATGATAGGGTTTTGCTCGAGACCAAATCAGATGTTCAATATCACTTCTAGTCCTTTTCACTGCCATATAGGCGGTCGGATATACACTAAAACTCGGGTATCTATTCATTTGTAAAACAACAACAATTAAACAAAATAAAAGAAAGTAAATACAACACAGGCTTTCTTGAAAGTCAAAACATGTTAATGATTTGTGAAGTTGTTGCGTAAAACATTTCAATCATTACAAAATGAACGATGATAAACAAAAAAAAACTCTCTCTATTGTATAAGAAATATACTTAATAACTATGAAATTCATTTAATTGAATACTGCTTTTACCTACGACACTATTAAATTTATAGCGAAAATATTGTGTAATACATTTTCTAAGCAGAGTTGGGAAAGGAAAAGTACGTCGTCCTATCCACCACTGCTCCCCGTCTATGCAAATTAGTGCCATAAATGGATATTCTTTCTGAAATACATGATTGACTACTAAACGCTCGAATGCTCCCCCCCCCCCCTCCCCCAGACGTCAAGGTTCAGATACGAGTTGCTTGGTAATCTATTCTAACATGTATGCCAATAGTCTGCTTTCTAAGATTTTGAAAACTATTTTGAGACAAACGTATTTTTGTATCTTAATTTATTAGAATTAATTGTTGTTGATTATTTTTTTTGAAAATGTATAATTCTTTAAAAATATGAAGCCTGATTGTAATAATTCCTGATGAAACTGATAATGATAAATATAAATACAACCAATAAGTTTTATTTCAGCACGAAAAACAAAGATACATGAACATGAATAGTTTTCTTGATAAGGCTTATCGATTTTTATTCATATCAATAAAAATGCCCAAACGAATAGTTTGAAAATGTCCCCAAGGATGATGATATTCTTGTCAAAAGGACATTAATGTCCATAATGAATTGATAGGAGCAGAACATTTCTAGAACTTGTATGGTTTCCTCTATATACGATCCACTAAGGTCACGTTGTAGATGATTGCGAGTGGAGAGAGAAGAAAAACAGCTTCGTCCGGTAATTGGCAGCAATATTTTTCTGATTACGAAACGAAGTGACCGCCGAGACCGGCAATCCCTCCTCAAATTTATTTGTAGAATGTGCAGCACACTTTAATCTTATAGTTTTCAGTGACCACAATCTGCTCCCAATTAATCATCTTCGAAATCTGCAATAAATCAGTGTTATGTGAAAATAACTTCAATGTGAGATATAAGTAAATATATCAAGAAGCCCTTCTTGTATAGTAGAGTTTCTCATATATTGTACATGTTATCAAGATATAGTCAGGATATTTAATTCATATAAAATATTAAAAAGATACTCTGTTTTCCGAACTAGAGCGGGTAGATATCGAACACCCTTTCGTCTTTTGTCAGTACTTCCACTTCTAAAGTATCTAAACTATCATTAAACAAGTTCTCAAGCAAACAAATATCCTAAGAAGTATAACCATGATAACCATTTTTGGTAATTCATTATCTATTTATTTATCGTTTGAGTTTCACATTTCAAAATTCCTCTCTGCGAAAAATACAACGAATAAGTGAAAAAAATAAAAAGATTTAGACATACATTTTTGTTCAGAATACGCCAGCCCAAATTTTGTTTGTTGCTCAGCATGAATTGATAGCCGAATTAGAAGGATGAAATAATGTATAAATAAATCGTTTTTATTATTTCAAATGAGCTTTCGTTATGTTTAGAAGAAAAGAACTTTAGAAATGATTAATATCATAAATCAATTCATTTCATTTCGTTTCGTTTCATTTCATTTCATTTTCATTTAAGTAAAGATACCACATTTCCGTAAGCCCTGGATTAGGCCATAACTGGTACGTTACATTAGAAACAAAAATAAGGAGGGAGATTTGCAGAAAGGAGCATGAAATGAAAAGAAAAAAGAGTTTCATTTAACATATTACGTTTCAATAAATTTACACGGGATGAAAAAGTTTCTTTCATCAATTCATTCATATAATTTGGTCAAACCGTGGTTGCTTTAAAATCAACATTTTCAAAAGAAAGATGATATGAGGCCGATCACAAAAAGAACACAGCAGCCCCCCCCCCCCCCCCCAACCCCACAGCGGCATAGCTAATTGAGGCACGTGCTCACTTCCAGTGGACGGTGAAAAGAGGAAACGTGCGAAAAACAGAATGAGATAGAGATAAGAAGGGGGTGAAAGGAACGTGAAAAAAGGGAGAGCCTACTATTCCTTTTCCTTGACATCCGGGCCCCACTCGGCGATCTTTTTCTTTCCGATTTCACTTTCCTACATTTGTAGTAGAGTCGATGCTCACTGTGCTCCCATGACATAATCGCTGTACCCTCACAAACTTACCTACGCCATGTATCCCGATTATAACGTGAAAATAGAATAAGTGACAATACACTGTGCTAGCAATAACCTTAAATAACTTTAGTATGACATTAATACATGCTAAATATATTTGAAGAAGTGTTGTAGTATTCTACTTGTACCCCGTACATTCTGTAGATTAAATAGAAAGAACAATTCAGCTCTTGTTCTATGGTGCATGTATTTAGATATAGGCCTATATATATATATATATATATATATCATTATAATGAATTATAGTATACGGGTTATTCCTATCATTATGATTATGATTACGATTATTATTATTATGAGACATGTTTGTTCGAAATTGCTTTTGATGATGTATATTTCACAGTATTGTAATTTGTAGGTTTATTTTTAATGTTTTGCTTTATTTAATAGCTAATTGCTTATCATTGTAGTATTTTTTTTATAACGCTAAGAGACCTCGGCGGTTAGCGCTTTATAAGCACCATTTTTATTATGATTATTTATTATAATGAACATAATACCGACTAATAATATTTAATATGAAAGCATGCTTAATTTATTTCGAATAAATCTTGTAGCATTGTATTTGCATTCCGGTATAAACATGGCTGATTATAAAACATTGTGATAATAACATAAAGTGTAGACTAGTAAAATGGTTAATGCAATTTTTAATCACTTATTTTACAGATGATTTCTTTAACGTCTTCCTACTATGGCAGTTGCACGTTTTGTGCCTCACAAACGAATAAATAACGAACATGAAATGATGATTTCAGTTCCAAGTCAATACCACAACATAAATTTCGCCCATCATGAGGCAGTGGGAATCGTAGGTTGGGGTTGGCTCTATATTTACAGTTAATAGATGGCTAGCTAGCATACGGTCCATCAATCCGTACGTGTATACAAGGGTGTGTACAAGTTGGGAATATTAAAAGAAATCACAAATAAAGTAGAATTGTTACCATCTCTTGGTCAATAATCTTACCTGTCCCAGATAATCTAGTTTATGTCTCTTGGCAAGAGAATGGGGACTGTCGCCATCTTGAACCTCTACTACGAAGCTATTGGTGTAATGCTTATCACTGGCCTCCACGCACACCACCACTGCTACCATTAAAAAGGCGCCAAAGCATAGCCCTTGTCTCCATGTCATATCTCCAAACATCATCCGTCCACCGTCCGAAAAGAAACACCCGAATATCGTCGAAACCCTTACAATGTGTCTTCTTTATCACTTGTTCTTATTTCTCTTCTCAAATGTAAAATTAAATGTTATTTACTTTCTTCTTAAGATGTACAGTAATTTTCACCTCGCACGGTATGCGGGTCTAGCTTCTTTCTTCTTACTGATGCCTTTTACTCAATTTCATTTGCCTGCGTAGAGAAAAGGGGAGACATACACACTCCGCCTTCGCACAGGTTGTTGGTGATGCATTACTCAGTCATTCCACCCGTTATCCACACACAAAATACACACACTCATGCACTTGCAGCGATCAATACAATGGGATCATCTATGCACTTAATGAGATGCTATCTTCTAGTGCGTGCTGATTGGTTGGAATGCACAGTGACGTCAAGAGCACGCCATTTTGCTCGCTCTCCCTCACTGCAATACAGACTGGTGTATATTACGTGCGTTCTCTGGACCGTGCTACCAGGCCATGTGAAACGTATGCTTTAAGACTTGCCCTGTTTTGAGATGTGCCAATAACCAACCTTACTAACTCACCGGAAGCAAAGAAAACGTTATTTAAACCAAAATTACATCTTACAGTCATGTTGACATGAAGAGAACACTTTGTCAATGTTACTTTTATAACATTATCATTTTCAGTGTTGATTTCGTCTGAATGTCCCCCAAACCATGCACCATATGGTACGATTTTTGGTACGACTGTTGACTTTTCTGATCGATGGAGATTGCCAATAAAAATGCATTTTGTATATGTAACGGACTCCTTTTAGCCCATCGTCGGTTTATCAGTGATGGAGAGCTATTATGAATCGTACTGATCAGATGTATTTTACTGGAAATGTTTTTATTGATGTTAAACCTTTTAAAAACTATAATGTGATGTATTCCCCTCATACACACGCATACACACACACACGGTTCAATTTGAATTAAGCAGAGAGAGAGAGAGAGAACGACGAAATGTTGAGAGAAACCATATAAAATGCTTTCAAGTACATAGTTTTAATCAAAAATATAAAATATATAAAATACAAAACATTGTAGAACCTCTTGACTTCTCTGAAGGCCTTGTTCTGAAAAAACTTGTTTTTTTAGCCCCATCATAATAACAATCCATGCATATTATGCTTGGCATGACTTATAAAATTATAAAATGAAATGACATGTGTCAAGATAAAGAAAGATTCCCATTTTATATTTCGTAACTTCTTACAATGTTGTTTGTGTCAAGTAATAACACGAGAAGTCATTCTTCTTCAATTTTTTTCTCCCATAAACTGTCATACTTTTTATAATAGAAGTTGATTACATCAGCATGACAATGACGACATTTTTCATACATTAAAGCTACGCAAAAATCAATTATTTATCGACATAAACTATTAGTCGGCCGCCATCCTAAACTCAATCAATTTTTCTTTATTTATTTCAATATTTGTATAATTTAATTCAGTCTTATCAAAATCTTAGTATAAATTCAATAGGAGATAGGATTTAAAAGAGTTATGTGACTTATAATTTTTTGATTTAGCCTTCATTGTTTTCGTTAAAAAAGCAAGATCGCAAGTTTTTTTCTCGAAAAATCAACTTTAATCATCCATTGAATGTGCGAAATTGACAATGATGTATGATGTAATCCGAACATAAATTCTATGGGATATACAATAGGAATTGAAATTGCAGTAGATTATATTCATACAGCAGCTGCGCTATAAGGTGTACCTATTATTTGTGCAGTTATTAATGTTATCACTTTTGTTATTAACAAGATTATAATCATCAATATTTTCATCATCATAATTATTATTATTAACATTTATATCATCATCATTTTAATCATAGAAAGAAATGTATAAGCATGTATACATCATGTCGGTGAATGAATGTATTGATAAACTTTCTTCATTCGTGAAAAAACATAATCACAAAAATATTCATGTTAACTTTATTGAATGTAATATTCTCTTCGTGTCCTATATCCTACAAAATATTGTTAGTAGAGTTCAATGAATAAAATAAAATTATATTGAAATCAACTCTCCGAGTCATTTTTGGATGAAAAGAGTTTAAGCAAGACTTTATTTTGATGATTGACGCGTAAACTGTATGGTTGAAACATATTTATTATTTTGTGTCAGAAAGAATGATATCAATTTTCTTTGTATGATATAGAAACTGAATTTACTAGGTAATACACACCAACTGCTATCAATAAAAGCGTCCAGGTATTACCCTATCTCTCATTAATCAAGAAGAAATGAACAAAATTCAGATTTATCGCAAAGGTAGCCAACGTTATGTCTGAAATTTGGTGCAATTTCCATTGATTATGTTTGTGTGTTTTACATAAAGTAAATTGTACAAATTACAAGCTTTTATTTTGTGTTCGATATATAACATTCTGAATTAATTCATGTAGACATGAATGCAAACACAATCCACAAAAATATTTATCTCACTCGATTGCTTTGGGCCAGCTATTCTCAGACTTACATTAGGTACCCCCCCCCCCCCCCTTTGACCCGATTCTATTAGAATATCGCATATGACAAAAATACTTTGCTAAAGACCTCTTAAATCATGTGCATCAAACAGTTTCCAATCTTCGAAATCCTTTTCCACCTGAGATTTTGGTTTACCAAGGGCATTGCTGTTCAATAACCAACTAAGCAGAACCGGTCTGCCAAGAGCACCCTTGTGTGATGCATACATCATTATCATCACTGCCAATATCTCATTGCCATGACAACAGTGCGTCATTTCATGCTCGATGCGGATGAGAGAAATAGTCTCATCTGCATACACGGTTTGTAAACTTCATTGACACACGCCTATTAAAGAGAGACTAGCGGTGACATATACAAAATGCCCTTTGTGAATTATGCGAGATTAGGTATATTTGGTAATTATTATAGTGTAATGTCACCCATTTTTAGATAAATGGGTGAACAGATATCTGAACAGATTAATTAACAGTCAGAGGGCAATAGCCAACGACGGAGGAAGGGCTTCTCTCAAATTGATTCGGTTAGCTGGCGAATCCATATAAATCTTTTAAATTCTATTGTTGTCTTACAGTTCTTACATGAGTTTAAAAAAGTGTTTTGCCTGTCTATTATTAAACAAATTGTAACAGTTCGTCTTTTCCCTTCCTATTTTCTTCTCATCCGCCCCCCCCCTGAACAAAAGAAGAAGTAGTAGTGGGAGTTGTAGTAGTAGTTGTTTTAGTAGTTCATTTTCGCATAAAACATTGAATACCGTGAACATCAGAAAATTATCAGATAAAGGAAACTGCACCATTTATAATAATGGTTTATAATCAAATCTGGCACACTCTTAGACGAACGGGAAATCCCTTGCGGAGGCTAATTTCCTTACTATGTTGTACGAATATAAAATATGGCCCCGGTACAATGAATTTCATTAGGCTGTCAGATTGCTGTCCCCAATTCTCCCCAAAAGACGAATTTTACATCCATAATGCTTATAGAGCTGCGTACAAAATATTCAAACATCATTCTTAATTTATGACAATGACTAGGCGATTTTTTTTTGTACCAGCCAACGACGGAGGAAGGGCTTCTCTCGAATTGATTCGGTTAGCTGGCGAATTCATATAAATCTTATAAATTCTATTGTTGACTTACAGTTCTTACATGAGTTTAAACAAGTGTTTTGCCTGTCTATTATTAAACATATTGTAACAGTTTATAGCTTATAGAGCTGCGTACAAAATATTCAAACATCATTCTTAATTTATGACAATGACTAGGCGATATATATTTTTTTGTACCATGTAGTGTTTGTACTACAGCTGTGTATCACGGATCCTATGCGACTGTCGTTACCATGGTGATGGATTAGATGTTGATCCGCGAGGGAAATCATTTTTGTTGATAATTAGTGTGTATTTGTTCATCCGTGATTGGATTGCAATGGTAGGGGCCGAGGGATGACCAGAGTTGATGGTTTAGCCTCCGAGCGTGCATTTTTATCAAACTTTATGATGTAAGACGGAAATTTTAGTCTCATAAGGGATGACTCTAAGTAGCAAAAATCAGGCCATGCAATAAATTATTAATATCCCACAAAATGAGCGATTAATATTAGGGAGATCCGTTTTTGCTGCCTGATCTATCATTCAGTTTCAGTCTAAAATAATATATGCTCATTTCAAGTGTACACATTATAAATGAGAGAGTGAGAGAAATAGAATGGGGGGGGGGGGGGAAGTAGATAGACAAGGAAAGATAGTGACAGAAAGAGAAGGAGATAGAAAGAGAGAGGGAGAAGGGAAAGGGGGTAGTGTGTTTAATGTGTAAAAGCAACCCCGAATTACCACTTACTTTGCTTTCTATGTGCATTTTTTTAAAGAGTATTGTTCTCTGATATTGGTCATAAAATATCAATAACGAGAAGTATGCGACATACAGACGACTATTACGCAGAGAGGAATATTAAGATAACATAGATATTAAAGACGGAGAGAGAGAGAGAGAGAGAGAGAGAGAGGGAGAAAGAGAGAGAGAGAGAGAGAGAGAGAGAGAGAGAGAAAGAGAGAGAGAGAGAGAGAGATACTATCGTCTGCAATTACACACACTCACACTCTGCAACACAGGTCTTCTGGAATCGGGTGGGTTCACAAAAACATGAACAGATTTTTTTTCCCTGTGACGTCATGACCCAAGAACACAGATGATCATCAAGCTTGGTGAAAATTGAGTCTGATGATAATTAATCCTACATCTGCTTCTCGCTTTCTGTGGTCGCGAAGGTGGGCGACTTGATAATAAATGGTGTAATCACTGCTAACGTATTAACCAATGGCAGGAAGGAAGCTGTCTTCGGTGGGGCTATTGCTATGGAAATTGTCCTTTTTTTAGATCCTGATGGGGAGAACGGGGGATAATTACCACCATTTGGAAAATTAGCATGGGTTTCCGGTGGCATAAGAGGGGGCAGTGGGCCGACGTCAGCAGGGTATCTGGGGTTTGCCCCGCCCCCTCCCCAAAAAACAAGGAAAAAGTAGAAGATAATTTCTGTTTTAAGAGGAATTTTAAACTTTAAAAATCCCTTAATCCCCCAATATACAGCATTTTGCATTTCATTAAGAATTATATTTATCAATTGTTATTTTAAATTCAACTCATAGTGTAAGAATCAATAAGAGAACTAAACAACTTCAAGTAAGGCCCGTTTACACTCCGATCCAAACATCACGATGTTATTATGGAAGTTGCTATGTACAGTGCGTCCAAGAAAAAACGGAACCGAGAATTATCGATGTTTTATCATAACTTAGTCACATATATAATCAATAAATGACACATATTCGGAAAGCTTAGATCCTCTTCTTTTATTTGATGCAACTCATATGATGCATATTTCATGCATGAGTGATTAAGATCAATTTAAAGAGAGGAAACCAAAAAGTCGTTTGGCGAATTTCAAAGAGAAAATCACATTTCTAGAAAGTTGAGTTTCTGCCCTTTTATATGACACCTCAATAAGGAAAAATGAGCAAGGAATGACAAGGTTCTGTTTGTTTAAAGTAGTGCTTGCATTTCCATAGTTTTATCAAACGAATTCGTTTTCACTGGCTGCCCGCCGTAGCAACAAGCAGAATTGACAAAAGACTAAACTCCGTTTCGTTGACAATCAGCCATGCATGAAGTCTGTCGTCTACTCATTTAATTCTAATGTCTGTTAAAATTGATTGAATGTGTACGTGCCAAAATCACTTGAACAATGTCATCTTATAAACAGCTGCAAAGAAGAGGAAAGCTTGAAACATATTTGCAAAGGGGAACTATAGTAAAATTGGGAAAAGATTTCATTTGACGTTTGGACATTTGGACATTTTGGCTTTTCCCGTTTTGGGGTTAAAAACCTGTCTGATCAAAATGGTACGGATGTGGAGTTATACACGTTGTAAATGTCGGTGGTATTGGCATCAAGACTGTTAGCCCAGTCGGGAAAGACTGCAATGTTGAAGATCAGTCGGCCGAGGGTGTTCATACAGAAGAGTAATACACAGATGCACAAGAAGTTGAGAAGACAACCTGTTTTCACCTGTTAAAATAAAGATGAAATAATATAAATACTGTAAAATACTGTTACTGTAGTAATAAAAGGCAATCATATTCCATTCTTGCATTTCCCATTATCTGTTCCTACGCACTTCCAAATAATTTTTAAACATTTTTAATCCAGCTTTTGCTCCAGCAAAATGTATCAGTATACAGTGCATTTTAAAGAATAGTCGTGCTAGGTACCCGCTGACTAAACATAGGTCGAAGGTAGCGAATGTATGAACGTCTTAACAGAGGACGTTAGAGATGTGGCATGAACTAGAACTCTGTACTTTGTGATCCAAAGACAACTGACTTATACACTATACCACAACATCTCTACTATTATCATTATACCAAATTCACACGTTTTTTTCGCTTTCCTCTTTAACATTTTATATTCAGAGACAAGACCATACATGACTTGCTATCATAATATGTAATGCAGCATTATAAAATTGACAGAAATGAGCTGTCACCCAGATCCTACCATATCGATAACGTTGATTTCCTTGCTGGAGAATGCGATGGCATTGGGCGGGGTAGCTACGGGGAGCATGAAGGCGAAGGAAGATGAGACTGTAGCGGTAACCATCAGATATAACGGGTTTATCCTCGTAGCAACGGCCTATCAACAGTAAAAGCATGTAAAAGATGTTTAATTAGTTTTACTTCTAATTCGCATCTTTCCTTAATCTAACAGCAGATGTAACCGTGCAGCAATATCCTAATGACAAGCGGAAGTAGCCTATGTGTTTTATTTTTGCTGCGTTGTAATCATAATTATGCATATCCTTTATTTCTATGAAACAATGGGTTTATCGCCATAGAAACGAGCTACAAAAGTACCTAGTGAAGACCTAACAAGACGTAAGTTCGAACGGGTGAAATAATGTTTTATGAATTCCATTTTAATCTTCTCTGCTTTAGAGGCTTAGTGAAAAAGATCTTAAACTAGTCTCTGTATAATACAGAGTCTGGCAGAGGCTTTACACTTTCAACAGTTCTCCTTTCCTGAATATACGGGGAATTATTTTTGTTCATTGCTATGAATCGAATAGTGCATTTTAGGATGAATTATATATTAATAAGTGGTATGATAATTTGAAAAAACAGTATGGTCCCTTCCCGACTAAAGTGTTTTGATGACCAGACGATTTAAATCAAGTCAGAGTTGTCTTTTTACATACTGAATGCAAGGAGAAACAAATTGTACATGACCTTGGCCATCTCAAAAGTTCAACAAAAATCATTCAAAACAACTGGCTATATAAATAAAATAAAAAAGAATAAAACTCACCATTTCCGCCACGATAGGAAGAAAGATAGCGACGGTGACAGCGTTAGCAGTAAACTCGGTAAGGACTGATATTATGATAGCTATGATTAAAGCCATGGCGAAAGGAGGTATCCCGTAAAAGATCTTGAACTGTTCTGCTAACCAAGCTGACAAACCAGACTCCTAGAAAACCATGCCAGAGAGAGTGAGAGAGAGAGAGAGAGAGAGAGAGAGAGAGAGAGAGAGAGAGAGAGAGAGAGAGTTACTTCGTATCCGGACATCTACCCCCTGGACTACCACCCCCAGGATAACCAACCCCATGATAAATACTCTAGGACAACTACCCCCGGAAAACTACCCCACACACATCTACCCCCTAGGATAACCATCCTCCAGGACATATACCTCCTTGACATCTACCATCTCGTCCTAGAGGGTGGTTGCCCTAGGGGGTGGTTGCCCTAGGAGGCAGTTTTCTAGAGGCTGGTTATTCTGTAGTTATACGGAGGGTAGTTGTCCAGGAGGTAGGGTAACGGTAACAAAAAATCATCAGTGGTTTCGCTGGGTTATTTTGATTAGGGGTGGTTACAGAATTTCCGAATGGTCAGCTGAAAAATTGGCTAACAAAAATTTCGGATTGGGATGGGGTGTCATCCCGCACGCTTCCCATCCAATCAAACGACGCCCAAAGACAATTTTAAGGAGTTTTTCAATGATTTAGGTATCATTTAAAAGTGCATAGAAAGTTTACGTCGTCAACAACAAGCTATTAAAAAAAAACAGGTAGGTTCGATATCATAAAACTCTTCATTTCTTTGTCAGGCCAAAGCTCCTTCGCATTGTCATAAAATTTCCCTTGTTGTCTGTGCTTTACATAGTGTAAACAAACAAAAAAGTTTACAAAATCATTCAATGTGCTGAAAAGGAAGAACTTTGACTGAGTTAATCAAGTGATTTGCTGCAAGACGACATGTCGCGTTATGTTTTGAAAAAATGTCATGTCCTCTGATTTTTTAAAATAAACAAACAAACCATTGAATTTCAAATGATTTTGGTGTCCAACCTCGACTTGACTTACCATGCATCCATCTGCAAGGGCGAATCCTCCACCTACAACAATCAGTACACCCCATGGCATCTTCTCATGTACCACGTCCCAGCTGATAAGCGCAGGAATGGACTTGACTTTGGCTAGTTTTGGGCGACTTTCACTCCCATTCGTAGCATCGTTAACGCCAGCTGTACTCGTACTTGCATCGTTCGATAGGCACATTTCTGGATCGCTCTCGGCTGATTATTTCGTTTAGAGTTTTTGATAAAAAGAAATGTTAAATTAGCTTTCGTTATGTCTTCCGGCTATAGGAAGGGAATTCAATATAGTATGGGAACTTGTTAAGGATTATAATAGCTAATACATATTATATTGGATATGTAGGTAGATAATAAACTCTAATTACTACAGAGTATATGTATGCCTTGCTCTATGATTGCTGTCAGCCAAGCGATTGGACTAAAATTAATGAGAACATAGCTATGACATTACGCAAGAGCGTCCCAATTTAAAAAGGAGTTCGATAAGTAACTTACATGGCATCTTGTAAAATGTTACGTTGGCCTACCTTTAGTTTGCTGCTCCCTGATTCGTATTAGACGGAGCGGTCTCTCAGATGGAAACATGAACAGCGAAATAGTGATCAGTATTGTCGGAGTTGCACTTGAGAGGCTGAACGATAAAGCACGAAAGTGAGTAGCGTTGATGTGCATGCAAGACATGGGGGCAAAGTACGTTACTACAATCAAGAAGTGATACAGAGCATAGCTAAAACGGATATTTTTGCTATACTTCTTCTCCTAGTAGCATCTGTCTCCCTATCTACATATCTAACCACGTTTGGACCAACACATAGATTGCAGCCTCTGATTGCATTGGGCAATGCTATACAAGAACAAAAATACTCCTCAAAATCAAACTTTCTTCCGAAGCACAGACGGTAGCCATTTCAATTCGCCGTAAAGGATTTAAGATGTTTGCAAGGTTCATGCATGATAAACGCAAAGGTGAAGATTTTGCAAAAACAATGACATTGGTAGCGAGATTCTCTTTTCATCTTACCCGGTAGGAAAGAAAGACCCCCAGCCGGGAAATACATTCGGGTCTTGGGTGATCCATAGTACGACTATGATCAGAAAATGCCCCAATACAGCCCATTCTGCAAACCTGGAATTAGATTATGAAAAGAAAATCACACAAATGAAATTGAAATTTCGGGGTATTTATAACAAAGAGGTGGATTGCCCAACTAAATACATGCATTGTGAAACAGCTTATTAATGTTTTCGTATAAATTATGTCTTATGTACGGCTTCCCCTTGGAATGGGGCCCATATAGGGGTGGTAATCCAATTCCGGGGGACTGAATATGTATCCAAGATATAAAATGTTTTGATAAAATCGTGTACATACATGTAGCACCAAAGCAGGCTCTGTATAGTGCTATACAATTATCATATAGTACGTGGCGGGAACCATTCCAAGGCCCTAAAACAAAAAAAGGGGCTTTAGGTCTTTTTTGGATCCCGAAAGGGCTTCTTTTGGTTTTTGCCCCTCGTATATCAAATGGTTCAATATTTTATAGTTTTGTTCACGGAACACGTAACACCAAACACTGTAGGATATATAAAATGGAGAACCAAAAGTAAATGTCTAGCCTATACCTCATCGGGCCAAGATCGTCGTATGCACGCTGTATCACCTTTTTAATCTCTTTTGGTTGGAAGGTGTCTTCTTGGCTGTTGCTTTTACATCTGTAAGTGTAGACAATAATATTTGTAAAACAGAATGCAACATGTCAAATACATATATACATGAACGCCAGGGTACGTTGGTTTAAATTATTTCATCCTCCCATTGGTCGACGATTTGAGAAAATAAATGGACAAGCTTAGGCCTATACCTTTTGACGAAAAGTAGAAGGAAGATCAAGTGGATTCAAGTTGACTCTTTGAAAAGGAATCTCTTGGTCAATTAAGATATTACGCCTACTCTATGTTTAGGCCGTGGTGCTTTACCCCCCCCCCTTTTTTTTCTTGTGCATCTATATACATGTATGTATATAATAATGTATATCATTGGGGAATAAAGAGCATTGTATAGTAATACTTGAATTACAATATAGCTCAGGGATTTTGAAATGCTTGCGATGGGACCTTTATTATGGATGGGAATCAACATCACTGATATTTCTTACGAAATAAAACTAAATTATATACAAAAAATGAATTCAAATACTTTCATAAACAAACCTGATGTAATGGCAATAACCGTGCAAAATGTGCGTACATTACAATGCCATCATGAAAGCCGGAGATTTTTTTTTAGGCAATAGGGTAGTGAAATTGTTCTGAAGTTGATTACTTGAAAGCGTTAAGAACATGAATAATTTTTGTCAGATTACATGGATAGCTTAACTACCTGCGAGGTAGATACATATACTGTAGCCACAACCAAATGACCAGGATGCAGACGACCATCTGAGGGAAGCAGTAGAGTGTCCAACTTCCAAAATGTAGACCTGTCTCCTTTCCGAATAGACTGAGAGTTTGGTAAAAGATGTATCAATAAATTATAATATAAGAGGGCTTTAATTCCCATTTTTTAATATATACATTAATTTAATATTTATATTTATCAACTTACCCTTTTTTAAAATAGATTTTTATTATGTTTTTGCTTGTCACATAATTTTCGTACTTGACTTGCTGTCCCCCCCCCCCCCCCCCCACTCGCCTCACCAGACAATCTTGGATCTGCCACTTTACCTTTCAACAACAGCCACGCCGACTATATTCGGAGGGGCACCGATCAACGATCCAGTCCCGCCTACATTGGCCGAATACGGGATACATAGGATGACGGCCTTGCTCAGGCGTAGGTGGCGTCTGCTTTGTTTTAACGATAAAGGGCTTGCATGCCCATCGCTGTGATAAGATAATGAAAATAAAGTGAAAATGTTTCAGATTTCATAGGATGAGTGACGGGTCTATTGTCAGCCAATCGCTTTGTGAAGGGGGATGTTAACATTTTAAGATACATGCATCGATTTCATTTACAGGATAATAGTATTGAAAGTACTATACCACCTTGGTCCCCGACCTCACTCACGTAATACTTTAATTAAGAGTTTTTTAAGAGCTCTTAACCGTTGTAAATATACAAGAGCCACACAGAGGCAAAAGAACCTTTATTCAATGCAGGGTAGGTATTCCAAGGGAAACGGGGGAGGACGCCATTCACTTGGAAAGGTTCAAAGGGGTCGTTCATCGCCGATATTTAAAAAATCCGTTACACATTTTCTATACGATGATGATTCAATTACTACGATTTTCTCGTATGGCACTATGTAGGCCTATCATTAATTAATTCATTTAAACGTATTATCTTTGCAACCAGGTGGCTAAATTGCGATGGTACAATAATATTTAGACCTTTAATTGCTCGTTGAATCACATAGAATAAACAATTAAAACGCAAACAAGAGAATTCAGTAAACTGCACTGCATTTTTTTTTATGCATATCATTTCTCTAATTTTATTTAGTAAACTTGAATGATATAAAATCCTGCTCAAATACACGTATGAACCACACATGTACAGACAATGGAAACAAAAATGATTGAAATGGGTTAAGACCGCCTTTGATGATATTTTGAGAACACTGAAGAGAACACTCACCTTTGTGATTCATCACCGTTTCTCTTTCCTGTATGTTCGTCCGATGACAACACGTCATGATTGGTACGCTAACAAAGATTAGTTGACAAGTTATTGTTCTATATTGAAAATTCACATCTTAAAGTGTAAAGATGTTTAAAGAACATTATAAAGATGGCGTTATTAATCTCTGAGCGAAATAGCGTAGACCTACGCTACATGAATACTCATACCAGAGAAAAATGACATATTATCTACTACACCTTTGGACTTGCAATTAGGGGGGAAATTTTAACAATTGTTTCTGCTTCAAGCAACTTGAATCTAATCTAAGTTGTTTCTTATCAAATCGATGGGGATCTAATTTTGTTATAGATCATTTTAAAATTTGAGACTCCTCAACACTAATGGATAGTTGGATAGTTGAACTAACAAATATATGAGAAGGGTGAGAAAATTATACAATATGACTCCCTCTCACATCGTACCCTCATCAGAGGCTTTGTAAATTCGCACATCATTTTCCAAGAGAGGTGCCCCTAATGCTGTCAGTGCCCCTCTTGGTTGAACTCACGCGCGGCCCCTCCCTGAGTTATTGACTTGTTAATAATCTTTAAACTAATACCTTGTCTTCCGCCTTTTCTCCGAGGTCGTCTTCTATTTCGCTTCCTTCCTTGATGCCCTGCTCACCGATCTCATCATCTTGGTTGATACGCTAACAAAGATTAATTGACAATTAGCTATTGTTCTATAAACTAAATTCTCATCTTAAAGTGTAAAGATGTTCAAAGAACATTGTAAAGATGGCGTTATTATTCTCCGAGCGGCTCCATTTTAACTTGATGTATTTTTTAGGACTGCGAACTGGCGTAGGCCTACGCTACATGGATACTCATACCAGAGTAAAATAACACATATCTACTACACCTTTGGATTTACAATTAGGGGACGATTTTAAACAATCGTTTTCTGCTTGAAGCAACTTGAACCAAATCTAAGTTGTTTCTTATCAAATCGATGACGATCTAATTTTGTTATAGATCATAAAGTTTGAGACTCCTCTACACTAATGCATAGTTGAACTAACAAATATTTTCGAACACTTATCGAAATATCAATTTGGCCACAATATTCGAAAATAAAACTTTTTTTTTTTTTTTTTTGTTAAACTGTCACGTATCAATTAAATAGGACTCAACCTACGAGATGGTTTCGTTATTTAATATCCAGCTAAATGCTAGATTTTTGTATGGGAGAGGGGGTTGGAGGGGGAGGGGTAATAATAGCTTTCATTGATCGTATTGTTCCTTTAACGGACATAAAACATTTTAACAATTAAGACCTTTGAACACATAAATTTTCGACAAATACAATATAAAAAATACAGTATTTACTTTTATTATTGAACATCCGATGTGAGAATAAGTTGATGTAACATCATAAAGAAAATGAACAGAATATGAAACATAAATTAAAACCCTGAGGTTCAATTTCTTTACATGGTTTACAATCTCCTACTGTACATGCACTACCACATTACAGCGTATAAAGTATAGTATCGGTACTATCTCAAGCATCTAATTGTTTCTCTTATTCTTGTTGGGTTTGTAAAATATTTTATTGATATTTATTAGCTTTACCAATGTTGTTAACAAAGGTAGTCAAATACAAGGGCATTCCGGTTAATGCTTCCCTTCGCATGTCCTTCTTCAGTGTTTTCTTCGTGAATGTTATCGTTACTAGGTCTACTCGTAAAATCCAAACTGTTATACAATTCAGTGTTAATGCCCTAATTTAAAACCCTCTCGTCTGTTTATTAAAAATTTGAATTTTGAGTTCCTTGTAACTATGATTTATGAACAACAGCGTATTCATGGAGTAGGAAACACCACTTGAGGGGGCATAAAATAAGAAAAAGAAAGGGGAGCACATATTATGCGGTTAAAATGTACCCGGAAACACTATATGCGTTCCTAAGAGGTATGCTTCGCCAGGACTGGTTTAATCACTATTCTACCTCGTGTGTTAAGGTTTTAATCTATTTTGGACCTTATTCCATTAATCGTATTTTCAATCAAGATACGTGACCATAAGTATCCAAGTGGAGTCAAACCGAAAAAGGGTGTACATTTACAGAAGAGGGGCTGGTCAGTTTAGCCCTATGGCATATCCTTTAGTGAATGATTTCTTGCAATGACGTATCTTAAGGGATACCGTGGTGCGAGTGTCCCTAATCGAATGGCAGATAAGATAATGACAGACAAGAGGGGAAATAAGGAATTCAGAGAAAAAGATAAAGAGAGAGAAATATTATGAAGGGCGAGACAAGTATATACGATATGACTCCCTCTCACACCGTACCCTCATCAGAGGCGCCTTGTAAATTCGCACATCATTTTTGGAGAGAGAGAGAGGCCCCTAATGCTGTCAGTGCCCCCTCTTGGTTGGGCTCACGCTTTGACTTGATAATAATCTTCAAACTGTCTTATACCTTGTCTTCCGCCTTTCCTTCGAGGTCGTCTTCCATCTCGTGTTCTTCCTTGATGCCCTGCTCACCGATCTCATCGAGCACGGCTCGTGCGATGGGAAGCATCATTGCCGTGACAGCTGTATTATTCATCCATGCTGACAGAAAGGCTGTAGCACTCATAAAGCCTAGTAACAACCTGTAATAAAACACCACTAAAGGGTCACTAAAGTGTTCCGAAGTTTTTCATTTATTACACTTCAGGGTTAGCTTTCAGATGTCGCTTGGGGGTGGGTAATTACAGCGCACCTAATGGTAAAGGACACATTCAGAGCGCACTTGTGACTTGGTTTTGCGGGGAAGGGGGTGGGCACGTGCTACCGTATCCGCCCCAGAGCTTTCTGTACACAATGACAGTGGCCATCACAAGCACTGTCATTCACATTCAACCTCAACCGTAGGCTGCACGTTGTCTATGTTTATACTGTGCTTCGTGTTTGCCCTCAGTTAGGATGAAGAAAAAAAACCTGTTCGTGATCATGACCTATAATCAGTTGTAAATATCTAACTTCTGCTGTGGTGGGTTAGTTTGCGGTTAACAGCCAAACACGAGGACTATGGAAGCAGGAGACCTTAGGTTGTAAGGGGAAAAAATATCATCGATATTTCGCCCAAGCACGATGTCGGCAACTTATATTTATAAATGTATAAATATCTAGTAGTTAAATATTAAATTATTATGTTTATAATGTAATTACTAATTTATTGTGAGAAATATTTAGGCTTTACCCGAGGCCAATAGTGCCTTTACAAAATTAAACCCTCGAACCTTAACCCCCCCCCCCTGTTCCAAGGGCATTGATCAATCCACTTAACCCTATACCACCTCCTTCACAAGGAGACTACCTTACCTCTTAGGATCGGTACCGAACAGGAGCAGTACTCGAAGAGCGAAACGACGATGTAGGTTCTGATGCTCAATGGCGGCGGCGAGGACCAGGCCCCCAAAGATCAAGAAGGTGACACTCTTGAAGTATTGCTGGACCACGGTGTCCGTGTCTCGGATACCAAAGACAGGGAAGACAACCATTGGGATGAGTGCCGTGACGGGTAAGGGAATCACCTCCGTCACCCAGTAGGTGCCCATCACCAAGATGGTGAAGACCATGTAACCAATCTTTTTAACACAAAACGGCCATATGCAATGCGTATAAAAGAGTGAACCTAATTTTGATAGCTTCTAATCTCAAGGTTATATCATGTGTGACCTTGAATCATATTGTATTGTAAAGCAGAACTAATACCCTGTTTAATGATACCCTTTTTATAACTGTGCTGCCAAGGGTGCCTGAGCGGCCGGCTTTTCAAAACGTATTGTTAAATCCTCTTGTATACCAAGCTTGGGTAGAAGCAATGAATGTGGGTCAAAAGAAATTATGTTTGTGTTACATGTATGTCTTTCCAAAACGATTGCTCGTTTATTTACATCGATTATTAGGCAGTTGATGAAAAAGGTGTTAATATCAACTCAAACTCAAGGAAATGCTTTTTACAAGCAAAATTTATGATATTCTCTTCGTTATGATAATTACAATCTTCGTTCGCATCCCTTGTTTATTAAAGGTTACCTTCTCATTTAGGGATACAAAATGGATAACTTTTTTTTAGGAATTAGGATGTTATCTTTTTTCATGAAAGCCTGCTGTGATTTTCTTTGATAATTCATATATCATCATATTATATATATCTTCTTTCTTTCATTTGGGTTTAGTAACCTTTGGGTTTTCATTCGTTATTCCAGATAAACACCTTTAATATGCTCCTTACGCGTGTGAAGTGGCGCAGTAGACAAGTGAGAAGAGAGAACTTAGATATCAAAAGACAATAAGTTAGTATAGGCTGTTTAAAATAAGTAAAGGTTATCCTGTGGATAGAAGCAAGGTTCTGTATGAGCCTAAATATAACATTGCACCCTTTTAAACCATGAAGCACTGAAGCACGATGCACAATTAAACAATTAAAAGATTTAAGACCAAAGAAGCACATGCATATGTTCTAACCCACATTGCTTCCTTAAGCCCAAACTTGGAACAAAGCGATTTTGACAACACTTTTTAAAGAACCAGGTGCTCAGAAAACAGTGGCAGAAATAATGAAAAGTGTATCATTGGACAGAAAATAAGTTAATAAGTTACTCTTCATCATGAAATCAATTCCAAAGTCATAATATTGGTTATGACTTTTAATTTAGGAGCTACCAAAGTTGGATACACTTTTTTTTATACGCACTATGTACAATAAGTATAGCCAGAATCATTTGCTAAGAGAAGGGGAATCAAAATGGATTATGGGTGAAACCTTCCAAGAACTTTTATTTTGTTGTATTTTTTTAGAAAAGTGGCCACCGGAAACCTTCCGAACAGACTACGGCCAGCTTTTGGAAAACATTCACATCTTGATAAGACATTAACCTTAAAATATTTATTCTCTTCCTGGTCAATATTGTAGGGGTGTTGTGGTTCAGTAAAAGGACAGGCCTAAACTGCTGTGAATTCAACGTCACCTAATTATTAAAAAAATCATACAGATTTAACACTACATAAAGGAAATCAACAAATCTAATTAAAAGCGGAGCATTAGTGTCTAACGTTCATTATTTTTCTCTTATTTTATCTTGACAAATTGCACTTTTGTTGCTATTTATCATCATGATTCAATTCATTTGTGTACAGCTGGAGGAATTATATCAACAAGATTGAACAAAATAATGTTTTTCTCGAAAACGTAAAGTCTAGAGCTACGGCACCCCATCCAATACCCTCCTTCTGATCATAGGCCTTCTAAATTAATGAAATTCAACCCCTTGGGAAAATGTGACTTACCTGGGTGTTAAAACAAATTGGTACCGGGCATAATATTATAAGTACCAAAGCGATGAAAACATATTTCCTCGTGAGGTGCCACCATAATTGAACTTTCTCCTTTTTCGTCAAGATTCGGGCCATCTCGAAGTAGTTTGGAACACCACGAAAATCCTGAACTCTGAAGAGATATCGCACAGCGTTGACACAATTTACAACCCTAGCTAGCGCGGAATGAACACATGAATAAGCGATGTTTTAAAGTTGTACTGGAGTTCACACGATTCAGGACATTGCCGTATTATCATTTCCGTTTTTTTTTTTTTATTATACCATGGATTTTATAGACTGGATGTGACCAAATTTGATTGTTGACTCGGGGTTGATAGCCCCATTGTTAGTCATCTGAACCATCTTAACCCCTTATCACAGTGTTGCCACACTATTTTCACATAGTCAACTATGTATAAACTGTGTGGACATTATGTGTTCACATTGTTGTCACAGTGTGGAGTTTCAGGCCATGTGGTTTACCACATAATTTCCACATAAATTGCCATACTAAACACAAAGTACCACATATTTACCACACTGGTATATGTGTTGAACTATGTGTTAACTCTATGGTCACATTATTGTCACAGTGCGGGGTTAAATAATATCAAGTGGTTTACCACATAGTCGTACATATTTAACACAGAGTGACACATATTTACCACAGTGTGGTATGTACTGAACTATGTGCAAACTCTGAGTTCACGTTATTGTCACAGTGTGGGGTTGAAATCATGTGGTTTACCACACAGTCGTACATTTTTAACACATTGTGGTATGTACTGAACTATGTGAAAATTATGTGCTCACAGTATTGCCACAGTGTGGGGTTTGGTTTACCACATAATCGGTCATATTTCACACAAAGTGACACATATTTACCAAAGTATGGTATGTATTGAACCATGTGTAAGCTCTGATTCACAGTATTGTCACAGTGTGGGTTAAAATCACATGGCTTACCACATAGTCGTACATATTTAACACAGAGTGACACATATTTACCAAAGTGTGGTATGTATCGAACTATGTGTTAACTCTGTGGCTTATCACAGTGTGGGGTTCAGATCATGTGGTTTACCACATAGTCGTACATTTTTAACACAGAGTGACACATATTTACCACAGTGTGGTATGTACTGAACTTTGTGAAAACTATGTGCTCATAGTATTGTCACAGTGTGGGGTTTGGTTAACCACACGATCGGTCATATTTCACCCAGATTAACACATATTCACCACGGTGAAGTATGTGTTTTACTATGTGCAAACTCTGTGATCACAGTATTGCCACAGTGTGGGGTTTAGATCATGTTATCTTCCACATATAGTCGTACATATTTAACACAGTGTGCCACATACTTACTACAATGTGTACAATCTTTGTTCACAGTATATTGTCAGTGTGAGATTTTTAGATCATGTGGTTTACTACAAAGTAATATCCATATAGTATGTGGGCTTATTTTCAGTTGAACCAGATGATACCTAACTGTTGGCATATCTCCAGTTCCACCAGTTGATATTAAACTGTTCTGTAGGCATATTCCCAGTTACATGTGTTGAAAACCAGTTGAACCAGTTGACACCAGTTAATTTGCATAATGAATATGGGGCGCGTGCAAATCTATTTTTTTATACACTTTATCTGAATTTAAAGCATATTTCTGAATTACTGCTGATTTAGTTGTATGCAATTCATTTTGAAAGTACTAGAAAATATGAATTGCCAATTATTAGGACATTTTACTACTTTGTATAAATTACTTACAAGTAAACATAAATTAGGGAAATATTAACGATGGACTAGAATATATTCAATAAAATACAAGTATATGGAAATGTTAACATTCACTGAAATAAACAATTCTTCTTATTACCATTGCCTTTACATTTGAAATTGCAGATGAATCAGTGATACTGTGGTAATTGTTGTCATTGGCAAAATTAAGTAGTACCATTGCTACTTATAGCTCAAATTACTAATTAAATTTTCATCTGAAGGGTGCGATAGACTATGTGGTAGCCTATGTGGTGGATGCCACAGTATCAGACTTTATGCCACAATGTGGTAGAGTATCAGACTATGCGGTATATGCCACAGTGTGGTAGATGATGTGGTAATTATGTTACCACATGTGGGTCACATGTGATTTTGGGACGTGTGGTAAAGCTGTGGTGTACTATGTGGTACGTACCACAATGTGGTAACGCTGTGGTATGTAGTTGACACCACCGTGTGGTAGAGTATTAGACTGTGCGGTATATGCCACAGTGTGGTAGGCGATGTGGTAATTATGTTACCACATATGATTTTGGGACGTGTGGTGACGTTGTGGTGTACTATGTGGTGCGTACCACAATGTGGTAACGCTGTGGTATGTAGCTGACACCACAGTGTGGTACCACACTGTACCACAATGTGTGTAACACTGTGATTGTTCCAGGGAATTCCCCCTTCAAACAAGAAGATCTACAATCATACATATGTCGTTTGAAAAAATTTAGACGATTCTATCAAAATCAAAAGAAACGGAAATAGACCGACATTTAACAAATAATTAGTTATGGACGCGAAAGGGAATAAGCTAGTGAATTGAGAAAATCTTGCACAAATACAATGAAAGTATTTATATGTATTTAACCACTTGTGTCGGTAAATTATTGGGGGGACATTGTCCACTGCCTCTCCCACACTAGTATATCGCTAATGATATATCATCAAATATTTCGTTCTTGTTTTTAGTGGATCCTTTATCGTGCCAGAAAATTGTGGAAGATTAAAAAATGATAATACTAAAATTCAAAAACATTTTCTTCACAAGTGTCATTCCTCTAAAGGAATATTCAAGGGTAAGCAGTACAAGCACCAATTGACGATAATCTGCCATGTCGAACTTCGGAGAAACGAAGACAAATAATCAAGAAAATTAATAAAAGTCTTAGGAATATAATCCAGATACAAGGCGACTTTGAATCTCATAAAAGCCAGGTGGCTAAATAAAGATTAATTTTCAATATGATCAAAGTTTGTCGGTGTTTGTAAGGTTTCCCTCACATGGACATGCATGCAGTAAACTTGAAAGGCCACGTAACTGCATCCATGCCTCGTACAGTTTCATCTAAGATGTCTTCTAATATACATGTACCATTTCAAATGCCTTTACAATTGATAGTTATCAGTGGCGTATCAAATGACCAAAACATTTTTAGGGGTCTGAACTGATGAGAATTGGAATAATTTTCTCAAGCATCAGGACACGAGGGTATCGATCCTCGTCTCCCAAATCAAAAAATATATGGTAACTATACATTGTCACGTTACCGTCACTAAATAAATCGATATTGAACAAAATAGCCTTTTCCCTCTTCCCTTAGTCGGTAGCGATGAAATAATCGTTTGGACAATTATTAGCCACTTTCCAAATTTCGGGGGGGGGGAGCTCTTTAAACATTTTCCAAGCGTTAAATCACTGGCCCAGTGATTCCGTAGTAAAAGACCTTAATAGTTATTGCAAGTCTGTAGCTCGGGTAAACATGCAGTGTGGTATCTGCCTATAAGCCTTTAATTAATTCTTGTACAACCTGAATATTTTAACATTGAAATGTATTACCCGAGGGAGCGAAGTAACCGAGTGATATTGTCTATTTTTAAATAACGAAAGTTACTTTTTAAATATTCAGAGATTAACTTTACGAATTGAATTGAATTGATATGGTTTAATTGAGAATAAAAGAATAACAATGCATCACGGCCTAATCGGCCGAATTGGGCAATGTTTTATAAATGCAAAATACAAGATATAATTACACTCATAGCAAATGACATCAAATCTATGAATGGAACGTTAATAAGTCACACTAATATTTAACTTTAAAATTCTTATTTGATCTTCCTAAATCATTTAATATATAAAAGAAATAAAGAAAAGTGAAGAATAACATGATAATGGTGTAGAGTAAAGAAAGAAAAGAAAAGAGGGTGGCAAGAAAGGTAAGATTAAGAAGAAAATGAAGAGAAGAAGAAGAGGAAAAAGTAGAAGAGGAGGAGGAAGAAGAAGAATCAAGTGGGGATAGGAAGAGGAGATGCAGGGTAGTGCGAATAGTAACGGTTTCAAACGGTGTTAATATCCAGTCATTACACATTATACAGACTACAAAATTTAATGATAGAGGCGAAATTATGTAGAAAACAAATAGTAATATGACATATCGTATAAATGAAAAATATACTCCAGGTAATAGCTACTCTAGGTAAAAGGTTATACTGCTTTATACACACTATAGAAAGGGAAGTTATTAGAAGTAAAAGTAGAAGAAGAAATAGGGAAAAGAGGATATTAGAAAAGGAATGAGAAGGAAGGAGAAGGGCGAGATGGAGGAGGTGGAGAAGTGGTAGAGGAAGAGGATCTAACTGTAAAATTGGTCATGGAAGATAATTTCAGTCATTAAAAAAATAAAAAAATAAAAGGTTTACAAAGATTCTAAACTTCGATACCGGAGATGTAGTGTTTCCATTGAAAAGATTAGACCCAATATAAATATAAAAGAGGTATGTATATTTAATATATCTCTATACAAGTTTGTTTTCATTACATAGTGTGTGTCAGTAATTGAAACCATAGTTTACATTCAAGTATTGGACTTATGGGAATAAATCTTTAATTCGTTAGATTGTAATAAATTTCTAGAATGCAAAACAGACAGATCCCTACTGTGATATTTTTTTTCGTGTAAACTAGAATTGTGGATTTGTATACTGTGTGAGTTAAAGAAAGTTTACACTCAAATAATTGTCATTTATTTTAAAAGTCAGCTATGAACGAAAGTTATCAAATATGTTTTGAAAGAGTATTATATCCCAGATCATTTGGTATCATTTTTGTGTGGTATGTGTTCAGGCTTGGATGAACAGGAGGCAATTGTTTGCAAGAGTGCAAAAATCGACTGGCGCAAAAGTAATAAAGTGAGAGAATGAATTGAATGTATCAAATGAGATGCATTGCATATGCATTTTTAGAACACACACAGACACACACAAGAAATACAAACACACACGCACTTACACACACACACACTTAAAAAACTGGAAAAAATGATATGACTACTTATGTGTACACAAATAGTATGCCATTACACAGAGTTACACATAGCCTACATGTAAATGCATTGCCAGAAGAAAATTTGCATTAAGTGAATTTTCGTTGGCTATTAAATCCTGCTTTCAAAGGTTTCTTGACATCCGTCTGACCTGTCAAACATTGCACTGATTATGTCTGATTCTATTCATGCAAACTTTCTGAAAAGATTCCTTATGTTTTGGCCTACAATTAAAACCAACAAAGACACTACATGTTTGCAAGTACATTACAGTCTGTCATATCCAGGCGCGTACGCAGGGGGGAGGGGGGGGGGGTTGAACCCCCCCCCCTTTGATTTTTTTATGTGTGTGTTTTGGACGAACCCCCCCCCCCTTTGCATTTTTAAAAAATAAAATAAATAAATACAAAAATAATCTTTAAAAAAAAAGAATTTTGGTAATGGGTGACCCAAAAAAGCTGGCCTAACCCCCCCCCCCATAACAAAACGAAATATTGATCGGCCAAACTTTCCAATTTAGTGACAACCCTCCCCCCCCCCCCCTTTGACTTTTTTATATGTGTGATTTGGACGAACCCCCCCCCTCCCCCAACGAAACGAAATATTGATCGGCTAAATTTTCAAATTTAGGGACAAAAAAAAATTGCCCTCTTACCACCCCCCCCCCGCTTATTCAGCGGTTGGCTGAGACGTTGCGAAATTTTTGAGACCCCAAAAAAAAAAAAGTGTCCTCTTACCCCCCCCCCCCCCCCCCTGCTTATTCAGCGATTGAGTCGTTGCAAAATTTTCGGCGTGATTTTCAAATTTTAACCCCCCCCCCCCCCCCCCTCGAAAAAATCCTGCGTACGCGCCTGGTCATATCCATCAGAGTAATTATAAAATGAAATCTCAGAATACGAAATTCGCAAATATTTGTTATAGCAGATCCTGATAGAGAGAATAGGAGAAAATTACCACCATTGTGATAAGTTTTAGCATGTGTTTCCGGTGGCATATCTGAGAATTAATGAACAAGGCGCAGTGTGCCTCGTCCTACTAAGACGACCCCTTGTCAGCCCAGGATATTTGGGGGCATCCCCCTAAATTAAAGAATATATAAAATTTCTTTTCGATGAAGAATTTGGTTAAATCACTTGATCCCCCTATATACAGCAATTTGCATTTTGTTTTTTAGTCATATTTCTATCACTTTTTATTTTGAATTCAACTAATATTGTAAGAATCAATGAGAGAAATAAAAAAAAACCTCAAGTAAGGCCCGTTTACAGTCCGATCCAAGCATCACGACCTTACTATGGAAGTTGATTTATATGGAGACTACCTTTGTTAAATATTTTCTTACAATATTAAAAAACAAAAGAAAATCACATGTCTTTGATCCCGTCATTGAAATAATGTCATTATGTTTACAATAAAAAGTTTGCATAGATTACTACAGCTGAGTACTGATTTTTCTTATTTTGTTCATTTGAAATGTTTTGTTTATATTTCTTTGCCTCATCAGAGGATTTATTATCTATACATGGTTTACATTCAAAGATACAATAATACAAATCAAACTTACATAATCACAAAAGCATCATTATTTGCATAACAAAGAATTTAAATTAAGTTTTGTTTTGCGAAGCATGAATCATCATTAACATAAGAATTATATTGATAGTTTTGTTTTCCCCTTTAAAAAAAATACGTAATAACTCTTTTGGGAAAAACATATGCTTTCTGGTCATATTTATATTTGACTTAATACTTTCCAATTTTTTTGTAATTTCTCTTTGGAAAATTTGTTTGGAAGCATCGTTTTTTTTTGTCTATTCCAGTACAATACCCATTGGTTTACGTGTTAAAATTGTCTTTGTGCCAGCGCGGACACGTACAGTGCTTTTTGTCTGCGATTCCCAAGTTATTGAAAATTTCAGTCATTTTTCAAAGTTAAGATTAACAGACAGTGTCTCAGATTTTCCGTGATGTTTTAACCAATCTTTACTCAATAAAAAGATAAGGTAAGAATTCTTGGTAGATTTTTGTTTCAATTCGGCATATAAAAAACATATATCGACTGGTTTAATATTCGAGGTATGGCTGCTTTATTATGCTCTCGGGAACTAGCAGACCCAGGCGCGCCTCAGGGTAATGGCAGGATCTGCGCGCGTTCCCTTGAGACAGCCAAGCCTCTCAAAGCAGTCGATATCTCTATAATAAGAGCTTAAAAAGGCCTTCAAATTAAAAATGTTATTCAGGAGCCCATCAGTCTAAAGTACTGTTAATAGGGGCAGTTGTTCAGACTATAACTATATAAATTTGAATTCGACAGCTCAACAAATCAAAGGATTGAATATGTACAAAAATCATACCGGCCACATTCATTTCTATGGGCTGTTGAAATTGATTTACTTTGTTATTGCCAAACTTACTTAAACAATATCATCTTTCTTAGAAACAGCTGCAAAGAAAAAGAAAGCTTGAAACATATTTGTAAAGAAGAGGGAAAAGTAGAGGGAAGGTAAGAAAAGGATGTCTACATGTGTATTTGTAAAGGTCGTTATGGTCAGTTCAAAATGGTACGGATGTGGAGTTATACACGTTGTAAATGTCGGTGGTATTGGCATCAAGACTGTTAGCCCAGTCAGGAAAGACTGCAATGTTGAAGATCAGTCGACCGAGGGTGTTCATACAGAAGAGTAATACACAGACGCACGTGAAGTTGAGGAGACAACCTGTCTTCACCTGTTAAAAATAAAGATGAAATACTGTAAATACTGTGAAATACTGTTATTGTAATAATAAAAGGCAATCATATTCCATTCCTCAATAGCGGAATTTTCCATTATCTGTCCCTACGCATTTCTAAAGAATTTTAGTAGACATTATAACTCCAGCTTTAGCTCCAGTAAAATGTATCAGTGTACAACAGGCGCGTACCTTTAACTTTTTGTATGCTTATGTTTCTGAGGAGAACCCCCTTTTTTTTATTTAAAAAATAAAAAATAAAAAAAATAAAATACAACCTTACCTCCCCGCCCCCAACTGAAACGAAATAGCGATCGGCCAAATTTTCAAATTTTGGGACACACACACACACACAAAAAGTGCTCTTACCCCCCCCCCCCCCCTGACAAGGAGTTATCCACTATACCACGACATCTCTATTTTTTATAATAAATCACACGTTTTTCCGCTTTCCTCTTTCACAATTCATATTCAGAGACAAGACCATAAATGACTTGCTATCATAATATGTAATACAGCATTATGAAATTGACAGAAATGAGCTGTCACCCAGATCCTACCATATCGATAACGTTGATTTCCTTGCTAGAGAATGCGATGGCATTGGGCGGGGTAGCTACGGGGAGCATGAAGGCGAAGGAGGCAGAGACTGTAGCGGTGACCATCAGATATAACGGGTTTATCCTCGTAGCAACAGCCTTTCAGCAATACAAGTAAGTAAAAGATATTCAATTAAATTTACTTCTAATTTGCATCTTTCCTAAATACATATTTATCCGTGTAGCTTATTTTTGGTGTGTCATAATTATATATGCATATCCCTTATTTCTATGATACAATGGGTTTATCGCCATAGAAACGAGCATGGGTGTCGATCCCGGGGGGATGGGGGGATATATCCCCCCCCCCCCCAATATTTCAGGTGGGGGGATGGTCTGTACAATCATCCCCCCCCCCCAATAATTCATCATCAACAAAAAAAAAAAAAAAGAGAAAAATTAATGAGAGCCCGATGAGAGTAGTTAATGGTTATTACTCGCATGATGACCATCAATATACACATTTTGTGACAAGAATAGATTGAATTCTCGCTCATACGGCTTTATCGGGAATTGATGAATTTATTCAATTTGTTCAATCAACAGCATCATAGAAATGCAGTGCACCAAATGCAAAGACGCAGCGTCAAAAAGCAACGAGCTAAATGTTAAGCGCGAAGCGCAAAAGTAGCAATCTGCAATGCACATCAGACAATCCTGGACAGTGTAAACATAGATGAACTCTGTGTCGAATTCGTGATGAGATCGGAGACAAGGAGAAAGATTTTTGGACATTAGTATGACTTATAAGATAGTTCACTAGTTGATATGTTGTTTCCGTTCACCCTTTTTAAAATTCACGTCATTGTATCTTTATTTTTATTTTTTTCACTCATTTTATTTCCGGATATTTCCTAAAACATTTGTCATTTTTGAAGAAAGATTATTATGTCACAACTTATTTTTGTTTTATTAAAAAGCTGATATAGGCCTATGTCACTGGCGTACTGGTGGGGGGGGGGGGGGGGGCTGGGGTCGCTAGCCCCAACCCAAAACAAAAATCCAACCATGACTTATTTTGAATTTCAAACAAATAATTTATAGATGTTCGTGATATCACATGATTCTCAACAAAATTCGCGTTTCTCCATTTCTGTTGCAAACTGACACATTCCCAAATAGCCAGGAAGAGCATATATTTTGTATAGTCACTAATGGGGCTAATTAGTGGCCGTTAACACTAACAGTAGTATTCAATTCCTTATGAGAAGCTTTTGCGACAAGCACTGCCGGGAGATTTGCGCGGAAGGAAGGGGGGCCACTGAATTCAGACTAGGATTAAGAGTTATAATTAAATGAAACGTCAAAGTACACGATACAACGAAACGTCTTCTTTTACTAATAATTTATTGAAACGGTAAAGCTTCTGCGCTTCGCGCGGGATGGGTGAATATGAATAGAGACAAGGATTAAGAGGAATAATTTATTGAAACGTCAAAGCTTCCACGCTTCACGCGGAAGGGGGAGGGAAACTGAATTCATGAAGGACACGATACAACAAATCGTCTTCTTTCTCTAATATTGTAATAAAATGTGAAAGCGGAGGAAGGGGAACTTAATTCAAACATAAAGGATTAAGAGTCGAGAATGGTACATCGAATCGTCTTCTTTCTTTAATAATCTAATGAAACGTCAAAGCTACCGCATTACGCGCGGAGGAAGGGGAACTTGGTTCAAACATTAAGGATTAAGAGTCGAGAATGGTACATCGAATCGTCTTCTTTCTTTATTAATATAATGAAATGTCAAAGCTTCCGCGCTACGCGCGGAGGAAGGGGAATTTGATTAAAACATTAAGGATTAAGAGTCGAGAATAGGTAAATCGAATGGTCTTCTTTCTTTAATAATCTAATGAAACGTCGGAGCTTCGCGGGGAAGGGGGGGGGGACTCCCCCTCCCTGCACCCAACCCCCTACCGCCCCCCTAAAATGAAATCCTGGCTACGCTCTTGGGAGGGGGATGCAACTTGCCACGCGCTTCTACCTCTTGGTTGCTTTGATCCATTGCCGAAAATATTGTGGCACCTATCATCCCCCCCCCAACCACGGATACAAATCGACACCCTTGGAAACGAGCTACCAAGTGAAGACCTAACAAGAACAGGTGAAATAATGTTTGATGACGTCCATTTTAATCTTCTCTGCTTCAGAGGCTCAGTGAAACAGATCTCAAACAAGTCTTTGACCGGCATAAGCTTTACACTTTCAACAGTTCTCATGTCCTGAATATACGGGGAATTATTTTGTGCATTGCTATGAATCATTTAACGGGTGAATTATATAGTAATGTGTTGTAATAATTTGAAAGAACAGTATGGTCCTTTACCAATTAAAGGGTACTGGTGACCAGACGATTTAAATCAAGACAGAGTTATCTTTTTACATACTGAATTTAAGGAAAAACAAATTGTACATGACCTTGGCAATCTCAGAGATTAAAGGGATAGTTGAGTTCTGTTGCAGCGGGCTCTACACAAAATAATTGTGTATTGAGATAATGAAAAACCGAGTGTCAAATTTGAAAGAACATACAATTTAAATGACAAAATCATATTTTGGGGATCAAAATCGATGCAGAGACGGCTGAAATATCCATAAATATGACACTTTATAATATTTGTGTACAACCACAAATATTCAATAATTTGAAAAAGCCGTTGAAAATACGAATTGCGCCTTTTACGTTGTATTTCAACCAATGTCGATGTTGGCTTTTTCGTGTGGGTTATATCATAGACCTACCACCAACGTTGGTGGTAGGTCTATGGTTATATTAAGCCCAACCAGCCGGCCCATGTATTGTTGTTGTGAATAAGCCAGTTTACGGTTGCGATCTGAGCATGAGCAGATAAAGGTCATTGCAGAACAAATTTAGAAATACACGAAGACGAAATAATGGATACGTGCTCATGAAAGTTATGTAACATTATTCATTCATGCACATTCAGTGCACTCCATGATACACACTGTCAGGTGGAAGTATTCTTTGAAAAGTGGAAACAAAGACTATTGATGTAGGAGTGATTATTTCTAAATGTACAAAGTGGGACCTCTTCATGTTTTGAAGATCTGTGGATATTCGGGGTCATTGCAGTAATGAGCTAACCGTGAACTGGTCTATTAAACAAGAATAAAACTCACCATCTCCGCCACGATAGGAAGAAAGATAGAGGTGGTGACTGTGTTAGCAGTAAACTCGGTAAGGACTGAGATCATGATGGCTATGATAAAAGCCACGGCGAAAGGAGGTATCCCATAAAAGATCTTAAACTGCTCTGCTAACCAAGCTGACAAACCAGACTCCTAGAAAAACAAGCCAGAGAGAGTGAGAGAGATAAAGAGAGATAAAGAGAGAGAAATGTGTTACTTTATAAGGTGGGCACGGTAGCGTAACGGTAAAATAAAAATAAAAATCAGGGGTTTCGCTGGGTTATTTTGCACAGGGGTGGTTACAGAACTTTCGGAAGGTCAGCAGAAAATTGGCCAACAAAAATAGTTTTTAAAAAAGAGCGTCGTGTTTTTAAATTTTGGATTTTGGATGGGGTGTCATCCCGCACTCTTCCAATCCAATCCAGCGACGCTCAATAAAAATTCTAACAAGCTTTTTTCACTGATAATGTGCATCGTGTAAAAGTGCATAGAAAGTATACGTCGGGTACAACAAGCTATCAACCTATTAATTAAAAAGGTAGGTTCGTCATTTTCAAATGATATCATAAAACTTATCATTTCTTTGTCCAGCTATAGAGCTCCTTCGTATTGTCATAAATTTTCCATTATTTTCTGTGCTTTAAAAACCTTTTACATTTTTATGCAAGTTATAAAATATGAGCAAAAGCGTCACAAAACAGTTTACGAACTCATTCAATGTGCTGAAAAGGGAGAACTTTCACCGAGAGCTCAAGGGTTAATCAAGTGGTTCACTGCAAGACAACATGTCGCCTTATGTTTAAATAAAAAATGTTCTGTCCGCGGAATTTTGGTGTCCAATCTCGACTTGACTTACCACGCATCCATCTGCAAGGGCGAATCCTCCACCTACAACAATCAGTACACCCCATGGCATCTTCTCATGTACCACGTCCCAGTTGATAAGCGCGGGAATGGACTTGACTTTGGCTAGTTTTGGGTGACTTTCACTCCCTTTCGTAGCATCGTTAACGCCAGCTGTACTCGTACTTGCATCGTTCGATAGGCACATTTCTGGATCGCTCTCAGCTGATTTTTAAAAAAAAAATTGATATAAAAAAAAGAAATGTTAAAATTAGCTTTCTTTATGTCTTCCGTCTACACCATGGGAATAAATAGAGTATGGGTCCTTATCAGCATTATGATAGCAAATATATATTATATTGGATATGTAGGTAGATAATAAACTCTGACTTACTACAGAGTATATGTATTCCTTGCTCTATAATTACTGTCAGCCAGGCGATTGGACTAAAATTAATGAGGACATAGCTATGCCGTTGCGCAAGATTGTCCGAATTAAAAAAAAGTTCGAGCTGTGTTCCAGCGAATTAGATAGGTACAGTGCATATCTTGTAAATTATTATGTTGACCTACCTCTAGTTTGCTGTTCCCTTGTTCTTATTAGACGGAGCGGTCTCTCAGATGGAAACATGAACAGCGAGATAGTGATCAGTATTGTCGGAGTTGCACTTGAAAGGCTGAGTAACGATGATGTGCATGCAAGACATGGGGCAAATTATGTTATTACAATCATGAAGTGATACAGAGCATAACTAAAACAGGTATTGTTAACAATTCTTCTCCTATCACTTTATCTATAAATCTAACCACGTTTGGACCAACATATTTTAATTGTAGCCTCTGATTGCATTGGGCAATGCTATACAAGAACGAAAGTACTCCTCAAAATCAAACTTTCTTCCGAAGTACAGCCGAAAGACGTTTTAATTCGCCGTTTAGGATGTGAGATGTTTGCAAGGTTCATGCATGATAAACGCGAAGATGAAGATTTGGCAAAGGCAATGACATTGGTCACAAGATTCTCTTTTCATCTTACCCGGTAGGAAAGAAAGAACCCCAGCCGGGAAATACATTCGGGTCTTGGGTGATCCATAGTACGACTATGACCAGAAAATGCCCCAATACAGCCCATTCTGCAAACCTGGAATTAGATTATGAAAAGAAAAATCACACAAAAGAAATTGGAATTTCGGGGTATTTATAACAAAGAGGTGGATTACCCCTGTGAAACAGCTCATTTATGTTTTCGTATAAATGTCTCATGTACGGCTTCCCCTTGGACTGTGGCCACAAGGAAATCATCATCCTCATATAGGGGTGGTAATCCAGTCCCCGGGGTACTGAATATGTACCCAGGATAGAAATGTTTTGATAAAATCTTGTATATACAGTCATGTAGCACCATAGTGCAATATTATTATTATATAGTATGTCGCGGGAACCATTCCAAGGCCCTAAAACAAAAATGGGGCTTTAGGTTTTTTTTGGATCCCGGAAGGGCTCCTTTTGGTTTTTGGCTCTCGTGCCAACGGTAGTATAATATTTTTCCATTGTTTGTTTAAGGAACACGTTACACCAAACACTGTACGATATATGTTAAGGAGAACCCTTAGTAAATGTTTAGTTAATACCTCATCGGGCCAAGATCGTCGTAGGCACGCTGTATCACCTTTTTAATCTCCTTTGGTTGGAAGGTGTCTTCTTGTCTGTTGCTTTTACATCTGTAAGTGTTAACAACAATAAAACGGAATGCATATTGTCAATATATTATACAGGAACCCCAAAGTACATTGCTTTAAATGCCCCCATTGGTCAACGATTTGAAGACAAAAAGAAGGAAGATCAGGTGGATTCAAGTTGACTCTTTGAAAATGGATCTCTTGGGCAAGTAAGATCTTACGCCTGCTCAATGTTAATGCCGAGGTGCTTTTACCCCCGCCCCCTTGCTTTTATATCATGGGGAATAAAGAGTATTGTACAGTAATACTCGAATGGAATTACAATATCGCTCAGTGATTTTGACATGCTTTCGATGGGACTCTTATTATGGATGGGACTAAAAATCACGAAATAAAACTAAATTATACAAAACATGATTTCAAATACTTTCATAAACCAACCTGAGTAATCATTATGGCAATAACCGTGCGAAATGTGCGTACATTAGAATGGCATCATGATAGCCGGACATGGTTTTAATTTTTGTTTTAATTTTTGTTTTTTTAAAGGCAATATGGTAGTGAAATTGTTCTGAAGTTGATTTCTCGAAAGCGTGAGCAGTTAAAAACGTAAATTTTCAGATTACGTGGATTGCTTGTTAACTACCTGCGAGGTAGATACATGTACTGTAGCCACAACCAAATGACTAGGATGCAGACGACCATCTGAGGGAAGCAGTAGAGTGTCCAACTTCCAAAGTGTAGACCTGTCTCCTTTCCGAATAGACTGAAAGTTTGGTAAAAGATGTATCAATCAATTAGAATATTGCATAAAATAATGTTGTATGCTCTTTTAATTTGCATGGAAATGATGAGACTGTAGAATGGAAATCGTAGTGTTCAGGAGCAGAGAAAGTCCTCTACCGTAGTAATTAATCGAGCTAAATCGTTCATCACGCTTGGAATACTGCGGCCACAGTCTCTCTATCCACCAACCCACCTAAATATCTATCTATTTATATACCTATCTATATCATTGTTTTTTTCTCTCTCCCATCCGTATATTTCTCCCTATACCAATTTTAGCCCTAACATGTTTATGTTGTATTTTTATTTTTATATATCTTTTTGTCTCAGTTTTTTTCTCTCTTTGTATATAAAGTTGGTCGTTTAATTCAGTGAACCTATATACGCAAGAAGCCTGTCTTTTTACGTAGGTTCAATTTTCATATCCATATTTAATAATTACCAGAACATTTTGTCATGTTATCAATTACTAAGATTCAGGATTATTGATCAGTCTTTAAACAAATAAATTGTTTGCTTTTTTTATTTTGTGCATGGAATATGAATAAATGCAACCAACCGATCATTCAATCAATCAGTTCCCTTGACCAACTCTGTTCCTCCAAGAAAAAAGCTACACAACCAACTATAAAACTTGATTTGCCAATATTTGAGTACATCAAAGCAATCAGTAAACCAAAGATACAGGTTCGAATCATATTGCTCCGATTGTCTCATTTTCGCTCGCGTGAACATTGCCAGCACAAACCACTGACCTCTACCTCCTGAACGGATCATCGCCCATTCCCATTCACTATACGTTATGTACTAAAAGGCTGTATTGTCTGACCGTTCATGAATATTCATGTTTTCGCTAAACTCGGCAAAATGTTTGCTTTTATTAAATGGAAAAATTACGGTGGGGGGTTGGATGAAATGGACATAATGAAATAGGCAGAAGTGATCTATGATACTTCATGCCTTTTATGTTTCGTGTGCTCGACCTATAATCTTCAAATCGCTTGGTAAACTGAGTCCAAAGTTAGACTTGTTTCACATGTGTATTATAGGCAATGAAGAGCTTGCAACCTATTTTGAAAAATTACGGTGGGTGAACTTTCAAAAGTCAATGAGACATGAGGGCTCCAATGAAAGAGCTAGTGATAACGTACGTCGGGTGGATGTGCTTTTCGTTTAAACAAAAAATGAATTTTTAACGATTTCTTAAAAAAACGTCCATAGGCTAACATGTTAGGCTGCTGGCTCTGATCATGCTCTGACGATAGGGGGCGTTGTGAAATGAGACTAAACGGAGCCATATGCCAGCTTAGACGCAAGACTTAAGCCGCCCTTCCCCCAATCCTTGGATGCCGGCTATGGGAAACTGTGGGAAAACACTACGTCCCTCGGATAGGACTAATAATATAGCCACATTCTTGCAATAACGCAATACATTCTTCTCATAAAGAGAAGGGGATCCTAGGTGTAGTAAAATGCCTCGACCATTTAGTCAGACTGACTCAACGTTCATAGTTATTAAGATTGTTTTGGTGACGCCTAAGAATAAATATTGATCACTATGAAAAGCAGCAGACTAGGATATATGACCTACCCCTACTATTTGTTTTCTTCAATTCGTCATCATCTAAAATACACAGGGCGGAACCAGGGGGCACAGATAGCTCATGCCGGCCCTCCCCGCCCCCGAAATGGAGAATAAGAGGGCTTTAATTCCCCTTTTCTATCAATTGATTGATTGATTGATTGATTGATTTATTTATTCATTCATTCATTTATTAATTAATTTATTTATTAATTAATTGATGTACTTTTTCATTTATTTATTTATTTATCAATTTACATTTTTAATTTTTTTATTATGTGTTTTGCTTGTCACATAATTTTCGGACTTATTGTCCCTTCCACCCCCCCCCCCCCCCCCCCCCTCCCCTCACCAGACAGTCTTGGATCTGCAAATGAAATGTGAGATATCATGAGGACGGGGAACCGCCCTTTACCTCTCAACAACAGCCACGCAGACTACGTTCGGAGGGGTACCGACTAAAGATCCAGTCCCGCCTACATTGGCCGCATACGGGATACATAATATGACAGCCTTGCGCAGGCGTAGGTGGCGTCTGCCTTGTTTGAACGAGGAGGGGTTTGCATGCCCATCGCTGTGATAAGATAATGGAAATAAAGTGCATATGCTTGAGATTTCGTAGCATGAGTGACGGGTCTAGAGCCAGCCGAGCTTTGTGAAGGGGAATGTTAACATGTTAAGATACAGGCATCGATATCATTGATAGCAAATCCTATTGAAAGTAATAGAGCCTTTATTTAATACGGGGTCGGCATTTGAAGGGAAACCCAGGACATATACAGGGTGTGCCGCTCTAATGGTCACTTTTTCACAAAAAATCCTTAAACATGGGTTCCACTTGGAAAATGCCCCCTATTAATGGGTAGGGGTTTCGAGGCTTGAGTGGCACACTCCCGTCCAAACCAAATCTGAGTACCCCCTCCCCCCCCCCCCCCCGAAGGGAAACAGGAGGGGTGGGACGCCATTCCCTAGGAAATGTTCAAAGTGGTCGTTCACCGCCGATATTTGAAAAGCCGCTACAACTTGTCCATATACCGTTCAGCTTTTATGATTTTCTCTTATGGCACCATGTATGCTTAATTCAATTAATATTAAGGTATTATCTTTGCCACCAGATGGCTAAATTGCGACAGTTTGCCAGCATAATTATAATTGAATATATAATTTACACCTTTTATAGTTACAGTGAATTACATAGAATAAACAATTAAAACGCAAAACAGAAAATGCATTAACAGCAATTATTTATAATATTTTTCTAATAATAGTGAACTTGAATAATATAAGATCCTGCTCAAATTCATGTATGAATCACAAAAGTATATACAGACAATAAAAACAAAAATGATTGAAATGGGTTTTCGACCGCCTTTGATGATATTTTGAGAACACTGAAGAGAACACTCACCTTTGTGATTCATCACCGTTTCTCTTTCCTGTATGTTTGTCCGATGACAAATCATCTTGGTTGATAAGCTAACAAAGATTAGTTGACAATTAGTTACTATTTGTCTCTATTGAAAATTCACATCTTTATGTGTAAAACTGTTCAAAGAACATCATTAAGATGGCGTTATTAATCTCTGAGCGGCACTAATTTAACTTGTTGCATTTTTAGGACTGCGTAATAGCGGAGGCCTACCCTACATGGATACTCAGAGAAAAATAACACATATCTATTACACCTTGGGATTTATAATTGGGGGAACATTGTAAACAATTGTTTTCTGCTTGAAGCAATTTGAATCAAGTCTAAGTTGTTTCTTATCAAATCGATGGGGATCTAATTTTGTTATGGATCATTATAAAATATGAGACTGCTCTGAACTAATGGAAAGCAGAACTAATGGAACGCAAAGCTAACTGTGAGAACAAAATAATTACATTTTTCAAAACTTATCAAACTATTTGGCCACAATAATCGGAAGTATAATTATTTTTTTAAAATAACTTCCACGTATTGAGATTAATAGAACTCAACCTACGAGATGGTTTCGTTATTTTATATCCAGTTATATGCTAGATTTTGTTATGGGAGAGAGGGGGGGGGGGGTAATATTGAGCTTTTATTGATCGTATTTCTCCTTAAATGCGGACATCAAACATTTCAATTGGAACTATTACGACCATTGAACACTTTGGCAAAATGCCTGGCAACTGGAATCCGTTTTATTGTTTTTAAAATTATAAACACATAAATTTTCGACAAAACTAATACAATATAGAAAATATAGTGTTTACTTTTATTATTGAACATAAAATGTGAGAATAAGTTAATGTAACACATGACAAGTGAATAATGACCCTAAGGTGCACGTTCTTTACATAATTTACAACCTCCTATATGGGGTTCCATGACACATGCTCCGCCGACGATTGCTCCGCCGACATTTACTCCGCAAAACGCGACAATTGCTCCGCGACATTTGCTCCGCGACATTTGCTCCGACGTCAAATGCTCCGCCGACAGGTGCTCCGCCGACAGTTGCTCCGCCGACAGTTGCTCCGCCGACAATTGCTCCGCCGACAGATGCTCCGCCGACAATTGCTCCTCCGACAATTGCTCCGCCGACAATTGCTCCGCCGTCAATTGCTCCGCAAAACGCGACAATTGCTCCGCCGACATTTGCTCCGCCGACATTTGCTCCGCCTGAAGCGACACTTGCTCCGCCGACATTTGCTCCGCCGACATTTGCTCCGCCGACATTTGCTCCGCCGTCAATTGCTCCGCCGACAATTGCTCCGCCGACATTTGCTCCGCCTGAAGCGACACTTGCTCCGCCGACATTTGCTCCGCCGACATTTGCTCCGCCGACATTTGCTCCGCCGTCAATTGCTCCGCCGACAATTGCTCCGCCTGAAGCGACAATTGCTCCGGTGACATATGCTCCGCCGACAATTGCTCCGACGACATTTGCTCCGCCGACAATTGCTCCGCCGACATTTGCTCCGACGACGTTTGCTCCGCCCAAAAAGTGTCCCATTAAATACAAATGCTACTAGTACTACGACAAATGCTTCGCCGACAATATTTTTTTTTCACGGGTTGTTTTTGTTTGTTTCTTTTTTTCTTCATTTTTTGAATGCATTTCATGACATTATGTAAATGAAATGAAATGAATGAATGTTGATAATGTGGGAGGAAAAAGCAGTTGCCTAAAAGTCATTTCGAATATACTGAAATAACTTTCCATCTATCACTGTACGTCCCACATAATGTACACTAAACACTCATTACATGTCATGGGAAGTTTTTTTTTATTTAAGTAGAGCAGCAAGCCACATTCCCCAATACGCGCATACCTCCTAGTTAATTTCAAACAGCTCATCAATATGTAAGACCTGAAATTACCTCAATGAAAGAAGACTAATAACATGAGAGGAAAGAAAAGAGCAAAAAAGACAACCGTTTTTTGCTATTCCCCATAATGTTTGATTTAAAAAAATAAAAAATAAAATTATAGCTCCTTACGCAAGTTCTCCGGCGAAAGATAATTACTCCGCTCAAAATCTGTTTCATGTATTACTCATTAGCTGATCCAAAGCTCAAGGCTATCTCTCTCTCTCTCTTTCTCTCTCTCCCATGCTCCTCCTTTTCCTGTTTACACCGTTTTCTTGTCTTCTTTGCTCTTTTCTTTCCTCTCATGCTATTAGTCTTCTTTCATTTCCATCACTTCTTCTCTGCTCTACGGAAGCGTTAAAGTGCCATTCTACTTGACGACATGACGAGATATTTCATCTTGTCAAGTCGACTTAATATCCATATCATGTCGACATGTAAAGATATTTAACCTACCATGTCGACATATCAACTTTTATTAGTCGACATGGCGAAATAAATTATCTTGCCAAGTCGACTTCACAAAAAGTTCATGTCGTCATGGCGACATATATTATCTTACCAAGTCGACTACCCAAAAAGTAATGTCGACATGGCGAAATAAATTATCTTGCCAAGTCGACTTCACAAAAAGTTCATGTCGTCATGGCGACATATATTATCTTACCAAGTCGACTACCCAAAAAGTAATGTCGACATGGCGAAATAAATTATCTTGCCAAGTCGACTTCACAAAAAGTTCATGTCGTCATGGCGACATGTATTATCTTGCCAAGTCGACTTCACAAAAAAGTTCAATTCGTAATAGCGACATAAATTATCTCACCAAGTCGACTTCCCAAAAAGTATATGTCGTCATGGCGAGATATGAAGTGTGACGACTATGTCATGCAGCGCGCGTATATGGCAAGCCGTTTGTGTAAAAAACAGATAAACTCTGTTTTTCTCAGATAAACTCAGTTTATCAACATATAAACACAGTATATCAACAGATAAACACAGTTTATCAGAAAAACTCAGTTTATCAAGAAAAACTAAGTTTATCTATGATAAACTCAGTTTATCAACTGATAAACTGAGTTTTTCTGATAAACTCAGTTTATCAACTGATAAACTCTGTTTATCTGTTGATAAACTGAGGTTATCATTGATAAACACAGTTTTTCTGATAAACTGAGTTTATCTGAGAAAAACAGAGTTTATCTGTTTTTTACACAAAGGGCTTGCCATATACGCGCGCTGCATGACATAGTCGTCACACTTCATATCTCGCCATGACGACATATACTTTTTGGGAAGTCGACTTGGTGAGATAATTTATGTCGCTATTACGAATTGAACTTTTTTGTGAAGTCGACTTGGCAAGATAATACATAATTTTGGTAGTCGACTTGGTAAGATAATACATGTCGCCATGACGACATGTTTTTTTTTAGAAGTCGACTTGGTAAGATAACTTATGTCGCCATGACGACATGAAATTTTTGTGAAGTCGACTTGGCAAGATAATTTATTTCGCCATGTCGACTAATAAAAGTTGATAAGTCGACATGGTAGGTTAAATATCTTTACATGTCGACATGATATGGATATTAAGTCGACTTGACAAGATGAAATATCTCGTCATGTCGTCAAGTAGAATGGCACTTTAACGCTTCCGTACTGCTCCCCCTCTCGAGTTCTATTTCTCTCGTGAAATTGAAACGTAAAGTAATACAATCATGTAGTACATTCTTGTTTAGAATAATATTTTCAATAATATCCAGTCCATTTTCTAAAGGTTTCTTTCCTTTAGTTAAGTGTATGTAGCTTTAATATATATATGTTAGTGTGCAAAACACTCCGTTTCATTCGAGTACTTTGTTTTCACTAAATAATTTAAGGGACTCGCGAAGCCACCGGAAGAAGAGCAATTGGCTTATCATGAAGAACTAACATCAAACTGCAACAAAATGATTTGTATAAATGTGAATAAGAAGAAAGGCTGCCATCTCATTTTCCCGTCTGAATGGGTTCTCTTCCTTACGTATATAAGTGCCCTTATTTTCTAAACTTTTTTTTTTATATTTGTGTGTTTATTAAATTTTCAATCATATAAAAATTACATATTTACAAGTCATTGGTAATAATTAGACAAACAAAAAAACCAATATGTATAAGAACAACTAACAATAATGAAAGGACAAGAAAGTTATAAAAAAAAAAACATTATAGTAAAAAAAAATACACTGGACACATATAAATCATAGTTTGAACTCCAGTGCATAAAGGGGAGTGAGGGGGCACAGGAATAAAAGTTAAATCAACATGAGTATCATAAGTCAAATCGCCATTTCTTAAAATGCGAAACAAGCTTGTTCCTTTTTTTCGCTGAGAAATATTCAATATCTTTTTGTTTCTTTATAAAACTCTTAAAAAGATCAACACTTGGTAAATCCCCCTTACTTATTTTCTAAACTTCCATGATGACCTATTACATTGTATAATGTAATGCTTTACCTAGTATTGGGGAATGTGGCTTGCTGCTCTACTTTTTAAAAAAAACTTCCCACGACATGTAATGAGTGTTTAGTATACATTATATGGGACGTACAGTGATAGATGGAAAGTTATTTCAGTATATTCGAAATGACTTTTAGGTAACTCCTTTTTCCTCCCACTTCATCAACATTCATTCATTTCATTTCATCTATATTATTTCAAGAAATGCATTCAGAAAATGAAGAAGAAAAAAAAGAAACGAAAAAAATAGGTGTAAAGAAAATATTGTCGGCGAAGCATTTGTCGTAGTACTAGTAGCATTTGTAGTTTATGGGACACTTTTTGGGCGGAGCAAATGTCGTCGGAGCAAATGTCGGCGGAGCAATTGTCGCTTCAGGCGGAGCAATTGTCGGCGGAGCAATTGTCGGCGGAGCAAATGTCGGTGGAGCAAATGTCGGCGGAGCAAATGTCGGCGGAGCAATTGTCGCTTCAGGCGGAGCAATTGTCGGCGGAGCAATTGTCGGCGGAGCAAATGTCGGCGGAGCAATTGTCGCTTCAGGCGGAGCAAATGTCGGCGGAGCAATTGTCGCTTCAGGCGGAGCAATTGTCGGCGGAGCAATTGTCGGCGGAGCAAATGTCGGCGGAGCAAGTGTCGCTTCAGGCGGAGCAAATGTCGGCGGAGCAAATGTCGGCGGAGCAATTGTCGCGTTTTGCGGAGCAATTGACGGCGGAGCAATTGTCGGCGGAGCAATTGTCGGCGGAGCAATTGTCGGCGGAGCATCTGTCGGCGGAGCAATTGTCGGCGGAGCAACTGTCGGCGGAGCAATTGTCGGCGGAGCAACTGTCGGCGGAGCATTTGACGTCGGAGCAAATGTCGCGGAGCAAATGTCGCGGAGCAATTGTCGCGTTTTGCGGAGTAAATGTCGGCGGAGCAATCGTCGGCGGAGCATGTGTCGGGTTACCCCTATATGGACTACAAAATTACAGCCTATAAAGTATAGTATCAAGCATCTTATCGTTTCTCTTATTCTTTTGGGGTTTGTAAAATATTTCATTGATATTTGATAGCTTTACGCCTTTACCAATGTCGTTAACAAAAGTGCACTGACCTTAATTAAAGATAAAGGTGAGTTCTGGTAATGCGATTACATTGTGAAAGAAAAGGGGTGGATGGATCAGAAAAAGTTGATCATGTAGCATGTAAGTATTGGTGTGCACTGCAAGGTTCTGGAGTCATCAAAATCATAATTAATTTGGCCCAGTCTTGGTAAAGTAAAAAGCACTGTACACAGAAAGCTATATATGGGACTAATTAATGGTGTTGGGGCTAGAACTACCTGATTTTCTTATCTTTCTATACTCATAACTCAGCCAATATACATTTTCTTCCAAAATTAATTGGCACATGACATTTATTTGTAATCTTGAACATTCAGTGTAAGTTTCGTTTGATTCTGTGAGAATTCATTTTCTTTTGTTTTTTTACCAGAACTCAAGTTTATCTTTAACACTTTGATATACAAATAAAGGGACATTCCGGTTAATGCTTCCCTTCGCGGGCAACACTGTAATGGCCTTCCTGTTTCCTTTGTGAATGTTGTAACTATAGGTCTACTCGAATGATCCAAATTGTAATACAATTGCCCTGATATAAAACCCTCTCGTCTGTTCAATGAGGATATGAATTAGGAGTTCCTTCTATGATGTATGAACAACAGTGTATTCATGGAGTACGAGATACCACTGGAGAGGCATTAAAGAAAGGGGAGCACAAATAATTGTGAAGGGAAAGTGTACCTGGAAACACTATATGCGTTCCTAAGTGTATAATTCGCCAGAACTGGTTTAGTCACTATTCTCCCTCGTGTGTTTAGGTTTTAATCTTTTTTGTACAATATTTTGGACCTTATTCAATGAGTCGTATTTTTTATTCAGATACGTGACCTTTAGAAGCAAAATGGAGTCAAAACGAAAAAAGGTGTACATTAAATTATTTACAGAAGAGGGGGTGATCTGTTTAGCCCTTTGATATTTAATACTGAATGAGTTCTTGCAATGATGTATCCCTCATCGAATGACAAAGGGAAAATAAGTAATACAGAGAAAAAGATTAAGAGAGAGAAATATGAGAAGGGCGAGAAGAGTATACGATAGGACTCCCTCCCAAGCACCGTACTCTCATCAGAGGCCTTTTAAATTCGCACATCATTTTTCGAGAGAGAGAGGCCCCTAATGCTGTCAGTGCCCCCTCTTGGTTGAACTCACGCTTTGACTTGATAATAATCTTCAAACTGTCTTATACCTTGTCTTCCGCCTTTCCTTCGAGGTCGTCTTCCATCTCGTGTTCTTCCTTGATGCCCTGCTCACCGATCTCATCGAGCACGGCTCGTGCGATGGGAAGCATCATTGCCGTGACAGCTGTATTATTCATCCATGCTGACAGAAAGGCTGTAGCACTCATAAAGCCTAGTAACAACCTGCAATAAAACACCACTAAAGTGATCCATAGTTTTTCGCCCATGGTAATTCAGGGTTAGCTTTCTGATGCCCTTTTAAAGGACACGTTCAGAGCTCACTTGTTACGGTTTTGGTTTAGCGGGGAAGGGGTGGACACATGCTGCCGTCAGTGCCGACAATGCAACTTACAGTGGCCATCACAAGGACTGTCCTTCACATATACGGTTGCACATTGTCGATGTTATACTGTGCTTCATGTTTGCCCCTTAATTATAGGATGAACAAAATCATGTTCGTGATCATGACCTATATCAGTTTTAAAGGTCTAACTTCTGCTGTAGCGGGTCAGTTTGCGGTTAACAGCCAAACCCGATAACAATGCAATGCCCTAGTGACTGTAAAAACCATACAAACTGCCGGCCTTTTATTCTGAATGAAATCGTGTACAATGAAGAAGAAAATAATCTTATCAAGGAAAAATATCATGGATTGCCCAAGAACAGTGTCGGAAACTTATATCTATTGTGAGAAATATCATTTACGTCTTTAGGCTCTACCCAAGCCCAATTGTGTATTGACAAAAAGCCTCTAACCTCGAGCCCCCCCCCCCCGTTCCGATGGCATTGATCAATCCACTTAACCCATATACCATCTCCTTCACACGGAGAACACCTTACCTCTTAGGATCGGTACCGAACAGGAGCAAGACTCGGAGAGCGAAACGACGATGTAGGTTTTGATGCTCAATGGCAGCAGCGAGGACCAGGCCCCCAAAGATCAAGAAGGTGACACTCTTGAAGTATTGCTGGACCACGGTGTCCGTGTCTCGGATACCAAAGACAGGGAAGACAACCATTGGGATGAGTGCCGTGGCGGGTAAGGGAATCACCTCCGTCACCCAGTAGGTGCCCATCACCAAGATGGTGAAGACCATGTAACCAATCTTTTTAAAAACAAAACGGCTATATACAGTGATTATAGCCAGAATCATTTGCTAAAGGAGCATGGATGGGAGGAATTAAGCGTCAAAAGGGATTATGGGTTAAACATTTCAAGACAATTATTATTATCATTATTTAGAAAAGTGGCTACCGCAAATCTTCAGAACAGACTACGGCCAGCTTTTTGGAAAACATCCACATCTTGATAAGACATGAACCTTTAAATATTTATTCTCTTCCTGGTCAAAACTGTAGGGGGAATTGGGATTCTTCTTGTACAAGAACAGGCCTGAATTCAGTGCTGTGAATTCAACATCACATTTCTATTAAAAAATTATCTAATCGTACTGAATTTCAGAATCTAGTCGTCTTGTTGTAAGATCTAGGGTTTTGTACCGTTACTGTCTTGTTCACGGACTCATGTTTAAGATGGTTCCAAAATGCCATATTTATAATGCTGACCTGGAAAATGCAAGTGTTGATATAAACATGTATATTTTGTTGTAGGCCAATTTACACAAGGCTGATAAAACCCCGATAACAACCGATTTTATGTTTAGGGTAGTGCAGTTTGATAGTTGCATTGAACTTTTCATTATCGTTGAATATAGGACTAACGAATAAGAGATTATGTCTTATCTTTTTTATCATGAAGTTTATTGAATTGCCCTTTTCGTAATCCATAGAATATTGAATTGAATTGAACTTTAATTGTTTCCCATCACACTAGAAATGACATTATACATTGTTGTAAAAAATATGCAAAGAAAAAACATTTAAATAATACATGTATCAACGTAGGAAAAAAAAGAAAAAGAAGACTTGATTAAATCTACTAAAAGTATAGAATGGAAAAAGGTGCACCCGTAAAAGCTAAATGGGCTTGATGAATGGGCGCACCTGGAGCGCGTCACAATATAATCAACAATAAAAGCTTAGTCTGCTGGAAAAGAGTAAAAGAATAAACAACACTTACAAGATATCATTTAAGAAGAACTATATGACAATCATAATCATCATCATACTAAAAGCAGTACCACTCTATCCCGTTTTAAAACGCTTTGTCGTAATGCTTTTCTGCTCTCACTTAAACAATCTTCATAATAATTTGTGCAAAATTTCTCTACAATTCTTCATCTCTCGTTGTTCCTTTTCTACTCTCCTGCCCCCTTCTTCCCTTCTCTATCTCACTATATGGGTGTATGCAGGGGCGGATCCACGTAGCGATTTTTCCGGCCCGGCCCCCCCCCCCCAGCCCCCCAAAACGATTTTAAAAAATAGGATAATAACGTAAAGTTAACCTTTATAAAACAAAAAACAAAAGCCCCCCCCCCCCCCGCTTATTCGCCGGCCGGCTGAGACGGCACTAAATTTTGTATTAAGATTTGGCTACCCCTCCCCTTGACGCCGTCTGGATCCTCTGCAGGCGCGGATCCACGGGGAGGGGGGGGGGGCTGACGGGTCAACAACAAAAAAAAGAATTTAAAAAAAAAATCTCTCAATTAGGTACAAAAAAAATATATAGTGGTCTCACCCCCCCCCCCCCCCCCCGCTTATTCACCGGCTGACTGAGTCGGCGCAAAATATTTCCTGACCAAAAAAAAAAGTGCCTTTCACCCCCCCCCCCCACTTATTCACCGACGGCTGAGTCGCAACTAATATTTTCTCACGGATTGGCCCCCCCCCCCCCCCCCCCCCCCCCCTCTTCCCGGCGGCTGGATCCGCCACTGGGTGTATGTATATGCTTTTTTTTCTTTTCTTTTTTTTTCCACATGATTTTGTATTACATAGCACCGGTCGGTTTTCATTGGGTGCACTGAGGCGCTGCCTCGGCCAGATCAAGTTTGCCCAGCCCATTGTTCTGCCTGTGTTTTTTGTTATACAATTTTACCTGTTTATTGTACAGGGAACCCCACTTACAAGCTTAAGCTTCTCTCGGGTTTAGTTCAGGTCAGTTTCGGTTTCAGTTTATTTTCAAATTTCACATGTTATATATAATACATCATTACATTTGGCATGTTACATTTTTGTACTCATTTTTGGATGCATTTATACAAACAAAAGAATAATACATAAGACTAATATTTCACACTGGCAATATTTTGCTTAACCCCGCACTATAGGTGGGGTTAAGGGGGGGGGGGGGGTCTTAGCCCCACCTATAGTACGGGGTTAAGCCTATTCCACTTTCTGTTCAGACTGGTTTTTTTACCAAAGTGGGCTAAAGTTGGCTAACCCCACCTATAGTACGGGGTTAACCCTGCAAAATAGCAGGGCTAACTCCGCAATTGTGGTGCTAACTCCTGCTAACCCCGCAATTGCGGTGCTAAGCAAATGAATGATACTCTTTTCACACTGGTTTTGCTTAAAGGAAGAAATATGATGGAGCCTAAAGAGAAAGCAATGCTTGTATAGGTCATAGGCTCCGGAATTTATAACAATGATATAGTCTTGTGTATATTAAATAACGTAATTGAATTGAATTGAAACTTATTATGAAGAAAAAATAAACAATGTTCATATACTTAGCAATATTTTCACTACCCGTACGCAAAGTCTAGAGCTACACTCTCCAACACTCTCCTTCTGATCATAGGCCTTCTAAATTAATGAAATTCAACCCATTAGGAAAATGTGACTTACCTGGGTGTTAAAACAAATTGGTATCGGGCATAATATTATAAGAACCAAAGCGATGAAAACATATTTCCTCGTGAGGCGCCACCATAATTGAACTTTCTCTTTTTTCGTCAAGATTAGGGCCATCTCGAAGTAGTTGTACACCAGGAAAATCTCAAACTCTGAAGAGATATGCACAGCGGTGACACAACCCTAGATAGCGCGGCATAAACACCTGTATGGAGTTCACACCGTTCACACCTCAGAAAAAAGGTATCACCACCGCTCTTACACGTTACATGCATGCCCCGTGGAACGTTTTCAAAGCGGGGTGGGGGGGGGGGGGTGTGGATATCTGATAAAGTAGTTACGATCAGGTATAGAGCGTAGCGAGCAAAGCGAGTGGAGAGTAAATTTATTATTTATCAATGGAGGTTTTTATATTAGCGAAACTCGCATATCGTGAAAATATTGTGAGAGGATGGGAAAGCGTGAGTGTTTTTTGGTATAGGGGTGAGAAGACATGAGCCCCTGAACGCTGGCGTACTAATGGGGGGGGGGGGGGGGGTCATTTCTTATTCGATACCAGTGATTTACAAATGTTGCTGAAATGCCATGATTTTCCGGTATTTTTTCTCAATTCTCACCAAGGGCCCTAGGACGGGCCCCTGGATGCTCATCTGACCGTAATTGAATACCTAAAACCCCCCGAGCTTCCAGGGGCTCTGCCCCCTGGACCCAACCTAGGGCCCTAGGGCGGGCCCCTGGATGCTCATCTGACCGTAATTAAATACCTAGAACCCCTGAGCTTCCGGGGGCCCTGCCCCCTGGACCCCACTGAGGGCCCTAAGGCGGGTCCCTGGGTGCTCATCTAACTGTTATTAAATACCTAAAACCCCTGAGCTTCCGGGGGGCTCTGCCCCCTGGACTCCCCGCCAATTAGTGACCTGCCAGTGTCACACATAAGGTATTTAAATATGCTTATCTGACCGTAATTTAATGCCCCAAAACCCTGAGCTTCCAGGGCCTCAGGCCCTGGACCCTATGCCAATTTACGCTCTACCTGATCGTTAATACTCCACTTTGAAAAACGTTCCGCGGGGCCTGCATGTTACGTGTAAGAGTGGTGGTGACGCAGATTTTTCTTCTCCCCCCCCCCCCTCGTTCCAAACTTTTTTGCTCATTACGCCACTGGCGTCAGATAAGCATCAAGAGGACTGCCTTTGGGCCCCTGGTGGGGTCTAGGGAGCGAAGCCCCCGGAAGCTCAGGGGTTTTAGGCATTTCATTACGCACATTACGCACATCCCCACCCTATTATGCCTTAAATGGCTTAAATCAAAATGATGAATTTTGTGGACTCGATATCGCGTTAAGAAATTGATGCGGGCATCTGCCCACCACCACCAAAACTCTCCTTCTTCTGTGAACAAACCAGGGGCGGATCCAGCCGGCAGCAAGAGGGGGGGGGGGGCAAATCTTTTTTAAAGGTAAAATTTACGTTACCATCCTATTTTTATACCGGTTTGGGAGGCTGGGGGGGGGGGGGGGACGTGGATCCGCACCTGATAGTTGTCCGGCTGGTTTTTGTCCGGGGGTAGTTGTCCTAGGGCTAGATGTCCCAGGGGGTAGTCGTCCTAGAGGGGGGTTGCCCTAGTGGGTAGTTTTCCCAGGGGTAGTTGACTGGGGATGGTTATCTGGGGGTAGATGTCCACAGTGGCGTACGCAGGGGGGGGGGGGGGGAGTTTAAAATCGGGCCCAAAAAATTTGCTCCCGAAAATTTGAAAATCGCGCCGGCCGAAAAGTCGCTCAGTTGGGGGGGGGGGGGGGGGGGGGGGGGTAAGCAGACACTTTTTTTTTTTTTTTTTTGGAGTCCAAAAAAAAAATCCAAAAAAAAAAATCAGGGGGGGGGGGTTTCACAAAAAACCATACACAAAACATATACATAAAAAAACTCAAGGGGGGCGGTTTAACCCCACCCCCCCCCCCCCTACGTACGCGCCTGGATGTCCAGGGCCAGGGGTAGGTGTCCTAGAACCCTCCGAGATAGCTCCCTCACTCGGCATATAATCTACAGCATTACTGAATAAAGGTATCGGAGTTTTGTAAATTATATTGAAACTTATTATTTTTTGACACGATTTATGACGAGTTATAGAGAGGGAGACGGAAGGATAAATGGGATGTACCATCGGTAAAAATACTACTTTTTATTTGTGGTCTTTTAATTATAAAATTGCTTAACAGTGATTCTTGACAAACCAGAAATAAAATGTGTATCATTCGGGTTTTGAAAATGACAGTCCTCCATAAAAAAAAAAAACTTAATGTACATACATGTACAAACAGTGTATGAAGATCTGTGTATTCATAATGGTTGAATAATACATGTATACATTTCTCGTTTCTTTTTCTTTTTCGCATCCTTTACACTTGAAGACTACATGTCATCAAACTCTTTTCCGACTGTGCTCATATTATTTTTTAATAGAATTTTATGTATAGATTTTCTCATCTCTCTCAAACCTACTTCACTACAGGTGAATCAACCATATAAAGAAAGTTGGCTCAAGAGAAAAAAAACACCTCCTCCCGACACAGCAACAGCTTTACCCACGACAACCGAAAAAGGAAAATGATATATGAAATTTTGAGAAAATTGGACAAATGATAAGAAAGTAGTAAATTTTGAAACTGGAGATGATTTATGACTGTGTCTGTTCCGAACTGAAAATAAACGATTTGACTACTAAATGTTTTGTTTGTTTGTCGTAATTCCTGCTTTCAAGGCTTACTCGACTTCTGTCTGATTTTTCAAACATTGCACAGATATGTTCCTCTGATATTTCTGCTCCTACTCATGCCAAATTTCTGAAAAGACTTAATTTACCTTTACACTACACAGAGTCCTTATGTTTCGGCTTATAATTAAGACATGCAAATGCACTACATGTATTTAATCATCTATTAAAGTGTATTGTCCTTCCCTCGATTCACAAAATGCTGGTAAAAGCTAACTAGACTCTCACAGCACCTACATTTCTTGGAAATGTGTCTGGTTTCATCTTTACATCGCTCTCAGAATAAAATGAAAAACCATATGTCACAGACACAACTGCATATAAAGGATCATTTATTAAATCTCTTAAATCAGGAAATGGTTCCAACATCTATAGTCTGGATGTGATGCAACTAGACTGAATACAACTGCAGATAACAGTGGAGAGATGCTGACCAATAAGTAAAGTCCATGTAACTCATGAATATCTCATCATCATCTTCATCATTGCATTGACATACATGTACTATGATAATAATAATAATAATAATATTTCTCGTTTACCCAGGGTAGCCTCATCAGTATTCATACTGTTCTCCCTGAGGGCCCTGTGCTGTAATACTATGTCCACAATTACAGTGAAATCTTGTGATAAAGAGCTCTAACATAACAAGATAGTGAAGATATAACAAGGCAATTTTCATGGACCTGATGTTGGTCTTTTTATTAAACAAGTTTCCGACTGCACAGCCACAGGCTCTAAATTCATGTACATACGGTCACTACATATAAGCCAAGGATTTTGATTACACCTCTACATGTATCCTTAAAAATCAGGAGCTCACGTAGCAAGTCATATACATGTAGCTATTTTTTCACGAAGAGCATCTATGTATAATGAATGATGATTAGATAATGCCGTTCTGGCTCTCAGCAGACGATGTAACTGTATGTCTAGATGTCCCTGTATAACATACCAGTAAGAAAAAGATGACATATAACGTCGCTGTTTTCACGAAGTGACGGTAGTGAAAAAAAATTGCATTCGATTTGCGTTACGATTTTCCTCACTACCGTCACTTCGTGAAAATAGGGACGATAAGATAAATCGGCGCCTGCCTGCAAGAAGGCTGTTACTACCATTGACAATACTTGGCTCTTACAGCCGTCTTGTGAACAGCCAACAATAACCGTTCCATGATAGTTCAAATGAATTCAAGTGAATTCTTATGATCCTTCAAGAAAACACATAATTGTCTCTGATGTCTCTGAAATCCATTTATCCATGCTTTTTATCATCTCTCTACATTGTCCTTTGTGTTTCCATCGTCTGATGGCTGTGTGAGGTTTTTAAGAGCCCGGTCAACTATGTCTATCCCTAACTCATTTCCACTGTTGCTGAAGGGGTTGATGCCAAGAAAGCGTGCAGTTCCGAGACCAATCATTACTGGAAAGGAAGCAAAAGGAGAATGTCATTGTGATTTCCTTTGTTTCAGCTACTGGGTGTCAAATTTTGTTTTTAAAGGGAAAGTCCACCCTGAAATTAAGTTAGTTTTAATAGGAGTAGAAAAATAAGAGAAACAAGTCAGTGAAAGTTTGAACAAATTCGATTAAAAATAAGGAAGTTAGGATTTTTGAAGTTGTGATCAGTCAAACACAAATTGGCAACTCTATGACGTATCATGCGAGCTCAACTTCCATTTGCTCAGTACTAAAAAAATCCAAAAATTTTCATTTTCCCTCAAGAAAAATTTCAACCATACATGCACCCTAAATATAATAATTGCAAATATGTTTCTATACTCCCCCTGCAAGGAACAAATATATATTCCGTCATCAATAACGAAGAAAACATGATTTTATGGAATATTATGCACAAAGCAAATGAAGGAGAGCTCGTGTAATAAGTCACAGAGTTGCCAATTTGTATTTGATTGATCACAACTTCAATAATTCATAACTTTCTTATTTTCATTCAGAATTTGCTCAAACTTTCACTCACCTGATTTTCTTATTATTCTGCCTCTATCGAAACAAACTTATTTTTGGGGTGGACTTTCCCTTTAAGTTTCTGGGTGTGTCAAAGTCATGTAATTACAAGCATTTCAATTAGAAGATAACTTATGCTCTTACAACCCGAGAGCACAAAATAAAAGGTTAAAGGTCCAGATTTGCAACAAAGGTCTCTATTCAAGCCACTCTTCAACTTTTCAAAATACATGCTCAAAAAATAATGGTCTTTGAAAGTGCCATTCTGATTATGATATCTCATGATTTTAGAGTTATTTGTACTGCTATGCTAATTCTATTCTTATCATTCTTGTATCATGTATCATGTATTTATCTGTAATATCTATTTGACATTTCACGATTGTTTTCCGTCCTATGTATAATATTAAAAGAATGTCTAATTTCTAAACATTCAAAGAATTATCTTGTTATTCAGTCACGGTGATATGTTTATTCTTAAATACTTACAACCAGATACAGTAAGAGCTGGTACAGCGCCCCATATTGATTTTGCCCCTCTGAGTTTCTGCCTTTTTAGACTTGTATATCCCACATACAATGCTGTTACATACAAGCCTATGCCTCCCACATATCGACACTCTGGACAGTCTTCCATAGAAAAAGAAGCAGCTTCTCTCTGCTGTTTTTCCAACCAACTTGCAGGCTGATCGGTATCTCCTTGGGCTAGGTTCTCAGTTCCACCTCCACTACCCTCCTCCATTCCACGCTCTTTAATTGGATCTAGAAAAGAAAAAAAATACATGGGTGTTCCAATATCTCAAGGAATAATACTGAACTTTAAATAAAAACTTTAAAAACAAAATGGAAATATCCCTTCTATGAGATTCTTGGAAGTGAAATCTTTAAGTTAATTGTCTGATTTTCTAAACTTTATACACTGTATATCATCTTACAGCTTGTCAATTTTTTTTTTTTACATCCATCTTCTGATCTTCACAATCACATTGCATTTTGGGTTTTGTTTACATCACTCTTCATGCAGGGTGCCAATTAAGTCCAGGGTAGGTGTAGACCGAAATTTTCTGTCTCTTTTGTAAGCCTCTGAATTGGGTAGGGTCGGCTAAGAGAGGAGCCGACCTTACCAAAATCAGAGGCTAACAAACGAAAGAGACAGAAATTTTCGGTCTGGGACTGGGGTAGGTGATACCGATATCAGTATCATATTTCATGTTATCACAGAGTCCGAGCCCTTATTTGGCCGGCCTTAGTTAACAGGGTTAAACTTAAGCCTTAAACCTGATATCGATGTTTGTTTCGCCGAGACTTCGTCTTGCTCCACCGACCACCTAGACTCGAGCTAGATATAGATCTAGAAGTCTAGACTCTACTTAGATCTATCTGATCGAGATCTATATTATAAATAATGTCAGTTTTATTCCTCATAGTCATACCAGGCGGTATTTCTGTCTTGGCTAAGGCTACCCATGTCATACATGTAGGCATGCATGGGTACCGACACTTAACTTTGGAAAGTAAAAATAAAATCAATTCATGAATGATCAGATGCAGAGAGACATTGATATTGCAGACACCGAATCTCAGTGAGTCAGTCATTGTCTGAGTCTAGTCTGACTGTAGATCTAGACCCTAGGCCTAGCTACTAACTCAGTAACTGTCTGTATGCTTGACATTGAGCTTATTTGTTATAATTGCTCTCCTGAACACTTTGACATTTATGATATATATACCTCCACTGGAATAAGTGAATAAATACATCTAGTTGAAAAAAATAACACTTTTCTTACTAACCAACTAGTGTAGACAACAGCAAAATCCACAACGCTCCTGTATACAGGCTGTAGGCTAGCTGTACGGCAGTACAGGGTATGGTAGAAGTTGCCGACAATTTTTGTGATGTGTGCGAAATGGAGTATAGCATTGCATACTAAAACGTTTTACGTGTTAATAAAAACTGTTGAATACTTTAGTTCCGACTGAAGTTGATGGAACCGAAAGTCCGTTTGAAACTCCGTCATTAATTTGACAAATTGAAGGTAAATTTTCATGCAGAATGTATCCGAATGTTGACACAAAGTGATTTTATTTAAAATGCTATGTTTTTCTGTTGATGTGAAAGTGTGAAAGTGAGTATTTATGACATAATAGGGGCGTTATTTTGAGAGTTCAGTCCTATACCTTCATTTCTATGTAGTGTCACCAACCCCCTCAACAGTTGGCAGCATGCATGCAGCTAGACAGCAATAACCATCTGATTTGGGTCATTTCTTTAATAAAACTGACATTTGTTGTCATTCCCCAATACAGATGGCAACCCAGAGATCTCGTACCGTGGGGATGGCTATGTACATATTTTCATCCGCGACATTTTCTCCCCGATTTTCTTTATTTAGAAGGTCTAGATCTAGACCTAGATATCTAGATCTAGATCTAATTTTCTGATTTCTAAATCAGATGTAAATTAGATCGGTATGTCATTTGTCCTAATTACAGTTATCAAAATTTGATAACTTAATATTAAATACGTAATTTATGGACTTACTTATATGAATTATCCAATTTGTATCTCAGATCCGCGAAGCAGTACGTTCATGCATTCGAAATATTACCCGGCGGCGGCCGATATATTTCCGGGTCCACCTAGACCTACCAAAACATAGCCAAATGGCCAATCAGAGCACTCGTTTCGTGGGAGTTCGTTGGTCAAGCTGGGCCGACTTGTAGCGTAGCTACGGTAGCTATTGGACGTTCGAAAAGAAAAAATGAATATTCATCAACTAAAACCAAGACAGATAATGTTGACGACGAGACTTTCTCGGATTAATCATTAATTTAGGATCTAAATGAGCAAGCTATCGTAAGTCAAATAAGCTATATATATATGTTATTTTTAATTTGTGTTGTAATTGCAGCAGTTATGAGGATGTAAAGAGTGAAAATCTCGTTGCATATCTCATTCATCGCGGTCCGGTCGAACCGAACCATTTGTTCCGTACAGTGCCTCACAGAAAGAGGTCCCCAGACTTCAGTCTCTATAATCGGAGGTCTAGTGGAGCCAGACGTAGTCTCAGTGGAACAACCGACGATTAGAGAGACTGAAGCTTTCGGTCTAGCATGCAGCTCTCTCTGTTATTGTCCCTCAGCTCCGCTTTTCGGAGATCAGTGAGTTCATCGCATTCGAAGCGGTAGGCTGTGTAGTCAATATGCTATATAATCCATAGTTGGAGGGTATAGAGTGCAGGCGATGGGCATGAATTTTGTAGAGGTAATGAACTGTCATCTTTAATTAAAGTAGAAATGTAGGAAAGGGATAGCAAGAGAATAGTGCAAGTCAGATGGGAAGAGTCCTGGCTGTTAAGCCAAGGTCCAATTGCGCCATTGTCGACATAACTGAGTTTCTAAGGGACCGCGGCCGCTGGGTCGGGCAAAGACGAGGGGCCGACTTGTTGCACGAAAGTAACCATCCAGGCCATCGAGACAGTTATATAAATTGTCCATTGCCTCTCTTTCTGTCCATCTAAATATATTTTCAGGATTATTAATTATTATTAACGTCCATCTCAACTGTCTTTGAGTTTGAGTTTGACCTAGCTTAGTTAATCTATGAGCCACTTTTTTTTGCCAGATAGATTTATGTTGAACACAAGTTAAAGATAAAGACCAGTTCGTTTCGTTCGGTTCGTTTTCTTGAAGCTACTATGGGCGATGAGATCGGCAATCACACTCAACAAACTGCTTTGCCTAAAAACTCACTGACCCGTACAATGCACTTCAGTCTCTATACTATAGAGGTGGTCGGTCAGCGGAACTATTGTCAATATAGAGGCTGAAACTTTTGGTCTACTTCATAAACCTTTTTATATAATGGGCAGCTCATTCATTTAAATTGAATTTGAACTGAAGTAATGCTAATTTTATTAAGTGGCCAGTTAAAATTGTCCATTTTAAGTATACATGTAGGTGTTCTCATCATTATAGAAAACTATAAATTTATCAAACAACATATAAGTATGTGCCAAACTTAGTTTACTGAAGACCCTCCACTGTTACTATTTGATATTATCACTCTTTTTTTCCCTTCTTTTTTTCTTCTTTTTTTCTTCTTTTTTTCTTCTTTTTTCTAGATCTGTACTGTGGCTGCTGTACTCCATTACCCCAAAAGAAATGCTTTTGCAGCTTTGAGCAAAATGAAGTTCTCCAAGTATGTAACGTTGCTTGTCTGTGCTGTATCTCTGCAGATATGGGGTTGCCTCTCAATTGAAATAGAAAATTATTTTTACCATCTTCAGAGCTTTGTGGATGACATTGGTCCGGGGAATTACAGCTACTTCAAGCTGTCCAGACAAGGGAATGTGCGAATATTTGTGGAAACACTGGAAGGAGATGCAGATATTTATGTGTCGGAGACCAACTCGAAGCCCACTTTTGAAGATTACGATTTCAAATCTGTCACTTGTGGTGAAGACTATGTGGATATTCCCGACAGCTTCAAAAGACCTGCTGCCATAGCTATTTATGGACATCCAAGGTTTTCAGAAACCAAATTCAGATGTTCTGTCTATGTGGATACCAGGGATCTTGCACAGAATGATCCAGAGCAGCAGCATTTTGAAACTACTGAAGATGAGGAACTTACAGGATGGCACTTTCTCCTCAAAATACTTGAGTTTGTACTAGATGTAGCTCTCTAGCAAATTTCTTGTTTGACATTTTGTTACTATGTAGTTTGATTATCACTAATGTGTAATCCACGTGAACAATGATATTTTGCTTTGAATCAGATATTTTTCTTAATAAAAATTATTATAAAAGACTACTAATATTATAGAACACATATGCAGTAGACTTAGTTATATGAATGGATGGGTGGATAGAGGTTTTTCCTATTGTTTATTACCAAAAAAACTTTCCTTTGGTTTAATGTGTACTTTTATCCTTTGAGGAATACTTGTAATTTTTGTATGATAAAAATACTCTTTTCTACCTTTATTCATAGTATGAAAGAAGTGATGAGTATTAGAGATGCAATTTTCGTATAAAAAGGGAAAAGAATAAATTCATGTACCATGGCTTATTATGATGGGTATTTTGAACTAGTAGAAACATCTAAAATTGACATATATGTATGTACATTTTGAACTTGTTGGGTGATGGCAATGTTGTAAAGATTATGTTATGCTATAATGTTCTTGATGTTGCAGTAATCTTAATGTAGAGTTGACTCTGGAGTCTGGTATAAAATTTACAGAAAAGCTCACAAGTATGAGTATGTTCTTTTGTATGTAAGTAGAACTTTTAGTCAGGAGAATCTACACAATCTTTTAAAAACTATTCAGTTCTGTCCAGAATAGTGTGTCAATGAAGTATTATGGAATTAAGTGCCTTAACAGAAGTCATGTTCTATCAAGATTAAGCCATATTCCTGCTACATGTATATAGATTCTGGTGCAAATTTAATAATTTGGTGAAAATAAGAGACTGGATTTCTTTTATACACGCACTTGGGTGAAGTATGATGTGTTCATTTCAAACTTCACAAAAAGATTTCTATCAAATCTGAAGAATGCACATGTACATGTACATACATGTATATGTGCTACAATAACATAATTAAATTGTTGTATGTATAAAGTTAAAGCAGATAATAAATTAGGACATTTATTTTGATTTTAGTTTATGCAACTGAATTTCAACTGGTTTCTTATTCTTTCCCGAGACTACTTTTTTTTGTTAGTGACCATCCTAGTCAATTCCTTTTTTTTTCCTGTTTATATTTAGTGATGTTTAATGAGTTATCACACATTGTGTACATGTGTCAATAATTTACCTACAATAGTTAACAAGGTTATTAGGAATCGTACTTGGAATAAATCTGTACTTTTGTCATTTCTGTACTTTTATAATCCTTAATGGGGTATTTGCTTTGATTTATTGCATAGTATACATATTATGTCGGTATCACATAACTTCCATGAATTTTTATGCCTCCGTTACGAAGTATCCAGAGGCATTATGTTTTCGGGTTGTCCGTCCGTACGTACGTCCCGTTCTCGTGATCGCGTTATCTCAAGAACCGACTGATGGATTCCTGCCAAACTTTTGTCATGTATGTAACTTGCAGAGCCAATGAACTGATTAGATTTGGGGGTCAAAGGTCACATGGCTCATTATGTATGCAAAAATAGCTCGTGATCGCGTTATCTCAAGAACTGATTGATGGATTCCTGCCCGTCATGTGTGTATCTTGCAGAGCCAATGAATTGATTAGATTTTGGGGTCACGAGGTCATAGGTCAACATTATCATTAGAACAGATAGACAGATTACCATGAAACTCAGGAAAAGTATGTATCTTGCTGAGGCAATGAACTGAATAGATTTTGGGGTCATGAGGTCAAGTTCAAAGGTCATGGGGCTCATTATGTATGCAAAAATAGCTTGTGATCACATCATTAGAAACGATGGATGGATTACCATCAAACTCAAGATATGTATGTTTCTTGCAGAGCCAATGAACTGAGTAGATATTGGAGTCATGAGGTCAAAGATCAAAGGGTCATACAGTATATCAGAAATAGCTTGTAATCACAATATTCTGAGAACCTGTCAATGGATTACAATCGAACTTGAATTTGAAAAATTGCTTCTGTTTTGGTTTGTAAAATTCCCCTCTTTCTTTTTTTAATTCTGAAGATTTGCTCATTATCCAGATAGTAAATTTACCTACATGTACTAAGTATTACATTTGACTTTAAATTGAACTTCAACAATATTGATTTACTTTTTTCCCCAAAGAAAACACAAATTATTTGATCTTTGATACTTAGATCAAACAGAAGTTTCCTTATGTATTGTAAAGGTTAAAGATGCATGACTCTTCATTTAATAATAAAACGGTGCTTATAAAGCGCTTAATTCCGCCGAAGTCTTTAAGCGCTAATAGGTTCTATGACATTTCTGTCATCCAGGTTTGCATCAAATGCTCATGTATGCACTAATGTACTTCTACCTACATGTCTACATGTACATGTACCATACAATAGAATAAAACCATTTCATGCCTTGAAACATGCGTTCCTCTGTGTTTCATATAATGTACATGCACATCACATACGTACACAACATGTTTTAAATCCTTGGGATCCAGAGTCACAGTTTCTTGTACTTAGGGTTCTCATGTATAAGATGGGTCCTTCATTTACATCTTAAGTGAGAATATAATTGATTCCTTTAGAAGAAAAAAAAAACTTAAACATTGTATCACAATGGTTAAATTAAGAAATGGGGAGAAAATATTTCACTTGTAAAGGGATTCATGGGTTTTGAAAGCCATTTGTTTTGAGGTGGTACCTTTCGCTATATTATGAGGAGGGGTTGATAATATTTTGTTCACCATGTCAGTTTGTGTACAAATAGTCACTTAAATGTTATCACTCGGTGTATTTGAATATATGCATTTCATGCATTTCCATTCTTGTGTTTGTAACTGCTGATGGAATGTTGATTATTGTTTTGTCTGCTGTATTTACTTTTGTTAGGAAGGTGTTGTTCCATTGATGATCGTTTCCATGAGTGATTTAAAGTGATCTTTAACACCTTGCCAAATTAAATTATTTTTATATCAAATGACTGGATGTGTAATCAATGATGTTGTTAATTTGTGTGTCTATGTGAGTATTGTATGTTCATTTATTGTGCTTTTACATAAATCTCATCATGATCATCATAATCATATCAATGTGTCATAAAAACCTTCCCAACTGCCTCCTCTGTTTCATGATGCATTTGCATATCATTGCTTTCCAAATATATTTAGTACAATGTAAGGATTTAAAAAGAACAGTTAATCCACATCCCAGTAAATAACAGAAAAGGAAAGGTCCTGAAATAGTTGTAAGGTTTCACTAAAAGTTGATTTACTTTTAATTTATAATAATACGCTGTTCTTGTATAGCACATATCTTACTATGGCATAATGTCACTATGCCCTTCCTAAGGACTTGGGATTTTATTCAAGGTAAAATCCAGCTCCAGAGAATTTTATAATGTTAATAAAAAGCAAATGAATCTGAGAAACATTAAACATTAAAGATGAGGAAAATCAGAGAGCAAGAAGTTTCAACACTTAATGGCATGAAGACCAATTTCTCATGAAGATGAATATTGTGTATAGACTGGTTTACTGATGTACATGTATTCACATTTTTAGAAAAAATGTTTCTTCCCCTCCCCCCCCCCCCCCCCCCAGGGCACCTGGTGACGAGTTATTCCATTAACTGTTACTAATGAATGAACTACAATACTTGGAATCCAGTCTACATACATTATTTGTTGCTATGTCAGGAAAGTCTCAAGCAAGCTTCAGGTTGTCAAGAACTGTTTAAAAAGTATGCATACAATTTGAATATGTTAATAAACCAATGTATTGGGAGCTTGGTTATAGTTTTAGATGTTATTTTCTAATTACTACATGTATACCTTAAATTCCATCTCGTCTTTTCGTTCAAGGAAGTTCTTTCTTCACGTCTTACACAGCTTTACTGAAAGTGACTTATTTCTGCATGTGTAAATTATAATACAATAAACCATTTACTTTTAGAAACATAAAATTGCAATTTTAATCAAAGATAACGAAGAAAAAATAACCTTTGTTATCATAGAAATTATGTGATTTTTAGTTTATGAAACCTAATACACATGCTATAATGCAGGTGTCAATTGTATGACCCACCCTATGGACCCCGGGGAAGGTGCGTCATGGTTGGGTCATTTACCATCAAGGTGTGACTCAGGGTACCGTCATTTTACTCCTATGGTCAGTCACAATATTGACGGTGGGGTGTGTCGATGTCAGTCACTTTACATAGGTGCGTCACTGAATAAAGTATGAGATTTAATAGACCCCGATCGCAAATCAGGAAAAACACGATCTGTATCATTTCGACCATGTCGAATGTGCGTCAAAATGACAGTCGAAATCAACAACTGGTGCGTCATAATTTTGACCGAGGTACCGTCATTGGTAGCCTGAAGTTCGTCATAGTTTTGCCGCATATGTGCGTCATGGTATAGTAAAATCCGACGCACATTAGACAAGTGACGCACCATCCCCGGGGTTCATGGGGTGGGTCATACAATTGACAGGTGCATAACGTGCATGGGCAAAGGCATGAGAACATTTTTTGTGGTGTTAAAATACTTTTTTTTTTTTGCAAGGTGGAGTTTAAGGCACCTATTTATGCTGAATTTAATAATGGTATTACTGATTCAAATTTGTCTAACTCCAGGGATCCATTACATGGAGAGTGACTGTCAATCAATTTTCAAAGTCTATTGTAAATTCAATTGTATCTTACAATGAATGGTATCTAACAGTAAAATAAAATGCATTGATTGTCAAGATACATGTATGATTGACTGAAAGATACGATTGATTGAACTTTTTTGTTTTGCTAAAAGGCCCTGCTTCTGGAAATTAAAATCAAAGAGAAAGATGTTTGATAAGTAACTGGCACAGGAGGGATACCAGGCTCTGATCTATAAATGTCATTACTTTGCATTTAGTCTGTTGGAGCCAAAATGACCTTAACCCATATCATTTCACGAAGAGTTAAAACTCTTTTGGCTCCAAACAGACAATTTAATCATCTACTTCTTCGTACAAATGTAGAACAAAACAAACAAAGTCTCTTGCACAGCCATTTATTTATACCTCACAAAACAAGTACATTTACAGAGTATTCACAATATTCAAAGACTCTACTTCATAACTTTTTAATGCTTTGGCAAGAAAGAAATAGGTTTAGCAAAAAATACAGGTCAAGAAGAATACATTAGATTGCAAAGAAGGTTAATATGGGCTTTGCTTTAATCTATCTAATACAAGGTCAACATCTTGAAGGCTACCGACACTCTGTACACGAGGTTACATGATGACATGTGTATTACTTGGACCTTTTGAGGATAATAATACATTTTTCATTTCAAATTAAATGAAAGTAAAACATTACCTTCTAAATGATGCTTGTTTTTTCTTTAGCAGACTTGTAAACAGGGATGTTCCAAAGCATGGAGATAAAAATTAATATTATTACTTTCAATACATGCCCTGTTATTCATATCGCTTTAAGATTAATCTGTTATTTCTGTCTGAAAGAAAATCTTTGATTCGATCAGTGCTAGAAAGTAGTTAAAAGTTCAATTTGTTAGTTATTCTATTTAAATTACAATCCTTAAACAGTTTTTAAAAGATTTCCCTTTTTATTTAAACTATACTTTGTCTGGACAATTCCTTAAATAATATGAAAAGGAAAACATTTGCATTGGAAAAGAATTGGTATAAAATATGTTTTGTACAACATGTCAAAAATAATTTAAAATCACATACTCATTTGGATAAAATACAAGGTTGTACTGTACACCAAAATTACTTCCAGCTCTTTAGTAAAAAAAAAAAAAGGAGGTGCTAAAAAATCTAAAGCACATTTGACAGAAATTTTTCGAATAATAAGAGTATATGATTTGAAATACATTTACAGAGATTCTGAAAATAGATTATATACTTGAGCAATCTTCATATCTAGATCTGTCAGCTTGTGTTAAATGGTCTAGTTCATTTATAATTTTCATAAAGATAAAAGGGTAGTTGAGGGGAATTTCACACTGCTATTAAACATTTCTAGTATTTTTGTTAGTCTCATGTGGTGCAATAAATATATCCCTCTTCAATTATTCTCTACCAACATAACATGAAATAGATAGTAGTTACAAAATAAAATGAATCATGTACAAAGAATATTATAACATTCAATTTCTTAGAAATAACAAATACATTACACTTGACATTAAATGACTATTTAACAATATTTTACAAGAACAAATAAATATGCTAAAATTCCTCATCCTATAAATTAATATTACATGGTTGAATTCAACAACCAAAAATCTACATATTTCTGTTTGTACCATGATAACCAGACTCACAGTTGTTAATTTTATTGGCATGTTTTAACATGTATTAAATCTCTAATACAATGGACTGTGAAACCACTTGGTAAGAATAAAGAAGAATATTGGTTGAGATTTTAACTTCATATATACACAGTTCTATATCCAATCACAGTCACTAGATCATATCCTCTTTATGCATACCATAAAACATTCACATTGTACTTGAATTAAAGATGGAGGTGATTTCATTTTTCATAATTTACTCTTATCATGAAATTACCAAGGAAAGCCTTGGACAACATCAACATTTTTATGACAATACAAACTTAAAGTTCAGAGGGGAAAAAAAAACTTTTATTCTAAAAAATCAAGACACCATAAGTTTAGTAAGAACAGGTTCCCAAATAGTTGATAAATGATGTAACATGGGTTTATAATTTACCTCTACTCTATAAATTAAAACTGATGTAGTTCAGTACACAGCACAATCAGTAGTGTTCTTGCATCAGTTCCATTCAATTCACACCTTCAACAGTACACAGATGAAAGATCAGTTACATTGTACAATACACTAATTAAGTACATACGGTCACCCTACCCTATCATCCAAAACATCTGACGTTATAGATGCTCTTGAAGAACACTAATACACGAACCCCCCCCCCCCCCAAGTTCAATAGGAAAATGGGTGAAAAGCAGTTACCTGAACCTGACAAAGATCACACAACATGGTGCTGGAGAGAATGCTGTGGCACACATTTAATCATTTTTGAAGCAGTGAAAAACTTTTTTTTTAGCAAGTGATATTAATATCTGCAGAACATCAAGTGATTTTGCACACTTATGGTAGGATGGACGGTGAAATAAAGGCAGTGTACATGCTCACAAATAGTGTCAATTAAAAGCCACTGTGTAATTGTAATAAGTTGAGTTATAGCAACAATGATTTGTGTTTACAGCCCATATGTAGTGCGAGACATCACATAACTGCTGTGACACAAGAATAGGCAAAGTTCATAAATACAGAAGAAGTGTAATGTTGGCTAAAATTTGAATGTGTAACAGGTTATCTCGACTTTGAATTCCGGAATCCTCTAAGACCAATCCATTTGTGACTGTCAGCAGTGAGATGCACATCAGCAAACTTGTCCGCTGGTTTTGAATGATGAAGATCATTTGATGGGTTTGATCAAAGGCTAGGCACTATGAGCGAGGAACGCCTGGTACTGTGGTACATTGAAGGTGTTCCAAAAGAAGGAGATATATGTAGAGAGAAGAAAAGTGGGTGAGAGAAAGGAGAGATAGTTTCAAATGAAAGATACAAACAAAAATGGATGGAAAAAAGACCAGAAATTATCAAATCATGTCATAAGCATTATGTGCAGAAAAATAATAATTTTTCTTTGATACATATTAATCATTTCTTATTCCTTATTAAACTGCTTTATGTTATTCTAAAATGTTTCAAATATGTCTGAAGGACGACTTGATCTAAATAACTAAAACACTCAACATTCTCTTGGAGTAAGTTGTATAAAGAAAAAGAAAGTTTAATAGATCAAGTATTTTTCATTACTAGATATAAATGTATCATTGTTAAATGCAAGATATAGACCCCCCCCCCCCCTCTCTCTCTTGTATTTGTACAATACATGTATTGTTCAATTCTTTTTCCACATACTATTAGATAATTACAATTACTTCAGATCACTTGCACAAATTACTTTCTAGAGTTGTACTGGGAAATTAAAAATAATGTTCTTACCTGGTTGGTCTGCTTGTTGGTTAATAATTCCATCTTGATTATTGAATAATGAAAGAGCTACACACAGCATTCTGTATTCCTCTGTACAAATGAAAATTGTTTACAATATGAAGGAAAAGCCTTAGTCTAGATGACCTGTATTATTACACAGGTTGAAAGCTCAGCTTTCTGTAAAATCAAGCATTTGTATTCCAGATCTAGTTTGTCAATGTCAGCCTTTATGTTTTCACATTGTTCAACTTGCCTGCACATGATAAGCTTACTCCAAAGTTAATCACCTTCATTGAGGTGTAAATTATGTCCAATTACAATTTAGAGGTTATAAAAACAAAGAGTTCATGATTATTTCCTATTTGTAGAGGAAGTGATGTCAACAATAATGTCATAACAAGATGTCTTCCTATGTTTCTCTGGTTTCAATATGTATCCAAAAATGGTCAAGGTTATGTTCAGACTAAAGACTCATTCACATATAACAAGGGGAAACTACAACAACAGTTCTTTTTAATGTGTAAATGAATGCCAAATTGGGAAGAAAAGAAAAGTAGCCACACACAACTAAGGTCCTATATCATATTCAATTATCTTTGGGTATAAGATATAGAAATGTTAAGGAAAATAAGCTTATGTCATCATTGAAAACATCTGCCCCAGTTTACTGCACCATATGAATAGGCCTTTCAGTGGGCCATCTTCATAGTGAGCCCATCTCCATAGTGGGCCCATCTCCATAAGAATCTACTATAATACTTTAAAACACTTCAGCCACACTTACCACTATGTCTAAGCGGACATGAGTAACACTCCTTGCCCCAGCTTAAGCCAGTGTTGCAGCAACATTGCTGATAGGTGCTCTCTTGTGAAACTACATTACTACAGATGTCTTGGTTTGGATCTGATTGTCCCCAACATGGGCCTAATGGCTCTTCCGGGGGGATTCCCCCATCTATCCCTCCTCCTGACACAGGCCCAATTAGTTCTGTGAAAAGAAAATGATAAAAGTTACATTAGTTTCATATATTTCAGAATATAAACACATTTTATGATATCAATCTTCGTACAGAATTTGGTCTCATAGCTGTACTTATAAGAGGGTGTGTGTGTAAAAAGTACCGTGACGCAACTCAATGCAGCAAACAAAATTGATTACAAAGAGTTTTTCTGTTATACCTTAAGCTGTGAGTGTACTAATATCAGCTTTATCAATGTTAAGGTCATTGTCATCAAGGCAGAGTTTATACTAGATATGCTATACTGCAAGGAACCTCAGGTGCTATTTCTCAAGTAAGAATAAGCCTTAAATTTGTATCAATTGAAAAAACTACAAAATGAAAAGATTTGTTTTCCTTACTTGTTCCTATGGCTTTTAAAGAAGGGTTCATGTTGTACGTGATAGTTTATGGGCTTCCATCTTTAACTTTTAAAAAAGATTTTCATCTTGTCTTTCAAAATATCCAAGACCTTACTATACCATAGTGGAAAAGCAATAGGGTGATTTATTATTCCTAGTATAAGCTTTTGAAGAAAGAATTAAACCCTACATATTTGTGAATTTTTTTTTTTCTCCAACACCATTACTTACCAATACATCTACGGCCTGTACTGTCAAGAGTCAATCCATCGGTGCATTCACATGTGAAAGATCCTGGTGGTTCATTCACACAATTTCCATACATGCATATGTCTTGAGCATCTGGACTTTCACACTCATTTGTATCTGTGTAAAATTAAAAATTTGAAAGAGTAAAAATGATAATGGTTGTTATGAATAAAATACCTACTAACTGAATATTTTATCTACATTCTTGATGAGCAAAATAAGAACTGGAATGGAATTAGTTTGCACTTGTTTGTGCTGCTTTCTTATATGGGTACAGATGATGTTTGTTCAGTTTTCTGTCTCCCTCTTTTGTGTGTGTGTGTGTGTGTGTGTGTGTGTGTGAGCGTATGGGGGGTGGGTCTTCTTGATGTTTGAGAACCTTAGTTTGACATTAACTATAATTTGGAGAAACTCCAGAAAAAAGAAAAAGATGGCAAATTATTGGGATGAATTCATCCATAGCTACATATTGCCTTGCTTCAAAATAGTTGCTGCACCATCTCAGTTTTATGTAGCAGAATTGGCAGACTGCACGAACATTATATCAGAAGAAAGAATAATTTTATTTTATAAAATAATAGTTTGCAAATAATCGATTTACCTTCACATGTAACTGAATCAACGAGATGATAACCTTCCACACACTGGCAGATAAACCCATCAGGTCTATCGATGCATACCCCATTAATACAGGGGCTAGAATTGCACTCGTTTAGACCCCTCTTAGGAGGGGTTGTCTGGGTGACGGCTGGTCTATACCCCACACCACCTGATGCCTCTGGAGGGGGCTGTGGAATCTCTGTGAAGGACATCAAATTCAATTATCAGCCAGTGGATAAAATAATGCACAAAATATGTTTAAATATACACAAATCAATTACCAATATTAAAAGAGGACTATACATCTATTATTTCTCATAATTGCAATAAGAGTGTCCATTAATTGTTATTCACATCCTGTATTGGATTATTAAAATGAAAACAGAAAACTGAAAATCTTTTTGTTTTATTACCCACAAAATATAAAATATAAAAACGAGACATTCGCATGAGCATAAAATTTAGACCAATTAACATACAAAAAATTGTCATGTGTTTGTGTGCATTTAAGATGATATTGACATGAACATGGGTGACTTGATCTTTTGAATGTTGTCTATAAAGAATACTCTCTGTGTCATAGTAATAGTTCTGGTTGAATAATGACCAGTTGTGTTAGCTTACCTCTACAGCCACCATCTTGGTAGTTATAAATATATCCGGCTGTACACACACATCTATAGCCTGCCACAGTATCCTCACACAGAGCTCCTTCTCCACATCTATTGGGCTGGTCACACTCACCGATTGCTGGGAAAGGTAATAAAATGATGTGAAAAATATGAAATCTAGACAGTTACTCCTTGTAAATTTCATGTACCAGTATATTTCTTCATACCGTAAGTGTATACATTAAGCTTGCAATTGTCATAAGCCCTGCTTGTGTAGATTTTACAAAAAGTATTTCCTGTGTAATATACAACCTGTCAATCAAAGCTACTGAATGATTGAATAACCTTTATGTATTTCTCTTTGAAACTAGGCAATCACTCTGTCATAGAAATGTGCAAAATATTATCTAAAATATGATGTCTCATTTGTGTCTATTTATCCCACTGTTTGTATCTCAGGTTTATTCATCTCATTTTGAAATGTTGTTTCATACTTTCAGAGCTCTATGTACTGTAACAAATCAGTGTTTTAGTATTGGACGAAGGTTAAGCATTTTTTTGTTGTACGAGCATGCGCTATAGCAATATGGTGCATCGTTGATTTAGCAATTACCAAACTGAAGGAAAATGAGCATAAATTACATATTATGATCATGTTGGTGCAATTATCATGTTTCTTTTAGGGATATTACTTGTATAGTAGTGATCTAATCAGGAATAAGGGGTTATACTGAAGATTATATGTGAAGATTTTATGGGATTAGGAGAAATATTGTGTTGAAGTGTTGTTTTACTAACGAGGACATAATTGTTCTTTTACACGTTTATGTATAGGGAAATTGTTACGATGGTCAGGGTTGTGCATCTAGGGCTTTCCACTGCACTGTATCCGATACAGGCCAGCCTCACCGAGGCTGGCCTGATAGTTGGCCTGACCGAAGCCTCTAAGCTATGTCTCACATAGTTTGCACTGTACTTTGTACTGAGTTTCCCCGATTGTTGAATGGATCGCAATAAAGATTTTCAACCTACACATCATGATTGGTTTGATTTCTTGGAGCAGTGAAACCAAGGGACGAGAACCTGTGACAAGTGTTGACAAGGGAAATTGATTGTTCGAAGGATGCTCAATTGATTGATGCTGTGAACGAGACGTTTAGGTGACCGATTGTAGTCGATGGACGAATGATTGTTGAGATACGTGTGAGCAGTTAATAACTCCAGCCATTAAGCTACGGGCATATATTTTGTCCAAACGGACGGAGAGCGCCTGGCCAGATACGGGGCATCCTGACAAATATTCCGTGTCAAGCCAAGGTGGCAGAATCGTGTCCGCTACACATGGTGTCAGAAGTGGGATAGCTGATGGCGTGGAGTGGTCGAACTGACGGAGCTAGGGGACGACGGCAGTAGCACTGACGGAGCTGGGGGACCATGGGCAGTAAGTCTGACAGGCGTCACAAGCTGGTAGAGCTGACGGAGCTGGGGGACGACAGGCAGTAAGACTGACGGCGTCACAGCTGGTTGAGCTGGGGGACGACGGGCAGTAGGTCTGACGGCGTCACAGCTGGTTGAGCTGGTGGACGACGGGCAGTAGGTCTGACGGTGTCACAAGCTGGTAGAGCTGACGGAGCTGGGGGACGACGGGCAGAAGGCCTGACGGCGTCACAAGCTGGTAGAGCTGACGGAGCTGGGGGACGACGAAGGGCAGTAGGTCGTACGGCGTCACAGCTGGTCGAGCTGATAAAGCTTGGGGGCGACGTGCAGTGAGACTGCCGCGTCACAGCTGGTCGAGCTGAAGGAGCTTGGGGACAACGGGCAGTAAGACTGACTGCGTCACAGCTGGTCGAGCTGACGGAGCTTGGGGACGACGGGAGGTAGCATTGACGGTGTTGCAGCTGGTCGAGCTGACGGAAGTGCAGAACGACAATGGAGAGAAAGAACAATGAGCCCAGGGGTGCCTAGAAGGACAGGAAACGAACTAACTCTAGAACAGTTGAACACTTTTGGAAAGAGCCATTTTGAACTGTCAGAAAAGACTTGGATTTTAGTTTTGATTTGTTTTGATAACATGTTATGATTTGTTGTTGTTGCATAAGTTATAGATAAGTTAGCTTGGGGACCAAGCTTGGGAGGGAAGGGAATCGTGTAACAAATCAGTGTTTTAGTATTGGACGAAGGTTAAGCATTTTTTTGTTGTACGAGCATGCGCTATAGCAATATGGTGCATCGTTGATTTAGCAATTACCAAACTGAAGGAAAATGAGCATAAATTACATATTATGATCATGTTGGTGCAATTATCATGTTTCTTTTAGGGATATTACTTGTATAGTAGTGATCTAATCAGGAATAAGGGGTTATACTGAAGATTATATGTGAAGATTTTATGGGATTAGGAGAAATATTGTGTTGAAGTGTTGTTTTACTAACGAGGACATAATTGTTCTTTTACACGTTTATGTATAGGGAAATTGTTACGATGGTCAGGGTTGTGCATCTAGGGCTTTCCACTGCACTGTATCCGATACAGGCCAGCCTCACCGAGGCTGGCCTGATAGTTGGCCTGACCGAAGCCTCTAAGCTATGTCTCACATAGTTTGCACTGTACTTTGTACTGAGTTTCCCCGATTGTTGAATGGATCGCAATAAAGATTTTCAACCTACACATCATGATTGGTTTGATTTCTTGGAGCAGTGAAACCAAGGGACGAGAACCTGTGACAAGTGTTGACAAGGGAAATTGATTGTTCGAAGGATGCTCAATTGATTGATGCTGTGAACGAGACGTTTAGGTGACCGATTGTAGTCGATGGACGAATGATTGTTGAGATACGTGTGAGCAGTTAATAACTCCAGCCATTAAGCTACGGGCATATATTTTGTCCAAACGGACGGAGAGCGCCTGGCCAGATACGGGGCATCCTGACAAATATTCCGTGTCAAGCCAAGGTGGCAGAATCGTGTCCGCTACAGTACTTTTACAACAGATATTTCCCTTAATTATGAAATCTGATAAATAAGATCTAATAATCATCATAAAAAATGAAGAAAACTCCATAATTTCTGATAAAACTTGTTGCCTTTTCTGACTTACTGTTGCATGCTTTGATGGTCACGTCATAGTCGTATCCTGCTGGGCACAAACAGCGAATACTATGTCCTTCAGATGAACACGTTGCATTCCCACAGATACCTGGGTTCCTATTGCACACAGTCATACTTGCTGCAGCTATGTGGGTATAAGGAGACATGATATGAACAGTTAGAAAGACAAGTGGTTTTTTTTTTACCCATTTATAAAAAATAAAATAACTCAACATATGGGGTTTAGAGAACATAACTAATCATAAATGGATGTCCACATATATGTTTTTTTTGGTCTGTGGGATATTAATGATCATTTTCAAAGGATTTGTATCATAGAAGATTCAATGATTTGACAAAGCTGAGATATCATCTGTTGAGAGCCAGAAGTGCATTATCTCATGTCAAAGTATATGAGTTAATGTCATTCTGGCTCCAGACAGATATTACATCACACAGTTTATCACTATCCAATATTTACAATTTATATGATGAAACAATGACGCATGACATTTGCTGTCTATATTTCAAAGAAAAAGAAGATGCACATGATACTTTAAGACAAATGCCTTTTAAAAGCTTTAGAGATGAGAACATGAATATAAATAGCTTCCTGCAAGAATTTGGCTTTGCACATATTTAACAACATGAAGATGGTAAAGCAGGGCTCCCAGCATTTCATGAAAACAAATTTCCAATTTTGTCTGATATAGTTTCTAAGTTTCAGGATATATCCAGTTTGAAACATCTTTCATAACCAATCATCCCGTGTATATAATTAAAGAGATTGACAACTTTTGTTAGGGACCAATGAAATTCCTTCATTTGAGTTATTTTGAGTGATGACTTTCCTTGGGCTGAAAATTTTTTAAAACTAATTTGAGGTTTTCTCTTATTTCCGTGACAGCTGGGAACCCTGTACAATAATGAAGCACGACATTGATGATCCTTACCCACACATCTGCGACTATTATAGCTGAACTGCTGACCAGGAGAGCATAAGCATACAAATGTGCCTTTCTTGTTCACACATCTACCATTAGCACACAGCGTACGATACTTCTTGCATTCATTCAAATCTGTAGCACAAAGAGTACAGCAAAATAATTATTTAAAGCTTAGCTGCTGAACAGTTTTCAACGTTACCAGTGCAAGATCCTAAGCAGATCCAAAGATCAGGGGGGCATTTCACAAAACTTGTCATCAGTGACAAATGACAGTTTTTGTTATAAGCTACTGAAATCCTTACTTCTGATTGGCTATCAGCAGATTTGTCACTGATTTTTGTCATTGAAAAAAGGCTTTGTCCAGTTGTCCTATCAATACTGTCTGTCTGTAAGCACTCTGTTTCTCATGCTTCTTGCCCAAGTGGGGTAGCTTAACTTACACAGCTTTCTTTTAAAGGTTTGCTTTGATGGAAAGCAGGGATTTTACTCAGTTATTTACACAAAGCATCAACTGTCTAAACTCAACCACTCTTTTACTTCATCACTGATAAAACAATAAATTTCACTTTCTGAAATAAAACATATAATTCACAATTTTCCACAATGTTCACATATCACAAACTTTGCATGAGAGATGAATTAAAATGGGGGCATGAGAGATGAATTTTGGGGGGCATTTTTTTTTCCAAAAGAAATAACATCGAATTGAATACCACAGGGGAGACAAAACTGCAGTTATAAATATAACACACACAAAACAAAACAAAATAGGGGAAATTCACATTTTCATGAGCAAAGGCAACCATGAAGCTTATAGTATACAGTGATATTCCATAACTGTTGAGCATTAATGTAGCATCAATCATCATTATTTCAATAAATTGTGGTATATATCTTCATTATCATCAGTGATTCATATCATCTGCTGACAGTAAAAAATGCATTGCCTCTTTGCAAAATCATGACTTGACACCATTTTGCCTCTCTATATACCGACAATGAATCTACTTTACGACAACACATCATCTGTTCAGAGCCAGAAGGGCACTAGCTCTGTATCCAAGTATATGAGTTAATGCCTTTCTGGCTCCAGGTGCAAACAGACAAAGTAATTTAGCACTAACCTCCACATATCTTCTTCTTCCTCTTGTAGACATAGCCCTCAGAACACATACATGTATAACCACCTATCCTATTCTGGCATGTAGCAGTCCCACATATCTCAGGGCTCCTTTCACATTCATCAAGATCTACATGGCCGAAAGAGAAAATCAAGACATTAACATTTAGTCCAAATTTACAAATCAAACCACACTGCACAACAAGACGATTATTGTGAGTAACATTTATAATAAAACTTTAAATGATGAAACCATAAATCAATGGAGAAAAGTATTGATCCCGCAATGTGCATCGTTCTAGCTTATAAATACAAAATACCAAGAAAACAAAGTAAAATTTTGAAATAAGTGATACAACTTGTAGAGATAACAGGGACAGCTGTTGGAATTCATAGTATTACAATGATTATTATATCTAACAAACGATGTTGATCCGTAATCATCATATAAACCAGTGGTTTCTTTATCAAGCTGAGGAGAATGTTAGCAGGAGTCAATTGGTTGATTAATAGAATATATATTGCATAGAAGGTCAGAATAACCAAAGTATGGAGATCTCTGTTTTAAGTGTTCAAAATAAACCAGATCCTAAACATATCCAATGACATATTTTGCCTCCCTCCCAAGTGCTATTAAAATGAATTAGTCTTGAAAGGTCAGTATTCATAAAGGTTCAGGTTCTAGTACTTAGTCCAAAGATCCATGTTATAACTCACCAACACATGATTTACTGGCTGTATCATACTGGTATCCTGGCTGACAAGTACAGACCAGACCACTAGCATCAGTAGCACATGTAGCATTACCACACAGAGATGTGCATCTATCTGCTTCTATGGCCTCAGGATCACGAGATGTGGTGTGACTCTCTAATGCTGAAGGTAAAAGTGATTATTGGTAAATAAAATGTGATGTTTTTCACTAGGATATGCTTTTTATATCCAGTAATACACTCCAATCCATGAGCTAAAACAATAAAATGTTTAAAAATGTGTAAAAATATGTTAAATAATAAAGCATTAAGTTCTTCATTCTAATACTTTTCAACACATGAGACAATACAATAGATAATAGATAATCCATTAGTTAATATCACTCAACCACTGTTTGCAAGTTATTTTAATAAACAAATAACTGCATAATTCTCTCTTATGGTAACTTAATTCTTTCAATCACTCAGTCTTACATTCATTCATTTTGGCAATATCGAGTGTATGATTCCCTTGGTAGCATGGTGATAGTTCCATAGGCCTCTTGTTACTGTTTAAATTCACTTCAGTTAGGTCATCACTGTGAAACATTAAAGTCGGCTTATTGACCAATGTTGATTTTCAATCAGTTTTGAGCAATCTCCTTATATTACCAACAGAAGGAAAGTTATATCATCAAGCAAGTTGACACATGCCATGATCAACCACCAGAACAAATTAATTAGCATAGTGTGTTTCATATTTCTGCATCTTAAAACACACAGATAGAACCATTGTTCCTCATACTCTTTTTTCATCCCCATATACATGTACCAGTCATTCACGTGAGAAAGAAAGTAAATGTTCACCACACCATATTAGAAGGAGTCTTCAAAAGATCTTGAGGATTTACTTACCGGTGCACTGTCTCCCGGCTTCATCAAAGTTTGCTCCATCAGGACATATACACCTGAAAGACCCTACACTGTTCTCACATTGACCATTACCACATATCTCTTCTGATAGGAAACATTCATTGATATCTAGTGAAAGGGGAAGAGAGAATGAAACAGATCGATAAAAACATTTTGAATGGTCTTCATTTCACAAAAAAGTAAGCTCAACATGAAACAAATAGAACTCTCACACAAACCCATTGGATACCAGTCAAAATGATTGAAAATCCTGAGTAGGTGAAATATCATGAGTACCTCACTGTTAAAGAGGGACCCATTGCTCTATATTCTACTACCAAAAAAAAGATTGCATTGATACAAATTGTTGGAAACACAGAATTAAGAGAGAGAGAGAGAGAGAGAGGGGGGGGGGGACAGAAATATGGGACATTTAATTGGGGTATTTTTAGTATTTTCGCTACTATTTAACATTTTCATTTCAATGGAATCTAGTTGTACAACACATGCTCCAGCGATAATTACTTCACAGTCAGTATCCTTCATGAACCATCATAAATCTTGGACCAAACAGTACAAACCTAATCCAAACCCTATTAAACCCTGAATCTAACCTGAAACTGAGTTGGAATCCTAACTCCTTATCTTTGACAAAAATAAAGAAATAAATTAAGAAGGAGCAATTGTCATCTCGGAGCACCGGATATTAATATTATTTTCAAGAAAATACAATGTGTCTTCTCAGCTTTGACTAAAAACAAAAGAATTCTCACCAACACATATCCTATCTTGCTCTTCAAAGTAGTAACCAGGGTCACATCCGCACAAGAAGCTACCTTCTCTGTTCAAACAGGTCGCATCTCCGCAAAGCCCAGGTACAGAGCTACATTCATTGATGTCTACAATAAGGAAGTACAAAGATATCAAATGGGTCAAGAATCCAAGAGAAGACTTGGTTTGGAACATGTTTTAAAATTACAACTTGAAATGGGAGGGGGGGCTATTTTGTTGAGGTAATTATCATTTCATCTCCATGATTGTTTCACATAGTAACACACATAGATGGGAAGTTGTGGCAGATGTTTGCCAAGACTTGAATGTAATTTTGTCACTCTCCTCTCAAAAGTGTAAATTGGTACCTGATAGATTAGAGTGATTCCCCTATTTTGCCTCCCTGCTTTAAACAGTATAGCTAGGTAATACTATTGGAGCACCATGCAGAAGCAAGGACATAAGGGATATACAAGAACACTGTTATCATTATCACAATATTCATATTATTCAAACAAACATAACTCAGCTATAAATATTGGAGCCACATTCACTGCCATCTTACCTAAACATCCATTGCCATTTCCACTGATGTACTCATACCCTCTGGGACACACACATCTATAACTACCTTGTGTGTTCATACAGGTACCATTACTGCAGATACTTCTGTATACAGCACATTCATTGGTATCTAATACAGAAAAGAAGGTTAGAGAACTTTGAGAAGTAAACCATATAATCTTTCTCTCTTCGATGGGGTTACATTAGCAGCTCTGTAATGTAATTAAAAATCAGCTGAACTGATCAGTTCTTGTCAATTATCAATCTGGATCATGACACAACAGTTTACCAATTAATAGAAAATGATAGATCAGCAAATATACCTGAAGCATGGAAATAAACCTCTAAGTAAAAATCAATCTTTGAATAAAGAAGAAAAAAAGATGTAAAAAGCCTTGAATACATCATTTGAAGATAGCTGCCAAAAATATATCTTCCAATTATCAATCACATTTATTTGGGGAAAAAAAAGTTCTTTATACAAATTATGAATTATAAATGCCATTCCTTACCTATGCACATGCCGAGTGTTTGGTTGTACATGAATCCAAAAGCACAGGAGCATTGGTAACTACCATCAGTATTGGTACAGGTTGCATTACCACATAAATCAGGTAATAGTCTACACTCGTTGATATCTGCAATCACAACAATATACAATTAAATCAATGATATACCAACTAAAATTAATACAATTTCTTAAAAGCAAACAATTTTAATTATGTACAAATATGTTGGTAACAGAGGCATTGCAAGGATATTCAGGATGGTCAATAGGCCCTTCAATTGCCTCGAACCCCCCCCCCTCTCACCCTAACAAAAAGGATAACTCGAACCCCCCCCCCTCATGCACCCTAAGAAAAAGGATAACAAAGCAAGACTACCAACCTGCTTTGAAAAGATTGGAAAGAAGGACCCTTTCCAAAAAACAAAAAAAAAAGGAGTTCATCACCACCACATGTCTTCGAAACAGAGGCTACATTCTGCTTTACAAGAGGGACATCTAGATTATCTACTTTGTGAGGTACCTATCTTGACTACTTCCTTACCATCACATGTCCTTGATGCTGGATTGAACTCAAAGCCACCTGGGCAAGCACAGTGATGACTGCCATGTGTGTTGATACATGATGCTTCTAAGCCACACGAATGAGATGTAGGTGTAGAACATTCATTGATATCTGTAAGCAAATAAACATACAAAATGTGAAAATACAAATGATTCGTAATTGGTCAATCATATCCTGTATATAATATCTTATTTGGTCCCTGCTTTAAAAATAAAAAAAACAATAACAAATAAAAAAAAGAAAATAATACCTTTTGTCATTTATTTTTCCAAAAATCTTGAAAAATATTTGTTTAATTTTTTTTCTTCTAAATATAAAGCAGATAAATAAAAACAGCACAAGGAAGAATGAATGTGGACATACATATCCATGCACCTCATCAATAATTACTCTTCATCACACTGATGAGTACATTTTGTAGATTTGTACAATTGTATTTACCAATGCAGACTTTAGTATTGGAGAATTGAAATCCTTCAGGACAGATGCAGATGAAATTTTGTCCCTGATCCACGCAAGTACCATTACCACATAGAGCAGAATGATCTACACACAGGTCAATGTCTGGAAAGAAGAAAATAAAAATATGGAAACAATATGAACTGGATCACATTAAAATGGCAGCATTCAGGCTTGTTAACCCGTTCCTTCCGGGAACCTGGTATACCAGGCTCCCGTGGAGCCCACTCACAGACGGGAACCTGGTATACCAGGTTCCCATAATAGGCAGGTCGACGACGTCTTTACAAGCTTAAAATTGCCTTTCCCTGCCATTAATTCACTAAACTAGTGGATTTGAGGGTTTATCCAAAGTATATGCTATCATTATCTATTACTCCTGTTTTGTTTACTTTAATATTATTCATTATATTTGTACTTTTTTATAAGCATGTCAAGTTTTCTCTCACATGAAATTCGTACAGCAGCGTATTGGAGCTCCGCGATGTCTGTCCCCCTATTTAATTGCACCCCCTTGACTATCTCTTTAATGTGCCTAAATTCTGATAACCATGTATATCTCACCTTTACAAAAGCCACCATCACTGTCGAACTGGAAGCCACTGGGGCATCTACAGGTGTATCCATTTTCAGTTGGGATGCACGTTCCATTGCCACAGATACCACTTAGCACTACACAGAAATTGGTCACTGAAAAGAGTAAGGAAGTACAATGACTTAACATTTTAAACTTAGATGATATGCAAGATTAGTTTTAATATTTTTTTGTAAAAATGAGACAATTTCAAGTCTTTCATCAATAAACTTAGTTGTATAATAAAATCCAAAATAATGAAAATTATAATATTTGTCTTTTGTCATATAATTTGTGTAAATTACCCCTAACTTCCACTGTTATTATTATCCATTCAAATACATTTTGTAGCAAGTTTTAGTTAAGGTGTCATTTAGAGGATAATTATGAACTCATTAGTAACTTTACTCAAACCTTGCCAGTTGGCACGTTCTGTTCCTTTCACTTCACTGATTTCCTGGAGAGCAACAGTGATCATACCCACTAGGTCTGTTCACACTTGTACCATTCCCACAGATAAACAATGCCTATCTCAAATAATGTGAACACAAACCTTCACAAGCACTGCTCCTTTCATTGAAGCGCTGTCCTTCAGGGCAACGACAGTCATACCCATCAGCTCTGTTCACACAAGTACCATTCCCACAGATAAAAAATGCCTATCTCAAATAATGTGAACACAAACCTTCACAAGCACTGCTCCTTTCATTGAAGCGCTGTCCTTCAGGGCAACGACAGTCATACCCATCAGCTCTGTTCACACATGTACCATTCCCACAGACGCCATTGTATACAATACAATAATCCTGGACTGGGATAAGCAGGGATAAAAAAAATCATCAAAATTTTATGAAATCAACAACGCTTTATCTAAAATAAAATACTTGTTTGGAACAATTTTCTATCACTTAATAACTTGTGGAAATAGAATTTCTGATATACATTTGATACACTACTACTACTTCTACTACTACTTGACTACATATTATGATACTGGTTCAATTTTCTCTAACACCATGCCTTATTTGCAGTTCCATTTTCATCTACAAAACTTACAGAATAATAAACTAGATGGAATTCGACTGCGCGCAGTCGAAAATGATGCCTCCGTCATAGAGCAATTTTACAAACCAAAACGGAAGAAATTTTTCAAATTCAAGTTCAATTGTAATCCATTAACAGGTTCTCAGAATATCGTGATTACAAACAATTTCTCATATACATATATGACCCTTTGAACTTTGACCTCATGATCCTAATATCTACTCAGCTCATTGGCTCTGCAAGATATCCAGAGTTAAATAGTAATCCATCTGTCAGTTCTAATGAGAATGCGTTCACAAGCTATTTTTGCATACATAATTAGCCCATGACCTTGGACCTTATGAACCAAGAATCTACACAGTTCATTGGCTCTGCAAGATACATAAATGATCTAAGTTTGGCAGGAATCCATCAATCTGTTCTAATAATAACGCGATCACAAGCTGTTTTTGCATACATAATGGGCGCTGTGACCTTTGACCTTTGACCTCGTTACCCAAAATCTAATAAGTTCATCGGCTCTGCAAGTAACATACATGACCTAAGTTTGGCAGGAATCCATCAATTGGTTCTTGAGATAACGCGATCACAAGCTGTTTTTGCATACATAATGAGCCCTGTGACCTTTGACTTTTGACCTCGTGACCCCAAAATCTAATCAGTTCATTGGCTCTGCAAGATACATACATGACCAAAGTTTGGCAGGAATCCATCTATCGGTTCTTCAGATAACGCGATCACGAGCCGTTTTGCATACATAATGAGCCCTGTGACCTTTGACCTTTGACCTCGTGACGCCAAAATCTAATCAGTTCATCGACTCTACAAGATACATACATGACCATAGTTTGGCAGGAATCCATCAATCGGTTCTTCAGATAACGCGATCACGAGCTGTTTTTGCATACATAATGAGCCCTGTGACCTTTGACCTTTGACCTCGTGACCCCAAAATCTAATCAGTTCATCGACTTTGCTAGATACATAAATGACCAAAGTTTGGTAGGAATCCATTGATCCGTTCTTCAGATAACGTGATCACGAGAACGGGACGTACGTACAGACGTACGTACAGACGTACGGACGGACGGACGGACGGACGGACGGACGGACAACCCGAAAACATAATGCCTCCGGCTACTTCGTAACGGAGGCATAAAAACAAGTCACATCATTGTATTTCCTTGTAAAATTGTGAAAAATAATCACTTTATTCTACTTTGAATTCTAATATTTTATAACACTGACATAATTAATTTAATCTATTCTCTTTGTGTTGCATTTTCTTATAAAGTTGATACACTTTACTTTTTTGTTCTACTCTAAAACAACCAAGTACATGTTTTCAGTGTTTACCTTCACATGACCTTTGAGATGGAACAAAGCGATGACCTTCAGGACAGCTACACACTGGACCTCTCTCTGTGCTCGTACATGTACCGTTTCCACATATACCCGGTGATTCACAATGGTCTATCGCTGAACAAGAGAAGACAGGAGATAAATAGTAATTGGAAATATATATATGTATGCCACAACCAATAGTGATAGTCAGGGAGTATAAACACGTTTGTGCAGTGTTCCTTTTTGCCAGAACAGAATGAAGTATCAATTTATTTTTATCTCTCAGAGAAAATATCATAATACAAAGAGATGGAAATGGAAAGGGAGATAGAGAGCACCAATGTTGCTATACAGTCAACAAGCACAATTCAATTCAGCATTGGACACCTCACTAGTCACAGGAAGGCACAATGCCAAGGGACAGATCATAATTGTCTGATTCAATCAAATATGACAACCTTATTTAGCAGCCAGATGTTTGCAATGATTCAGCAGAAATACTTAATGAGATTTAGAGCCCTTCACAAAGAAAGACAAGTTTCAAAAAGGAATAATATAATGACAAATGGAGGTAGTTCTGATCTCAAAAAGCAAAACTAGTTCAAGCTTGTTATTGCCAATACAGCCTATGTGAACATGTAATCAACATTGGTAAATTCATAATTAGATTTCATCTTGTCCAGTTTTTGTTGATAAATTTGAGGCATTTGATTTCCTGTCATCAAAACAAGTCTAATCATTCCAAGGGAAACGTGACTTCAAACATCAGACCATCTTGTATTATACAATTACATCTAAATATAAGTGTAAATGAGAGTGCTCTATTTCATTTTAATTCAAATATACATCACCCCTCTCTCTTTCTCTCTCCCCTCCCCTTCTTTTCTGTATTTCCTTTCCCAGTTGAGGCAGTCTTTTTTTTGTTGGGGGGGGGGGGGGGGGGGGTGGGGGGACACCTGCATTTTGTATGCAGACATTCTTTAGTCTTTAAGAATAACACATACATCCTGATTAAGACTGACAGACTTATTATATTAATTGAAATGAAATTTTGATGAGCACACTTAATGCCAAAAAAGTACCAAGAACTACCTTCAAATGAAAAGATTAATGCTATGCACAAGACATTAATCGATTTAAGACTAAATGCATCTGTCTGTATAGTTTAGATACTATCACTGATAGTGCTCTATCAATTGAACTCATTTCTCTCCATATCAAATAAGGAACGGATTAAAACTGTACTTACACATGCATCTTCTTAGGCTTGCATCAAATTCATAACTTCCAGGACACTTGCAGTTGTAGCTGTTTTCTGTGTTTTCACAAGATGCATTGCCACACACTCCTTGGTACACAAAGCACGAGTCATGAACTATATAGAAAAGAACAGAAAAAACATCCATTCACACACACTGGTATGTTTCTACATTCCGGTATATTTATGATGCTTTATCTCTCTATTTGTTTAATCTGATTTTAGTATGTACTTTAATGTTATATGCTACTTTGTGTTATCAAAGTTAGACTTTTCATGTAAAGAACCAATTTTCTATTTAATAGCACAATCATGTTCTTGAACCATGGCTAATGATATTCCATGAAATCATTATAGGACCCATTGATAACCTAGCTCATTCTCTAGTGTCTATTACAAAGACATTCAATTAGCACACTCAGACCTGTGTTATGCATGTAAACCACCTTGGTATTTGGAAGTCAGATATGCAATGACTCTTGGTATCTAATTATTTCAAACTGTCTGCTTAGGCCTCTCTGTTTTCATTATATATTATAACAATTATATCTCCCACTGAATAAGTCTGATTTGAAGCTTCAATTAATACTTTAAGCGTAATTCGCTGAATCAGCAAGTGTAACAACTTTTCAAACATTAGATGATAAGTGCAGCTCTATAATCAGAATATGAAACTGTGGACATACCTATACAAGTCTTGCTTGCATCATCAAACTTGTATCCCTCAGGACAATTACAGTCATACAGGATTTCTTTATCCACACAAGCTGCAGGACCACAAAGCTCTGGGAAGATTTCACATTCATTTATGCCTGTTGAACAAAAGAAAAATCAATAAAAATGGACAGTGATGATGGAAAACACTTAGATTGGTGAGGTTGGAAAAGAATTTGAATGGGTAGTGCCAAGAAAAACGGTGTCTAGTATAAATGGTGCATAGTTCTTAATTGGCAATTTCAACTGAAATCTCTATTGAATATATAATATTAACAACAAAAAGGATACACTCATATTTTACTCATGGTAATTTGATCAGCATTTATACTGTTCTTTCCGATGTCATCTCAGTATCATATCAATACTGGCTTCAGCCGAGCTACCATGATAAGTCCTCAAGCATTCAAGAACTTTTTTCCTACCAGGCAAGCGCTTCACCGGGTGAAGAGTGGCAAATGTAGATTCAGGTCTTGCCAAAGGACCTTAGAACGTGTGTGTGATTATACCAGAGTGCATGGCTAGCAAAAAATAAAGGAAAGGGATGTGAAGTTTACCTAAGATGCTAGCTTCTTGGCCTGCAGATGGATGTGCAGCAGCTTCAGGGTAAGTGGTGGGTACGTTGACGGTTTCTACTGGTCTCCTCAGTGTAATTACATGCTTACCCTGCCCAACTGGACATGTCTCATTGTATGCAACTGAAGAAAAATAAAATGAATGCCAAATTACAGTTTGGATCAATGAATGCATATATGTCTGATTAACATTTTACAGTACAAACATGTTACTAGAATTCATCACAAATGAATTTGTGAGACCAGGTTTGAACAAAATGCTTGTTCATCTTTGATAGGTACGGTAACTACATTATCCTTGGATATAATAACTTGAAAATTCATGAACTCATTTAGAATTTTTCAACAAAAAAAAAATCCTATAAAGACAGATATTATATAACAGATCCCAACTCACTCAGCTTTCTTTCTGTCACATCTTTCTCTCCCTGTCTATTTTATGTGTGAAATATGAGATATTATTCCTCCCCCCCTTTACTTTTAAAGCCAGTCTCTACCTTTACAAACACACATGCAAGTCAAAAGACAATATTTCCCCATCCAATGCCCTACTTACGTGTGCCTTGTGAGGGGCAGACAATGAGGTCACAGTCATCACCCCACCCAGCCCCAACGGTGCAGCAACATTCTTGTTGGGTGACATTAGAACCAAGCAGATTGGAACAAAAGTTCATATCACTGATGCTGCCATAGCAATCCTTTCTATCCACTTCAACTGCATTTAGAGGAGAAAAAAGATATATCAATATGAATAGGAACATATGCATGATTTTGTTGTTGTTGTTCGGGGATGCCAGTCAGTTTTACTCACTGGGCCTGAAAAGAAGCTTAAAAAACATGTTTAATCCCCATATGTGCTGTACAATAAAAAGCCTGAAATGGGAAGTTGTCAGGGCCTGAAATCAGGCAAAAGCCTGAAGACTGGCATCTCTGGTTGTTGTTGTCGCTGATGCTGCTGTTATTGTTATTTTTTAGCATCTACTGACCTTGTCAATTGTTAAGGGCCAGAAGGCTGTTCACTCATATCATTCAACACACAGGTTATAGCCCTTCTGGCTCTCAATAAACATTATTTTGCAGAATGTTTTAAACTTTTTGAACAGATTGAACGTATAAGATGGGTGAGCTAGTTCTTGATATATGTGTATGTGCTCTCAAACACAGCCCAAAAGATCAAGCAAATGTAAACATATCTTTCAAGAAACACTGAAATAATTCAAAGTAACATTTGGTACTCTTAAAGAGCCTCCATGAATGGCAAATTATCTCTCGGGTTTTTATCTCTCTAAATACTGTTATAATGTTATTGAAAATAAACTCACCAATTTCTGGTGCGCCCTGTACTTCTACGGGGGTCTGGCAGGTTCTTGATTCACTGTCATAGACAGTATCCCCAGTGCAAACACACCTGTAAACACCCACTTCATTTACACAGATGGCCTCTTCACCACACAAAGGTGTGTCTCTGGTCTGTCCACACTCATCAACATCTATGTTATAAACAATAAACAGAGATATAATGATATACAATAAAATGAACAAATCTGTATCACTCTGTGTTTATGTGGTATAGACTGTATAGCCTCCATTAAATCAGAAGGTCTACAAGAATTATTCATAGTTTTCAAGTCTAAATGTCATTACGTTTCAGATTGTGTTTTATTTTATATCAGATTTCGTTTTTCAAACACAGAAAGTTTCATCCTTTTGCCAAAGACTTTATAACATGCTTCTTTCAGTGAAATATTCTTGTATCTACTGTTATTTTATTTTTGGTTTCTACTTTACTTTCTAGTTCTGTCTTATCAAAATGTATTTGGAGTTCTCTTTCTTATTGTCATCTTCCCTTCTATAATCATTCCAACACTTGTGTTAAAATTCATGGTAAATATTTGGGAAAAATTGTCAACATATTCTGCAATGTTACAGGTAACAATCAATCATTTTTATAAATCTGAATAAATATCATACAACATGATGAATGATGACACATTACTAATGATATATCAAGAAGAGTGGAATGAGAGTGCATCAAAAAGTAAACATTTATGTTTAAAATATTGTGCAAATGTAGAGGTAAATAACCCCCAATCCTTGTAATGTTTCTGAATAAATTTCCTTTAACATGATGGATGAAAACATCACAAATTTAGCATGGGGAGTGGAATGAGAGTGCATCAAAATGTAAACATTTATGTTAACTTTTTGGCTATGTATAACATATTCTATAAAGTTAATATAGATCTGAATAAATTGATGTAACATGATGGATGACAACACATTACCAATGTGTCAGGGGAATATAAGCGGAGTGCATTAAAAAGTACATTTTTTCAATAGATCCCTTTGTAAGGTTGACAACCTCATTGTATGAGGCTTGTGGTTAGGGGAAATAGAATCAAACGATTCCACCACAATACCCAGGTGAATCATTAAATACATGAAGTCTTCATAAAGTGGTGGTGAAGAAGTCTCTAGGAATATACAACCACAATAGTATTGCAATGGAGGAAGCATGTACAGGAATGAGACACTCTTTAAACACACTTCCAGAATATCACTTAAAGTAAAGTACTGTAAAACCAGAAACTTTCTTGTTAAAAAATGATTTCTCATAGTATGCAAGTGGTTGGTATTTTTTTCTTTAACTCATATAGTGAAACAGCTTTTATAGCTCTACTATGCTCAAAGAATTTAGAGAAGAAAATACGTCACATGCTTTAAGACTATTCAAAGAAGCTTATTGCTGTGAAAAATCCTATAATAAAATATAATGTGCCCTTGTTCTTGCACACATCCGACCATGTCACTCATACTACAACAAATACATGGAATTGCTAATTTTTTAAGTTTGAGATAAAGAATTTTAGTTCAAAAAACAGTATTTGAAAATGATAATGCAGGTGATGTATACTCTGCACAGCATAATCTGTCAAATAAATATGATCAATGTTGCTATGTAAAATATGAGTATGTAAAAACTCTGCAGGAACACTGCACTTGTTTTAGAGAATGTTAGTCAGCACAATGAAGACATCAAATTGCATGAGAGGGGAAACAGTGCGTGATGCCAAATATTGTTCAGGCTCAGCAAGAAAGCTAGGAACTCAAACAGAGATAACAGACAGAAAGGGAAAGAATTATGATGAGGTAAACTACTTTGTATGACCCTAGGGGCAACGGATGAAGAGGTTTTGAAACCGCAAGATCATGTGAACTTGGTTGATGACTTCCATTTCAAAATGAAACTTATTGGCTTGAAAACTGGAGTAAAGCCCAAAGTGCCAGACAATTGCTGAACATTTAAATATAGACAAATGACTTATATTTTCTATACTTACCATATTTGATATGACTCATTGGAGAAAATGGAAAAGCTTTAATTTCTATGAAATTTTGTCTTGGGTAATATGTGGAATATTCAGAACATGAAAGCAGTCTGAAGTAATGTTTCAATTGATGTATTGAGTAAATTCTAGGGTTGATATTCTGATAATTGTTTTATCCCTGTTTCAGGTTCAGAATAATTAATTTTCAAAACAAATCTTGAACTTTTGGTGTGTCTTCATTCAATGACTACCCATAAGTTGGTGGCACACATAAAATTCATCTATATGTAAACACCAATGAAAAGACCCAATACATGTTACGACCAAAATCAATTTACCAAGATAAATATTAAACAAACTTCAGAATACCACCACTGGAATGTAACTGCACAGATAGATGCGAAAGAACAGAGAAGTAGAATAATACTGACCAATGCAGTCTGTTTCTGTAGGATTGGAAGTGAATCCCTGAGGGCACAAGCAGCGGTAAGAGCCTTCTATGTTGATGCAACGCCCATGCTCACATACGTTAGCATCTGAACATTCATTGACATCTGAAATTTAGGGGAGAAGACCAAGCCATCAGAAACTTGAAAGTTTTATATTTATGATTTGATTTTGTTTTTCTTTAGACATGCACTCTTGAACAAACAAATAATACACTGATTACAGTAGGAATTTTTTTTTAGAAGTTTGAGATGGGAATATAACACAACAAATTGTTGTCAAGAACTAATTTAGAGTACATTTTCTGCATAAATATTCTTTCATGGTATACACCAGCAATATCTTTCATCTGTAATTTGTTGGTAATTTGAGCTCAAGTTCCAGTTCAACTGCACAAAAGGATGTGATAAGGAAAGTACTATTTTAATCCAAAATTGGAAAGGATAAGAACTAAGAAATGTCAAAATTTAGTTTTAGCATTAAATCACTAAGCATGTCGGTCTTAAGTAAACTTATCAGAATACTATTACAACTATATTAAAAATATAAGTGTTGTTTCCTTTGGTATGAAAAAGACATAATGCAACACAGAGTGCTATTCTTACAAGTAGATGAGATCTCTTTTTTCTTTTGTACACATCTATCCTGATTTTTTACAAAATCAAAGATGTAAATCTGTTTGTGTACTTACCAACACATCTTTGGTGTGTTATATCATATCTGTAACCATTGGTACATTCAGTTCTCAAGCAGTGATAGCTCCCTAATGTGTTTTGACATACATACTCTGCACATGGATTCACATTCCTGACTGTACATTCATCAATGTCTGTATTGAAAAGAGAAAAAATGCATTTAGAAATTTAAAAATCACACATTATGTATTTCAAAATAATTATATTTCAATTACAAAGTGTGAAAATTGTGTAATGTCACTAGGAAAAAACCCTCAATGAATGCTTTAGAAACATACATTAGTTATAAACAGGGCATGTACAAGTCAGAGTATAACATATATAGCAGATACTGTTAACCCTTTGCAAACACAAACTGGGTGACTGCAGTAATAAGCCTATGAGAATAACTGTAGTAATAATGAAGGGGTTAGTAATTATTTGACACAAATAATAAAGTGTTTTTCTTACTGATGTCACAATTGAATTATTTCTTTTGAAAGGTAATATAATTATCAAATGTACACATACATTTAGGCATCATCATCACTCAGTTAAAGTTCAAATATGGCCTAACCTCAATTTCATTTTCATGTACTGCTGAAGTTAAATCACTATTCCAATCTCTCATCGTCTAGACTTGTATGCCTCTTTGGTGACATTTACAGATGAAAAGAACGTTTTGACATATCATCATGTGTGCTATCAATTGGCAACAATCTTCAACAAGCATCAGTTAAATCATTTCATATTTCAAGGCCACAGACGTCTTGTGATAGCCAATTAACCTTAAAGCCCATTCACTCAATGTGGAAATCTGTAAAAAAGCCACATGACTAAATTGTTGTAGAATGAGGTCAAGATCTGGGCCACTAATTTGTTTCCCTCCCCCACCCGCTGAGTCGTCTCAAGATATTATCCTCCACACAACCTGACAAATTACACACTTAGGAAGAGTGGCATCCTAAAATGTTGGTGTTTTACGGCATATGCTAAAATTAATTAGACATTTGTGTAAGTGAGCGCATATTCCTGAGGGTAATAAAAGCAAAGTCTCAATAAAATATTTATATTCATTTCAAGACTCGTGTCTCTGTTAAGAATAAGTCAGTCATAAATTAGTAGATGCAAATATGGGTCAACAGGGAAGTATAATCTACCAAAGAAAGAGCAACTTTTACAGAAAACGGGTGAAGAGAAAAGGAGTGTTTTTTGTTTGTTTGGTTTTGTTACTGTTGTAATACTGGTTGTTTTGTTTTTATCTTTTGATTACATATATTTCCCAAAGGCAATGTTATGCTCTGGATGACTTAAAAGTGATATGTCCTCCACCCTCCTGACAGAAAATAACTACAAAGAAAGAACTACATCAACTAAGACATTTCCAGAGGATACAATCTGTTTTCTACACTGCATAAATGAAAAAAATATTAATGTAAATCTGATTAGCACAGTTTCGGACAAGGGGAAATTGAATGATTATTAGTTTGAGCTCATCCTGGCAAAAATAGGCTACAAATATATAATATTTAAAAACAATAATCAGCTTCACACTTTTAAAATAATGTCCTCCTGTATGTCTGTCTCTGTCTCTGTTTCTCTCTTTCTCTAAGGAATGTGTCATATGTTGTCTTTGTTATACTTTATCTTTTCTCTTCTTTACTTCCAAACGAGGACATGCCATCTGGTGACATTAATGAGACACTAGAGCACATGCCAAGCTGCCTCAGTTCACTCATCCTCATTCTACAGAAGACATAGTTAGGCTCAAGTCCAACTTGGCTCCATTCCCATCTCCTCACAATTATAAAGATTCCAACAATTTAGATTTCCAAAGAATTTTGTATCATCTTTCGACTGTAATTTCTGCTTCCCATGTCATTGTACTGTCTCACCATAGGCAAAAGCCACATGTATCTATTATGGGAAAGACTGGTGGTTTCTTCTCAATGTTGAACTGCAAAAAACATTTGACATTCAGTATGAGATACAAACTGTAAAGTATTTTTTTTTAAATACAAAAGGAAAAGCTTCTTTGCAGCCACAAGAACTTTGCTTTCTATTTATAAAATGATTATTTAATGGAAAATACAAACTTGATTTTTTCAATCTTTGGAAAGTTTGAAAAATAACTCAAATTATTTTCAGAAAAAACGTATCTGCACCCTCCTGCTATGTACCTTTGAGTAATAAATTTTTGAGCGTCCATCTTCCTTTATCTTATTCCTGTTTACTTGGAATGTCCTTGATTTTAATCACTTTCCTGTAGACCAGTCTCTTTTTATAGACACAAGAAAGACCGATTGACCTGCAGAGATGGTCTTTATCTCTGATATTTATCATGAACGTGACACTAGATCCTCACGCCAGGAAACTACCCTGTGGCTTCATATGGCAAAAGGTATAACGTGGAATTCAGATTTCAATTAGTTTTTCTCTTGTAGTATCACATTGGACAATTATTGCATGAAAATGTACATGAAAAAGTGCATTCTGTAATAGTTAAATGCAAATAATTTTGCATTATTATTTCTAGCATGTGAAGAATGTTCACATGTCAATGGGGAAATAAAAGCAATTCTTCAGACTTAATACTTCATAATTGCTCTCATGTGACTAAAATGTAAAGAACAAATTTGCTATAACTGTATTCCTCATCAACAGAGTAAATGTAGGAACAACAAAATTGGAAAAGTTACTGGTAATTTCTTTTCCAACAAAGAAATTTGTGATACCTACCCCTATCAAACACAAATCTGTTGCCAAATGACCAAACTAAAGAGATTGATTGTATCCATTACTATTGTAGACATGACTTGCCAATATATACCTTATAAAGGATGACCAGTGACCTTTTCTGAATGGTTTGGCCAATTATGTAAAACACTGCATACATGTCATAGCAAGGGCATTCAACTTGTGAGATCCAACAACTGTTAAGGAATGTTTCTCAACGAGCACATGCATTGTTGGGCAACCTGCTCTGATGTTTCAAAACACTGACACGTCTTTGATTTAAGAAAGATGACTGTTTACTATAACATGGGAGGAAAAGTTCCCCTTTTCCTTCTTGTTACAAGAGGAACCTATTCAGATAAGGACACATTAATTAGAAAACTGTGTTTCACACCTACCAGTATGTCCTTCAAACACAAAGGCCTACAACAATTTATGTGTAAAACAGTACATTACATGTCCTGCCAGGACACTTGATAGATACTGTCTACATGGACTCTCTATTGTCTATTTATACTTCTTTCCAAACACAAAAAGGATGATACCTTGATATATGTACATGTATCATCTAAATCTAATTGTCAGGTTGCCAAGAAATTCTAACATCAGAACAATAGGTTCGTCCAACAGAACAATAGGTACGTCCCACTGGTTACCATGTAATCAATTTTGCGGTATAATGACTATGTTCCTCTGGAGTTTGGCAATGATAAAGGTGCTGTAAGGGATTGAATCTACTAATGTAATCTATATATGTGTGTGGGTGCAGTGTAAACAAGTAAATCCCTGGGTAGTATAGTTGCCAATATCCTGAGGGAATGAAATCAATCTAAAGTTGTCTTTCTCAACCTAGGTGTGATAATCATCATCCCTTCCACAGGCAGAGGAAATTCCTTTAATGTTAGGAGCACATGTCGTCTGTTTGACGGCAGAGGGCGTTAACTCTGTATAAAATGATATAAGATAAACACTTCTCTGCCTACAAACAGAGATGATATCAGCTAAGCTCAAGGCAAGATAAACACATTGACCATCACAGCATGGTGAGGATGTGCTCTACACCAGTAGCCATCATAATTATCATCATTTTCATATCATTATCCTCTGAGAGCTAGAAGGGTATTAATCTATCTAATAAACACATACTCAATACCCTTCTAGCTCTGAAGCAATGATATGAGCTTGCTTCACTCTTACCTTCACATACTCCTCCTCTCAGGACCAGCCCCCTAGAACAGATACAATGGAAGCTGCCATAGGTGTTCAGACATCGTCCTCCATTGCAGATGTCTCTGGACTCGCTGCATTCATTCACATCTGTTTCCAACCATACAAAGATCAAAGCAATCAAGAAATAAAAACTATGTGCATTTTTTGTGGTGATTTTACAAAAAACCATGAACTTTAAAGTTTAAACTTTATAGTACAAAATGAGGTAGAAAACAGTAAGAAATTAAATTGTTAAATTGTACAAAACATGCAAATCAGCTACCACGAAGAGAGGCAGAGTCAGGGATTTTATAATTTCAACTCACTGTTTCAAACAGGTTATCAAACAGAAAGTTTCAGGGTAGTAATTACTCAATATCTACAAACTAGCATCACTCTGGTGATTCAAAAGCACAACCCATTGCTTTAAAAAAAGATGAAGAACATTCTGATGATAAATGATTTTTCTTTTTTTGCTCTTATATTAGCTTAAAATAAAACATTGGATCTATATTAAAATTTCCTGCATGCTTGACCTAGATCTCTCCTCAGATGAAGCAGTCTTACCAATACACTGGTTTCCTCTGGAGCTGAGACGGAACCCTCTGCTACATTCACACCTGTACGCCCCGTTCCCAGAATTAATGCACTGACCATTGAGGCACAGCCGAGAGTTTGTGGCACATGGGTCCACATTCTGCGTGGGGCGAGGATTCCCGGAACTGACGATAGCACTGACTAAATGAGAATCATTAGGGATGCACAGGGATAAAAGATGTCATGAGATAATTAGATCAAATTGCATCAACATTTTTTTTTACAGTATAGATTTGGTAGATAGTTTATTTGATTCACCTAGATACAAAGAGATGTAACTAAATTAAATTCATATTTTATTGAGACAAGATCATACAAGTTCAAAGAAAACAACACAGTAGCTTTATTGAACAATTAAAATCGAAATTAGACGAAAGAAATGAATGACAAAGTTGCAAGATTTCATTGGAATCTAGGCCAAGTTTACGGAGAACGATATTCTTTATCTCGGCTCTATCAGATTCTTATTAAAATACCCATTAAATAATATGATAAATGATTTGGTAATGCAAGTAAAAACTTTCTTACTCAGACACCTAATCGATTTTATCCCCAACATTTGGATTTCCATGAAAACAACTGACACGGTAACCCAGCTATGGGACTATTACTAAACTTATCTACAATGAATGAATAATTCAACCATCTCTTCTCAAATATAGACACACCTCCGGTGGTTTGACAAGCTTAACTTTAATATAATTGAATTGTCATTGAAATTACTGCAAATAAAGAATATTCGACGAATACAACTCACGAAACTTGTAATTAAGTGGTAACTTGGTTTTACCCACGCCAGCAAAGTTCAAGCAAACGCGGCGCTACATAGGAAAGCTATGGGCACCTCGGAGGAGAGCTTGGGCGCGGCGCAAACATGAGGCGCGGGGGGAGCTAAGGAGCCTACATCGCCTGCATTATGACTGTATGAATGTAAACACACGACCTCTATGCACGAACCACGCCCAGCGCCACGCCCATCTATCCGACCAGCTGATTTTCTCCCCGCCCCACAAAAGGAGGAGATCAAACAAATCAAATTCAATTGTTGGAAATTATAATACTTTGTTTTTGTTGGCAAATCTAGGATTATCATCCATAATAAACATGATAAGAGGGAAACAAAAATACACTACTATCTGGAAATCGATGATCTCCCTTTTTCTCATCCAACCCACTCAATCAGCTCTATATATACTGCTCAGGTGAAAGAGTAATTCTGAAGCATCGACCCGGGAATGACAAATGCGATTTAAATGTTGAGAGGAGGGGTGATTAGTACCAAATATTTCCTCTTTCTCTGATTTTGTTTCTATACAATATGACGAGCTCCGGTTCAAATACAGCGGAGCTCTAATATTATAGGCATTTGGAAGCAGAGGTGGGGGGGGGGGGGGGGGGGGTAAACCAAGTTACCATTAATAGGGACAGATCTTCATCGCCTTTTTTCGTTATAAAGCCTACACTAACTGTCATAATAAATTATTGTCTGCTTAAGTATATGAACTATATCTTACTTAGAATTGTTATAAACATAATGAAAGAATGATGAAAACAACTACTGAAATAATTCTATGATTAGAAGCGAGTGTTATGCCTCATTAATGGCAGACAATGATTTCTTACTTCATCTGGACGGCAATATTATCTGACTTCAGAGAAGAGGGCAGAAAACATAAAATATCGTTGTCTTCATAATAGTCGTGCATAAATGAATGTAATAATGTAGTTTGCATTGAATAGAACATGGAAACAAAACTGTATAATTATCAGAAGCAGATGACAGTATTTTGAGCGACAGATTATACAGTTTTGCCAGAAGGTAAACAAGAATACATGCAAAGTGCAAAAAAGGGTATGGAAATAAAAACAGCAAGATTTACGATGAATGCGTGAGTATGACAGAGATCATGCAAACCAGACATCCAAAATGTAGGTTACAAAAAAAATCGCGACATCGCACTCCTTTAGACGCTGTGCCTTCATAATATTGTGCGGATGGAAAGGTCTTCTTAGGGTGATTGTGCAAAATCGTGGACCCCCATAATATGTTTATTATCGGATTTTTTTTTTTTTTAATTTTTAATTTTTTTTTTTTTTTTTTTTTTGGGGGGGGGGGTATTATTATTATTATTATTTTCAATTTAAATTGTGACAAATATTGCAACTAGGACGCCGATTTTGCAACGTCCCTCAGCCCCTCCCAAAAGCATTCATACTCAATCGTTCATTTTTTGCTCTCATGGGATGGAACACCCTAATAAAAAGCTGATTTTATAGGGGTCCACCAGTCAGGTTCTTTGGAAAAAGTGGCCACTCTGCCCTGAGCCCTTTATAAATGGTCTCAAGAGGATGAAACCCCTCGTCCCAAGGCTTCTCTGAAGCTGCCCGCTTTAACGAGGTCCTGTCCAGTTGAATTCTGAGTAGGCCTACCATCTTTCAACATTTTTTTCACATTTTCGCTTTCAAATAGATTTTAATCCTGATGACAATACATTATATTGCAGATGTAGCCCCGCCCCATCGCTGTAGTCAGTGGGCAAAGCTGAGAGCAGTGATAATTGCATATAGCATAAGAGCAGATATACATAGAAATGCATGAACAAACACAATTAATTATTGATTAAAAAAACCACCGCAACCCTGGATATCACGTGACGTCACAGCACCCCAAACAATTTTGTTTTAAACAACTCACGATGTGTTACTGGTCGCCTGCCACGCGATGTGTGTGCTATGTACAAACAGTGTGCAGTGTGCAAAATCAAGGCAATAAATACACTCACGGTCATTTCAATTTCAACAGAAAGAAACGAGAAAAGCCAGCATTCACCTATCTCTAAATTCACGTTCGATTATGATGATTATAATATCAAATTTAATGAATCTCAGACTAAACGAGGGTGATTTATTAGCGTTCAATCCAAACAGAAGCCATTATATTGTATACACATTGACGTCATAAAGCAAAATCTTAGTTGAAGGTTGATTAAAAAGATACACAATGTGAAATTGTTTAACATCAGAGAAACAAAACGGATCAACAACGGATTCATCACGGTAATTACCCCCTTCACATTTTAGAGGACATCAATCAACCTGACATCAATTTGTCCTAATGTTTCCTTCGTTTTGGGTCACGTAGCTAGCTAAGCCTGATGTCACACGAATCACTTCTGAATGTCCTTCAAAGGAGTTAATTATCTCTAAATGGACCAATGTTTATCAGACGCCAATAATTTATCCGATTAACGAGTAAACTGTTGTGATATTTAACTTTTAATTTATTTCCTTGTTATTTAATTAACTTTAATCAACATGACTCTCCATTTATTCTGACATATTTTTTTATGAAGCTCTTTACGTCATGGTTTATCTGGCATTATCATTCAATGACCTTGACAGAAAACCTTAATATTTTAGAAGATGTTAACATGAATAACATTGATATAAAATTAACACTACCCACTTTAAAACAATTTATAGTTTATTTTAACAGTCCTTAAAATATTCATCTTAAGGTAAATTAATGAAAGATGCACAAATAAAATCAATACAATTCAGTGCGATACACCTATGATACGGACAAATTGTTGCTGTGTTTAATGTCCAAAATTTACATTCCAGAGAGAAAAGATATTTCATTTTGCACACTGCACTTTTCATTATAAATTTCTTATCCTGTTTATAGAACTTTAGAGAGAAAAAGAAGAAACATGAATTCATTTGTTTGCTTCGACAAAGTTTATTCACTGCATGATGCGCTTGAACTAAAAATGAGCAGAATGCTATTTTAAATTGCGGCTTTGCATTTCCAATCTACTTTGTAGATCACCGAGATTTATAGCAATCATTTTTTTTTTTGCCGTTTTGCATATCTGGTTATCTAGCATATTAATGAAATAATATTGGAAGGGTGTTATTATTCTCTTTTTTGAGAACGAAGAAATGAAGATGTGAACTTGGTGCTAATTTATAGGGTGTGGTTTTGTTTTGGTTTTGTTTAATTTAAAGACGAAAGGAGATGGCGTGGAGGCGGTTTGTGAAGTGAAAACCAGAAGGGGTTTGTCCTACCGTGATTATATCCGTTGGAGGGCTTATAATGGTACCCTGTACCTTGTGGGCACATGGCACGGAACTCAGCTGTAAGGGAAGATAATCAAACATAACGAATTGTAAGAAACAAATAAACCGATAAATACTCAATCGATATCAAATTTACGATATATACCGCTTTTGTATAATTCGTTTTCTGTTTGCTTTCTCATACCTCTCATTCTCTTTCTTACAAGTCATCAAAACTTCAAATATTTCTACAATTTCTCTTACTACTTACTATTGTACTAAATCTACAAGCCTACCACTATCTACTCGTCATCATCACCACCACTACCACCACCATCACCGTCAACACCAACACTAAGCACCACCACCACCACTACACACTAATTACATTTCTACTGCAGGCTCTTCTGGGATCATAAGTGTGTTCCAACGTGGGGCATAATATTATTACACAATGTTTGCCCTCCCCACACACGCATAGTTCTAAAGATGAATTTACACCCCTGATAATGGATACAAAATATTGGTTTATCTTCTTTATTTCGTAGGGGAAGGGTTGAATTCCGTCAATTGCTGTATATTATTTCTGCCAGGTATTATTTCCAACAACAACCACAATACTATTACAATGTTACACATTATGTCTCTCTCTCTCTCTCTTCATTGCATCTTAACCGGTCACCAACTCAATTTTTCGAATCATTTTGCTTTGGAAGCCATTTATCCATTTTAGACATACTACTTCAATATATATTCAATGTGGATATTATTTACTCGGATGGAAATCCTTTAAAGTATTCGGATCTACGCAATTGAACATATACTTCATCTATGTAAGTTCATAAATCATTTTCCCTTCATTTTATATACAGCCACTGGCTGCGACGAAAAGATAATAAAACTTTCAATTCAATTATGTTTATAGGTGTATGATAACTTAATAACTCAACATATTATTATGTATAATATTTTCCTTAACCTATAAATTAATAACTGTTGAACTAACCCGAGCCTTGTTGTGGACATCGTTCACAGGCAGCACCCCATGCAGATCCCAAGCTACAGCAACACTGCATCTGTGTAGTAGGCATCCGAGATCCACCGCCTCCGTAACATTGTCCATTGATCACCCGGGTGTAACACATCTGCTTCACTGAAACTACATCAAATACAAAATAGCGAAAACGGTAACAGAATGTCACTCTGGTTATGGAAGCATAGATATGATCGCACAAAGCGAATAAATTATTCTTGGAGAAAATGTTTTTGTTTTTCCATACTAAACAGTCTAGTCCTGAAACAAACAGGTGACAAAAATACAAAGATGGGCAAGTGGGAATATATAGAGAGGCTAATAATTTGGGAATTACGAGTTTATGATAACATAAAGTTAGAAATCTTGATTTCAAAATCAACAGCACAACGTTAAAGATAAACTCCAGTACTGGTAAAAAAAAAAAATTAATTCTCACAGAATCAAACGAAACTTACACTGAATGTTCAAGATTACAAATAAATGACATGTGCCAAACAATTTTGGAAGAAAATGTATACTGGCTGAGTAATGAGCATAGAAAGACAAGGAAACCAAGGTAGTACCATCCCCGACACGATGTGTGTTGTCCCATATATAGCTTTCTATGTGAGTGTTTGTTACTTTACCAAGACTCGGTCAAATTTATTATGATTTTGATGACTCCAGAACCTTGCAGTGCACACCAATACTTACATGCTACATGATCAACTGTTTCTGATCCTTTCACACCTTTTCTTTCACAATGCAATCGCATTACCAGTACTAAAGTTTAGCTTTAAAAATATTTCTTATTTTCTACTAAAATTGTAAAAACTGAAGATTTCAGTACATTCAAGACTAAATTGATATACTGTATTTTCAGAACACTTTTTGTCTTTCTCCTTTCACCATAATTTTGATAAAAAGGGGGACAATAAAATAATTACCCTAATTAAACCAGTGGGCATTAACGCTGGGGGTGGGGAATGGCAGGGTGCATTCATATAGCTGGTATACCCTTCTTATCGAAGGTACATGACTTGTAGGTCTCAAGTCATTCTTGATTGTCAAGTACAATGTTATACCAGTCTCATCACCGTCTCTTCTACGGGTGAACCATGAAGGGGCCCCCAAGGGGGTAAGGGGCAGTCTGTCGGCTCTGCCCCTCAAATCTTCAGATGTTATTGTTGTCTGCTCATGAAACAATCAGACCAGTCATGGCGGTAAATGGCTGCACGCATGCTTGACCGTGACTACTGACAGACTAGAGCCCTCCCCATGGGCTTCCCATCCCATTATTTTCTAACATAACTGTTGTAGCTGACGTTCTACTTTGATAATCACATATAAATAAGAGAGTATGGAGTACGAAATAAGGTTTCTCTCTTTTCCTTTGATCAGATTTATTTAACTCGAAAAATTATATCTACATGTAGGCCTATGTCAATCTGGTGAAATCTAGAGGGGTGGTCTAGACGGTATAGCAGGTCATTCACCATGTTCGGCGACGTTGCTAAACAGATTTAGTTAACTGAATCTTTGAAATTTTAGGTTAGAAAATGTCAAATCCATGGAGAAAAACTCCTCTCTCTGTCTGTCTGTCTCTGTCTCCGTCTCTCTTTCATTTTCTTCATCTCACCTCTTTCCCCCATCTTACATCCCCTTACCATATTCCCTTTTCAGGTCCCCCCCCCCATCCTTCCCAATCCATACTTTTCCCCCTACCCCTCTCACATAGTCTATCTCTGTTTTCAATCTCTCTGCCACTCTGAACATTTTACTTTTCAGAATAGGCTCAGGCCAAGTTTATTATCTGACTGGAAAAAACCCTCCTTTTCTACATGTATATAATATCACATATATATCGGGACAATCATACCGTCTTAATTCGTCATAAATGCATATACTTTCATATTTCCGGATTATGGCAGGATTCCCTTTAAAAGCCACCGACCTAGCCTAGCAAGCTGAATCTGATTTGAGCGGAAGCGATCGAGTGAGGCTGAATCATGTTATAACTGATCACTATGTTCACACCTCATTCCGTCATGCTCTCTGCATCACACGTCATCTTAAAACAAGGGGGTATCACCAGGGACGGATGAACCAGGCCAGGCCAGTGGAGAAGATGAAGAGGAGAGGCAGAGTGGAGGTAAGAGATATGGATGATGGAGAAGGGGGAAGAGAGAGAGAGAGAGAGAGAGAGAGAGGGGGAGCGAGAGGGAGAGAGAGAGAGAGAGAGAGAGAGAGATGGGGAGATAGAAAATAGAGATAGATAGAGAGAATGTGTGTGTGAGAGAGAGTCAGTCAGTCAGTGAGAGAGAGAAAGAGGAAGAGAGAGGGAGAGAGATAGAGGGAGAGAGAGATTGGGGGGGGGGGGGGGGGGGGGGGAGGGAGAGAAAGGGTGCGGCAAAAATGTAGGGTGAATCCTTGACATACTAAAGTCATAAAAGTCATGTTTATCTGCCCATCCAAGCTAATCATATTAACCGACAACGTCCTCCCTTTTTAGAAATCATAATATTTTCACTTTTCAAGCTCCGAAATATTACTATGCAGGGGTTCTCCCCAATCAGTCGAAGATAAAAATTATTAATTTCTGCAAAATATATTGGGGGGGAGGAGATAAAATAAATGATAACATCTCACATCAACCCGATTTAGAGTCACTGTTTGGCATTGAGGTAGCTAGACCACCGCCTTCACTACGGAAATCTTTACTGCGCAATTTTCTTTTACTTTCTCATTTCTTATTTCCGTGTTAATCATCTTAGCATGCTGCTTTCAATATCCACGTTTACCCCCTGTCCTTTCCGTGGATGGTTGGATCTGTTGATAACATGATACATATCCTTGGTGTACACAGACAGCGTGTAACCATGGTGTAACCCCACGGTGTTTGAGTATCCGTGCGTCTTACTCGTCAGGTATCTCCATGCAGTCTGGCCAGGATATGAGAATACCCACGCGAGTCGGAATGATAGTTTCATTGATGATATCATCATTAGTCGGGAATTCTGTCTTCTTCTTCTTCTTCGTATGACGGTATTTAGAGACGTAATGACGTCTGGTGGATAACAAAACCAAGAACCTGTATACAGTGCAATGGCGTATCAAGAGGATGTAGCCGGCGTTCATTACAAGTATAAAATACTACTTTCCATGTACTTTCGTCACGCAAGGCTGCCTAGATACCTTCCGCCAAAGTATATGGACCCACTGAAATAAGATGATGATTGTCACGTTTGATGTTTTTTTAATGGTTTAAGAAGACTGGTCACCCATTTTATAAAGTATTCTCATGTCATTTCCTAACGGCCACACCCCTTTCGGTTGCAATGGGGAACCCGATGAACAGTGCTGGGGGACCACATGTTGCACATAAAGTGACTTGGCAATGAGTCATGCGATTCTTTAGAGTCCTCGGTCCACTTTTAATCATTTGACTAAGAATGAATTCCTCACTTCTCTCAACTACGTCATGATACTAACTTAGAAATGATGTATTAATAAACTGCACCGTGCCTGCATGCATATCCTGCAGCACTGTCAGGTACCCACATGGGCCGAGAAATAATGGGTAAAACACCGCACAAGCATCGAACCCGGGACCCCTCGTATGAGTCCTAACCACAGTCCTCACCATTTATACCACAGTGCTCTCACAAGATTAAAAAGAGAGTGATCACAAGGCTAGTACACACTTAGGTGCGATCAAGACACTCTATATCCTGATAAAATTCAGCTAAACTATCTTGCTGAGAACCCATTGCCCAGACATGGCGATCCACCCAGTGGAAATCGGCGGAACTACACCGTAATTCTATCCTGAATGATGCAGATCTCTCTCAGGGGGTCACATTTTACAAATTAGCCGCCGGCTCCAAACATGTTTGAAGGAGAAAAAAAATTGCATGCCTCTCGGGTGTTGAAATAATTTGTCTGGCATAATTACTACATCATAACAGTCATAACAAGGGCAGCTCATTATTTACAGCGGCTGTTAATATGATTATTTACTTTCCTGTTTGCAATGAACGAAATTACTTTGGCTTTTTACATTAATTTAACTTATGACATCGCGAAAGTTGTAAAAAGTTGATGAGAGTAGAGAAGAAGGCTTATGGAGAAGCTATTTCAGACAGCGACGTGGCGAAGGGGCGGGGACACCACCATAATTATAAATACAAGAGATAGGGAAAGAGAGAGGAAGGGGTTCAGAAGGGAAAGAAGGAACGTAAGAAGACACGACCCCCCCCCCCCCCCACACTCCACTAGCTCGGTTGATCCAATTATAATTCATTAGAGAGACACGTGTTCTCCCCCCCCCCCCCACCCTCTCCTCCTCATGACGGGACCACTGATGATACACTTCTTCCATTCTGATGACCATTCAACATGATAAAGAGTAGATCTAGCCAGTACACCAATTAATTACCAAGTTACACATTTTGTATGACGCTAGCGACGATGATAATGAACAGTACTCCTAAACAACAAAAATTATGAAAATTGATTTTACCACTACACCCTCCCCCCCCCCCCCCCTCCTCTCTCTCTCTCTCTCTCTCTCTCTCTCTCTTTCTCTCCACCAAATAAAGATATCATACACTCCCATCCATCTTTCTTTTTACCAAACGTTCTCCTCATCATCTCATCATAAACACACATGCACACGCAAGCACGCACAAAGAGAAAAAAAAAAAACAATTCTGTATATTTCTACCCACAAGTACATGAAGTTTATATCAATGATAACTTTATGCATGTACGTGTTCATACGTCAATCTAAATATTGACGGATAATTGGAAGATAATGAGAACCATCTGGGCATAGCTATACCCTCTATTAAAATGACATTGGCCTTTGACTTAGTGATAAAAAGTAAAATGGACGAGGATGCCACGGGATAATAAGGTCCGATCCATGGCATGCATTTTGACCATCATGGATTATTAACACGGTTTCAAAATCTGATCCTGATTTATGTCGGATTGCAAGCCCGCGTAAAAGAGATAAAGACACTGCATCTTAATAAATTTATTCACTCCATCTTCTAGTCATGTGTCATCTCCTGTCCATTATTATATTAACCTCGATCTACATTTTCTTCTGCACAATTCATTTCAATTCTTCGTCTTAT